AGTCGCTGAAGAACGCCCGCAGTCGCTGGCTCAAAGTCCCCATCACCACGTCTTCTGCTTCTTGGAGCTCATCTTTCGTCCCGGTGAAGTCGTTCGTGTATTCAGCATGGAGCTGAAGCATTGTGCGGACAACTGAGCTTGGCCGTGGTTCACCGTCTAAACGGGTGATAATAGTCCAGCGTTGAAGGCGAAATTGAACGCCACCCGTAGCCAGTAGCAGGCGACTGACCTCGACGAGAACCAACCGGTTCGGCTCCTCGATCTTGCGCACGAATGTAAACCCATTGAGCTCTGCCGCACCCGCGTCGCTCTGCAGTCGCCACACGAAGCTCTTTTCCACGGGAGCTGCCATGCGCTGGCGAAGCTGCAAAAACAAACAAGCAGCGCGCAATGTTGAATTTGAAGTTAGCAATTGCGCATCAAGACAGCAACTTCAGATTGACTTACGAAGTGGTACGACTTGTCGTTGTAGTGGCGAACAGTGAGGTATTCTCGCCAGAACATCTCGCTTGCCTCCTGCACCGAGCACGGCATTGCCGTCGTCATGGCGATCTCGACCACCCTGCCGCGCGTTTGGTCTTGCTTGACTTGTAGGCTGTTGTCAGTGAAGAGGCCCTCATTGTGCTGAAACACCGCTTCAGAATCGAGATACAGCCCTTCAGCCATCTTCTCCAGCCCGTCTATGACAGCATAAGAGCATTCTGGTTCAGGTGACGGGTGTTGATCGGATGGGGAAGGCTGTCTTCCGAGGACAGACTCGAAGTTCTGTGCAGTAAATCGGCAGGCGAAGGTAAGTCAGCAGTAGGAACTTGGAGGTAGAATTGCCGCAGGTTAATACTTACTCCAAGTGAAGTCTGTGTCTGGAAAACGCCTCGCAGCGCCGTATTCATCTTCATCTGCTCCAGGAGCACATATCGCAACTTCTGGTTCATTATCTCCGACTTGAGCCGCTCTTGGTATTCCGTGGCAGCAATTGCATACCATGAAATTGGCACTACACCACTTTGAAGCGAGGTATCCACCAAGCTCACCGAAGCACTTGATCGAGCATGAACTCGCTGTAGTTGCTCCAACTCCCTCTGTAATTCGTGGCTTTGAGCCCGCAGTGCCAAGATCTCCGCCTTCTTGCGACGCTGCAGTCGTGTAGAAGCGCCTGGGGCTTTCTTCCTGCTCCTTTTCACAGCTTTCTTCGCCTCCGGTTGTTTATCGGGTAAGAAACTTGCCTTCTCTAGTACATCGTCAAGCGAGTCGAGCAGCATGGATTCCACGTCATCGTTGCTGAAAGGCGAGCTGTCATTCTCGCTCTCACTCGTAGTGACGTCACCGAGGCTGCGGCTGCTGTCGGCATCCCACGCGTCGATGAACGTCACCAACTCCTCCAGCGACGAGATGGTGTCTTCTTCCCCCACCAAGAAGCTCATGACACAATAACTTGATCTCATCGCGCTAATCGCAAAGTGAGCGGTGCTGTCCACCCACGGCGTGATTACGGGGGCAAAAAGCTGATGCGCAACTAATGAATATGTAGGCCAAACGTCCACGCCAACACACTGACGGCCGCCGCGTGCGAATGCACCCGAGACAAAATGGAGCTGGCGCCAGGATGGGTGAGGTCACAGTGAATTCCCACTCCTCTTGAAGGCAACCGCTGACTCGGCGAGCCTGGAAACCACACAAATCGCCACTCCTTCGGCCAACGCGCCTTGCATCACCTGAGACGGTTCTGGCAACTATTCAAGAGGATCTACACATCACTTACAAGAATGTCTGTATTTCGGCCACAACCACCCACTGGAACCTTTCATTGAGCAGATCAGTCTATTTGATCCGGATCGTGCTCATGGTACTTGGTAGACCAGGCGACATACACTGTACGTACATAAGCATCTGCAGCAGCTTAGACTGTGATCCCCGTTTGCAGATCGAGTCTCGTTCAGCATCACGTTCTGCTGCGACTGCATATAGTGGCGATAGAGCTTGCTCAGTTCCTGGAACGCTGGTTGTTGGACGAAAGAAGCAGCTCCTTCGACTGGTTGGCTTGCTTCACAGTCGAAAAATAGCTGCTGAAAGGTGCGAAGAACTGATGCGTCCTCGGGGGCATCCTTCGACGGCATGATAAACAGCCAGGACTGGTTGCGGAATTGCAGCTGGTACTTCGGCAGTCGTGGAGTGTCCGCCCAGATAATGACAACTCGATCGTCTTCCTCGTATCTCCGTCCGAAATTCTGTTTCCTGAACTCGAGAGTGCCAATTGGACTCTCCAGAATTAGAGTGTAGTTCCTTTCCAGAATATTCGGACGATCTCCCAGCGACTAAAACCAAAGAAGCTCTCCGTTAGCGTCTCACTTTACCCAGCAAAGCAAATCACAATAGTGCACATACCTTGGAGAGGCTGAACCACTTCCACAGCATATCGCTCGCCTCCTTCAATGGGCACATCATCGGCGTTGTCGACATAATCTCCACCGTCTTTCCCAACGACTCGCTGTGCTTCTCCATGGCCTGCACACTGATCGACTGCATCATCTCCGGCCGATACACCGAGTCTGACTCCAAGTACAGACTCTCCACCCTCCTCTCCAACAGCGTTAAGCTGCACGTCGAGTCATCCACCAGCGGCCGGCACGGCTCGGGCTTCAAGAAGTCCATGCCTTCCATCCCGGCCGTCTGCTGCAGCAGCGTGCGTACAGTTGAGGAGCTGTTCGGGTATTTCCGACGCGGTTTCTTGCGCTTCGAGCTGGTGGGGGCTGCAGCGTTGTGGCTATGTTGCTGTTGCTGTTGCTGTTGCTTCTGCTGCGGCGTGAGGCACCTCAATGGGGTAGAATCCCCTACTGGGGAGCCTGCACTGCTGCTGTCCGTGGTGGGGGAGTCCCATTCGTCCAGGAAGGCGAGCGTCGCCTCCAGCGTGGCGGCCTCGTCGACGTCAGTGACCAGCATGCTCATGGTGACTCAAATATGTGGCCGTAATCAAAAAGACCAACACTCATGACTAACATTTGAAACAGGGTGTGCTGATTGGATAATAAGAAAGGCAACTTGTAGTTGAAGTGAACGCGAGCTTTGACTGAAGCCGTCGCGGTTATGCCATCTCTTTCCTCGTAAGGCTCTGACAGCGCTGCCCCTGGATTTCAGCTGCTCAAAAGACGCCTCCTCCACCACCGCCCCCATCTCTTCGATGTGCACGCGGAGCAACTCAGTCTCCTGCCGCTGTAGACCCTCCCGCCTAAAAGCTCGAGTCGCTGCGAATAAATGACCGTTGTGCGCGGACCATTGGTATGCATCTTAATTGAGTAAATCCCAAAGTTGCTTTGTTTTAATCCTTAAAAGCACTACCAGCCCAACTCTCTAGTTGATTCTAACGTGGGCATCTACTGCGCCTGCTTCGCAGCCGCAGCATCTACCCGAATGCGTAATTGAACAAATAGTTGCGCACATCGAAGTGTATCGATACGGAAATGATGTTTCAGCCAAACCTTTGTGAGGCTGGTAACCAGCAAGCCCCGCTCTTCTTTATCGTGGTGGGTTCTCAGGAGCCGAAAGTCACCAATTGAGGTTGCCTGGTCTGATGAGGCCATCGGTGACATAACACCCTGGTCAGCGTCCAATGGCTGCGTTGGCGCGAGCAACGAGATAGCTATTTCATTCATTTTGCAGGTAAGGTATACTGTGCTCATTTTTGTACTGTTGTGTGCTAACGATCAGACGAGAGAACTACAGTAGCGGAACGAAGGAGAGACGCATGGTGCGCTGATCTTGACCATTTAACTTGAGGATGTTAGCTAAGTGACAATAATGTCCTCAATTCAAAAACAAAACAAACAAACCAACTTTTAACTTGGGGGATAAATTGCGGAATGCGATATACGCTAATGGGCCAATTCCTTGGAAGTGGGTGCTTCAACGCAGGGAAAAAAGTCTTGTTCAAACGAACGATGCTCGTGTCACTGTCGAGTTGAGCTGATTGGTTTGGCGACAGACACGAGGTTGGGCATCTTCGGCTAAGAGTGATTAGGCATTGAGCAAATTGACATGTAAAAAAATGCAGCCTGCAGCTAGACAAGTCATGTTGTTCATCTTCAGCTAAGCTTGGTCGATTATGGCGCAAATTGATACGCCTTCAGCGAAGCCATGATGCTCTCATACTGTACTAGAGCGTCCGTAAGTGTTTGAATGCAGGTTGTGGTCAATAATAAACTATTAGTATCAACCTTTGGTAAATAATGTGCATAAATCTTAGCATTTATCGACGGGTACCCGATTCCGGCAGATATTAGCTTAATCATTACAATTAAGAAAGAGAGACCCGGTTTGGTACCCGGTTTTGGAAAGTTACAAGTTTTTTGCCGGGGTCAAGCACAGGTCTTCGACCTGTGAACAAAATCAATTTCCTAGTCAACTCAAACACAACAAGGTCAGGCAGGTGCAACTCGGTTTAGTAAAATGTCAGCACAAACCAAGTCACTTACGCAGAGGATCGATTTGCTTTCCAGTACAGCTCGGAGACTTTCGCTCACGTCGCGCTGGCCCTCCCATAGAGCTTTCAGCTTGCGGTTTAGCTTCTCTGCTTGCGTGCGACTGAAATATTCCGTCGCAGCTTTCGTCGCCCAAGTGAACGCCTTACTGTCGCCGTCCAGCACGTTTCGCCGCGCCGCTTCCTCCTGTTTCTTCAGACGACACAGGTGGGTCTCTAGCATTTGCACTTCGCTCCGCAACGCCGCTACCTCTGCCTTCTTCCGACGTTGAAATGCCGTTGATGACGTCTCCGATCGCCGAATCCGCTTCTTTTTCGGTTTAGGCTTGGCCGCTTGTTTCTTCTTGGTGGGGTCCGCATCATCGGGAACGTCCGTCGAGCTGTCGTTGCTTGCCGCAATAAGCGCGAGGATTTCATCAAGCGTGTCATCGTCCTCATTGAGTAAGAAACTCATCCCATTCGCTGTCGAGCACTGCAGCTTAATGGCTTGGTGATTAATGAAAAACTGAATCATCGTGTCCTTGAGTTAGCACCTCGTATTATGCAGTCTACATGACCAATAGATTACGGCCACCTACGTAACTCACTCGTCAAATACGATACAGGTCGACCATTCGTCCCTTAAAATTTATGCATTGCACAGTCGATGATCACACAACGGTCTGCAGTACCCATTGACCTTCCAGAAGCCAGGATCTGCCCTACAACCAGAGTAAGCTCACTCATCCGTGCCGTAAGTTCAGCAATCTCTTTGTTTGGCCATCACTAGCTTTACACGATTTACTATAACAGCTACCTTACACGATAATGCTCAGCTTCGACGTCGAGGACGGCGGAACAGCACGCCCAGCCTTCTCCATGAGCGTGTTTTGCTGTGCCTGGAAGAATTTCCGGAAGGCGTTGCCCAGACTACCCATGACGCGATCCTGCGCGTACGAAATGTCTTCAGGGCTGAGCTGGAGCTCCTCGTCGCGTTCCATGTAGAGCTGCAGATGAATCTCCACGACTGACGCGTTTGGTTTGACGCTGGACGGCGTGACGGTCATCCAGCAGTCGTCACGAAACGCAAAGTTCTTGGACGCAAGTTTCGTGCGCTCGGCGACGACGAAGACCGGCCGACCTGTCTCCTCAAACTTCTCCATGTACTGGAGCCCGTTCAGCTCCAGCATCCCAAAGGGACTTCGTGCACTCATGACAAAGTTCATCTCGTGTGAGTTGGGCTTGGCGCCTTTCATCTAAACAAAATAATACACACAAAGATGTCAGTTTGAGTTCAAATGCCCGCGAAGAATGAAGAGCAGACTTACGTATTTGTAAACCTTGTTCGGGTGGTCGCGGCACATCGTAAGCTCCTTCCACAGTATCTCATTTGCGTCTCTTACTGAGCAGGACATGGGCGTTGTAGTGATGAACTCAATCACTTTCCCTCGCTGAGCATCCTGATTGACTCGCATATCGCAAGTGATCGCTGGAGACGGCGTCGTGCTGCAGAACTTGCTCCTCCAGTCGTTATACAACCCCTGCACGTGTTGTTCCAGCTCGAACAAAACCTTCTTGCTATCGTGAGCTAGTGAATCCATAGAGCTACCTGCTGTCAAGAGAGAAGGCTCCACCTCTGGCTGCGCTGCTAGTATGAACTCCATTCCCGTGAGGACTAAGCGCTTCTGCAGCAGTCCACTGAGCGCTCCGTTGACTTTTTCCGGGTTCTCCAGAATGGACTTGAGTCTGCGGTTCGTCTTCTCGGACACCAGTCGCTCGCGGTATTGTAAGATGGCCATCTCGTGCCAGTTCGCCGGCGGCTTCAGGCTCGACTCCTTCGCCACCAACGTTCCATCTTCTGCCTTCTCCCGCTCCGCAGTCACCTCTAAAGCCACGTCTGCAGGTAGGAACCGGTTCTTCTTGAGCAATTCCACTTGGGCCTCCAGTTCCTGCGCCTGCTCTCGAAGCGCCTGGATCTCCGCTCGCTTGCGTTGCTGCAGTCTCGTCGAGGAGCTAGCAGCGCTTCTAACTCGCGGCTTCTTGGTCGGCTTGTCGTCTCGACTCCGACGCCTTCCGCTGAGGCTTGGCGCGCTTCCTGGCGGTACGCTTGACGGTGGCCGCCTTCGGAGTGACCGGATCGGCCGACGTAATGTCGCCGAGGAGAGAACTCGGGGCCAAAGTCTCCGTCAGGCTCTGGTCTGTGACCTCATAGCCGTCGATGAAGGCGTCATCTTCAGCTACAAGGACCTCCATTGCTTTGGGCGGTTCTACGTCACAATGAATAATGCGTTAGGCTCCTCAAGCGACACGTTATTCCCAGCAGAAAACAACCCCTCGATTTCCGTAATACACCAGCAGGATCACGAAACGGGATAGGATGTCGGTAGGCCAGGTTGACGTGGTCTAGGCGATTATGGGGTACTCCTTGCCTATCAGGGACGTGATCCCATGGACGTGAGTCACATGTTGCATAGCCAACTGGACCACGAGTGTCTCTCAACTCCCTCCCCTTCAGCTGGAGGCCAGCTTGGTAGAAAAAATAGGTACAGGATTTCGAGACTCCAGGACGACTAGCAGCAGGCGATGAAAGGGGACGTAACTTACCAAGCGAATCTCGCAGCGCTGGTAACACGTGTATATCACCAGGTGAGCCTCGAGTCACGTGGTTAGTACATCCCAGTCATCTGCTGCGCGTATACTCGGTGCAACTTGCGTTGACCGTCCACTTGACCCTTTCTCAGTGCACGAGAAAAATTCGACACCATCCTGCGCGAACGGGCTCTCTGGGGCATCCAATCTGTTGCGCTAGTGGTGACTTTGAGCTGGACAACACTCGACACCGCTTTGAGTTTGCTTCACCAATCTCCGCTATGTTAGTCCAGCTTAAAAGCTGAAGCGTCGAAAATAAACTGCGTAAATGCGCCGGTACATTGTGCTCGAGTCTCACAACAAATTAAACGATACCATTCTACATGTATATGCTTGTGTTCGTCAACTACAAGTAAGCTCCAGCAACCGGGTCTGCTCGCCTTGCCAGAACTGTCGCATCAGTCTGCCCATGCCGCGCAGAACCACGTCTTGAGCGTGCTGAATCTCCTCAGGGGACGGCTTGTGCTCGCTCGCTGGCAACTCCAGGTAGAGCTTCAGATGCGTGTACATCACACACGCAGTGGCAGGACTCGTCTCGGACCGAGTGAACACCGCGTGGGCCAGACTTCGGATCCGAATATTTTTGGACGTCATTTGGAGCAGGTCGGACCAGATAATGACGATCCGATCCTGCTCCTCAAACTTGCGCAGGAAGTGGAGCTTGTAGAAGTGGTGACCATTGCCCTGAACAGGGGCAGTGACGTTGGCCTTGGTCTCCACCGTATTGGGCTTGCGAGTGCGATTCTGCACAGTTAGAACGCGTTAGAATAAGCAAAATTTATCTCAAGCTGCCGCTAGGCGTTCACGTACCGAGCTGCTCTCGAGATACGCCCAAATGTGGTCGAACGCGGCTTTCAGGGGCCAATTCATTGGCGTTGAGGTTACATACTCCATCACGTTGGACTCGCACGTCTCGTTGTACGTGGTTTGAGAAGCCGCGGAGACTACCGGACCACTTTGAGGTCCATACACCTGGTCGAACTCTCGGTACGTGCTGTCGACTTCGTGCTCAAGCTGCTGCATCAGTATGGAAGACGGGTCGAACGTCAAGTGCGCGTCTTTGAAGCATGGAGACTCGAAAGTCCGCACGAAATCCATCCCCTGCGACATCAAAGAGGTTAACTTCCTCGCTTACACAGCCCAATTGCCAAGAGTTACGTACTCTGAATATGTTCCGCTTGTAGAGCATGCCCTTGAGCTGGCCCGCTTGTAGAGCATGCCCTTGAGCTGGCTGGACACTCTCCACTGCTTCTGGAGGACCTCCTTCAGTCGCAAATTCATTAGCTCCGACTCATGTCGCTCTTTGTACTGCGCGAGCGCTTCACGGTGCCAGTCCGAATATTCTTCCTCGTCTGCAGTGGCGTGTTGGCCGCCGGTTCTCCTCAGTTGAGCCAGACACCCCTCCAACTGCGTGGCTTTCGCTCGCAGCGCCTCCATTTCCGCCTTCTTCCGGCGCTGCGTGGCGGTGGAGGAGCTCGCTGCACTTCGCCGACGCTTCTTCTTCCTCGTCGGCGATGGCGCCTGCAACTCCGTGGGGCTCAAAGAGTCCGTCGGTCTCGCGGGGAATATTGAGAGCGGTCCAGCGTCCAGCAGGTCGTCGATGTCGTCGAGAGATAAGCACGCAGAGAGCGTAGCACTCGAAGCCTTGCCTTCGTGCGCGGCTCCATTCTCGCAGAAGTCGATAAACGCCAGCGCTTGATCCAGCGAGGCCAAGCCGTCCGTAGTGGTGGAAGTCATCGCAAGAGTGATTCTGGGCCTGCTTACTGCACGGCAGGGGACGCCGGTCTTGCCGTAATACCCGTCCGCGGAGGATTGTCGGTAGGATGGTGCGGTGGATGGGGGGGGGGGGCAAGTCAGTCGTATGCGGTGTTTACTTCACTTGTGATGCCTCAAGCTGTCGATAAACCCCTAACGACACGTGCTGCCCAACAGGTGGTGACGTGAGCTCTGGCGCTTGTGACTGATCCCTACGGACCAGAAGCTTAGCCACAACCGAGGACAGACGATAGATCAGGTGTGAGCTCAGGAGGGAGTTGGTGACATTCACGTTCGACTCGATATGAGTGGAGTGCATCACACGCAAAGTTATCTCCGTACTGTAGTAACTCATAGTTCATGTTGTAAGAGCAGTATATGCAGTCAAATGACGGAATGGATGTAGGCATAAGTGGTGCCACATCAACGTACTAGTGACTGAAGACGTCAAACAGACAAAATACTGTGCATTTACCTTGACAAAGGTTGGATATCCTATCTGTGGTTACTCGACGACGCGTGCGGCTTCATTGATCAGCCGGTTCTGTTCGGCGTTCCAGAACCTTCTCAGCATGCTCCTAGAGCCATGTTGTGAGCTTCATCGAAGCCTTTGGCTGGCTGTTCGCCTCTGTACTCCATGTGGAGGTTGAGCTCAGAGTGGACGACGCATCCTCGCGATGGATTGGTCTCTGCTGGAGCGACGACGATGTATCCCAGAGTCCGGTACTGCAGCTTGGCCGACGACAGGAAGAAGCAGGACCAAATGAAGATGACCCTCTCTTCTTCTTCAAACTTGCGAAGGAAGTAGAGCTTGTCGAAGTGAACAGCACAGCCCCGGTGGTCGAGGTTGACAGATCGGTCGCCCTGCAACGAATTAGGCTCCGATCCTTTCGCCTAGATCAGAGAGAATATGAAGAAATACCAGTTAGCGCGGTCTTGGGGTTTAGAGAGAACACAGAGCAACATCGTACGTAAGTGCTCGCGAGAGAAGTCCAAAGCGCGTCGACTACTGCGTTCACGGAGCTGTCCAGCGGTGTGGTCGTGACGATCTCGAGCGTTCTGGACTGGGTCTTCTCGTCGTATTTCGGCTCGCTCCTCGTGAAGATTACTCTGGTCGCTGGAAAACGTGGTCAAAGTCTTGGTACAAGCCTACCACGCTCTTCTGCAATTGTGCTGGTATAACCCACAGTGAAGTACGAATCCTGGAGCACCGGCGATGATAGTTTCTTCACGAAATCGTATCCCTACAAAGCAGAAAATAGCAAAAACAATCAATAAGTATTGAAAATCGCCTCAGGAATTCCGATCTACTACCCACCTGGAGCGTGTCTTCTTGCCGTAGAATACCCGACAATTGCTTGCGATGCTTCTGCAGGCGATCGCGGACTTCTTTAATGCGTTTATTCGTCTGCTCAGCCTGAAGACGCTCTCGGTACTCAGAAATTGCGCAGCCGTGCCAATCCATCAATGAGTTCTCTCGCTCGACAAGCTCTGGCGCTGGAGTTTGGGGCCTAGTGCCTGAGCTGCAGCCCTTTTGTCTCTCTAACTGAGTCTAGTACCCTTCCAGCTGCACGGCTTCTTGGCGTAGGACCTCGATCTCAGCCTTCCTGCGACGTTGGAGCGTGGTGGAAGCTCGACGTCTTTCGTACTCGCTTCTTCTTCCTCGGTGGAGAGGCGGCATTCAGCAGCTCGTCGAGGGCTTCAAAGGTCAGCAGAGCGTCAGTAGTTCCGGCTCCGCGGGTACTTTCAGCCACACTCTCGTCGTCGCAGGAATCGATGAAGGCGAGCGCCTCGTCGAGCGTCACCAAGCTGCTCGTCGCCATCGAGTCTTTTGCGTTGTGGTAGCGTTGGTCTAAGCACGATTCACAAGTAAATGTAATGTTTAGTCACGGCAGACTTGTTTCGGTACCCCAAGGATCCAGGTACGGATGTTCGATGTCGGTAGAAGTACCGTCGTCTTGGCTCACGTGTACTGCAGCAATGATTACCTAGTGTTAGAAGAGGGGGTTCGTCCGTAAACCGCGCGGTTACTACCACGGCACGGCACAGTACAGTGTCCGTGAGCCGCAATTAATTTTACAGAGGGACATTCAACAACGTGTCCGTTCAGTACTGGAAGCTCGCTCGTGTAGAGCAGAGGCCTGGGTACAACTCAATAGGAGTGATATGACTGGCCAAACTTTAGTACTCGATTCCACGCAAACCGATTTTGCCGCGACATGTTTTATGGAGTACTTAGTAGTAGGCATCGACCGCAAAGTTAAATGCGTAGCAACTCATGGTAATTTAGTAATAGCCAACATGTAGCTACTCAACGACGCGCGCGGCTTCATTGATCAGCCTGTCCTGCTCGGCATTCCAGAATCTTCTCAGCATCCTGCTGAGAGCCCCTAGAGCCCTGTCATGAGCCTCTTCGAGGTCTTTAGGAGGCAATTAATTCTCCTCCGCATTCCATGTAGAGCTTGAACTCAGTGTGCACGACGCATTCTTTGGACGGATTGGGGAGCGATCACGCAGTATCCTAAAGTGCGATACTGCAGGTTCTTCGACGGCAAGAAAAAACAATCGGACCAAACGAGAACCACCCGGTCTTTCTCCTCGAACTTACGCAGGAAGTAGAGCTTGTCGAAGTGAATGGCGCAACCACGGTGATCGATGTTGAGCGGTTGCCCGCATTGGAACGCAGTAACCTCCGGCCGGTATTGGATAATGCACCCCGAAAACGCCCCAAATCCCAAAGTTTTTCCCAAATGATTTAAGACCATGGGATCGTTTTGGTACATATTTAGGACAGAATAACCCTCAGTATGAAAGAGCAGCACAGGGCGGACACTCGCGCGTTGGCTCTCGTCTGCGGACTTAGCGACGGGTTTGCGGGGGGCCCGCCCCTCTCTCGCTTCGCTCGGGGGGCGCCGCTGCGCGGCCTGCCCCATCCCCTTGTCCCTTACGCTAAGCTCTTCGTCTCGGCCAGGCGCCGTGTCTAGAAAAAAAAATATCGGGTTGCAGCGCTCGCGTTCGCTCGCTCGCACAGACACGCCCCCGCCTAATCGGCGGGTGTTGGCGATTAGTGAATGCATCGAGTGAGGCTCGCGCTCGCCCTCGCCCTCGCCCACAGACAAAAGACCATAATCAGTCAACTCCGTTTTGGTACATATTTGGGATAGTTTTACGAGAAAGCAGTCATATACTTGGCCCCAAATATGTACCTAAATGTTACAGAGACAATTCATTATTTGGGACATTTGGGGCGATTTGGGCACATATTTGGGATGCATTATCAGCTTCCCCTCCGGCCCTTTCACCTAAACGAGAAAAATCACAACGTTAGCGTAAATTCTATGGCTCTAAAAAATCTTACGAGCACATACTTAAGTAATTGCTCGCGAGAAAAGTCCAAAGCGCGTCGACAACCGCTCCCACGGAGCTTTCCAGAGATATGGTGGTGACGGTCTCGAGGGTTCTGGACTTGGTCTTCTCGTCGTATTTCGGCTCGCTTCTGCTGCAGAGCACACAATCGTGCTGGCGCCGTTCGTGTATTGGAGGCTGCTGCGGCGGCTGGAAAACCTAACAAGCCCATCACTTTCTGCTGCTGTTGATGAATAATCATCGTGTGAGTCTCGGAGCACCGGCGACGATAGTTTCTTCACGAAATCGTATCCCTGCCAAAGCGAAAAGAAAGAAACAAACTGCAGTCAATTGCCATCCAAACTACGTCACAAAAATCCGATCCACAACTCACATAAAGGGCATTCCCATGCCGAAGAGTATCCAGTAGCTTGTTGTGAAGCTTCTGTAGGTGGTCGAGGGCTTCTTTCAGTCGCACATTCGTCTGTTCAGCCCGAAGACGTCCTCGGCACTCAGCGTTAGCACAGCCGCGCCAGTCCATCAATGAGTCCCCTCGCTCGCCAAGGTGTCTGGGTCCTGAACTGCGGTCGTGTTGTCGCTTCAACTGCGCCAAATAGCAGCATGGCTTCTAGCCGTAGCACCTCGATCTCGTTTTTCTTCCGACGTTGGAGCGTGGTGGAGGAGCTGGAAGCTGCACGCCCCCACCTCTTCGTTCTCGGTGGAGACGCAGTATTCAGCAGCTCGTCGATAACTTTGAAGGCTACCAAGTCCTCGGTTGTTATGGTGGCAGCCGGTCTTTCAGACATACGTCCAGTATCGAGCGTGTCCATGAAGTCTCGTACTCGGAATACAGAAGCTACTCGCCAGCGTCCATCGGGGCGATTGAGAAGTGATGCTTGTCCTGGTTGGGTTGGACCGCCATGGCTCACGTGTAGCAATGATTACCTTGTTTCCAAGGCGGATTTCACCCGTAAGCAACGCTACAGGTATCCGCTATGGCAGTTGCGGGATATTCGACGACGTGTCCGCACTGAATGAACGTGTACTTGTCATTATGAAAAGAGTCCATCTAGGCAAATGAAAGGCACATTTTAACTTACAAGACTCGTAAACGACTTCATGCAGTAGCATTCGTAAGTCACATCAACGACACGTGAGGCTTCTTTGAGCAGCCTGTTCTGCTCGATGTTCCAAAAGCCTCACGTTATCCTGCTGAGCTCCTAGAGCCTTGTTGTGGGCCTCTTCGAAGCCTTCAGCAGGTCGCTCGTCTCCGCATTCCACGTGGAGCATGAACTCGGTGTGAACGACGCATTTTCGCTCCACACGAGCGATGGCGGTACACCCGTCCAATACTGCAGCTTCGTCGTACCAAACGAGGAGGACCCGGTCTTCCTCCTCACAGTTGCGGAGCAAGTTATGACGTCAATTTTGGCACTGTTTCACTCACGTCCGGGGATTGAGGGTGGAAATACAAGCACTAGGACACGAGCCATTCGAGTCAGCAACTGTAACACGCGTGTACGCATAATATTGAAAACTACATAATCAACCTCGCGATGTCACATCATCGAAGACCTCTCACTCCCAAATACGTCTCCTTACCAGCGTTATGAGTTTCCTAGTCACCGAAGACGACACTTCCATTCTCAGCGAGGCGTTCGCCTTCATCGACGAAGCATGCAGCGGTGGCAGCTCCCCTGCTGGACTCGAATCGACAGACGGCGACAGCGGGCTCGATGCTATTCCCTCTCTCAACATTCTCGAGGTTAATGAAGAGGGCGCTAAGGACAACCGCAGGGAACCGAAGCAGAAGCCGGCGAGGAAGCGTCGAGTCCGAAGTGCTGAGACTTCATCCACCGGGCTGCAGAGACGCAAACGCGCAGAGCTGGCGAGTTTGCGCGAGCAAGCGCAAGAACTAGAAGGCGTTCTCGTTCAAATGCAGCGCGGGGTCGTCGCTGGTCCATTAACAGAGAGAGCTTCAGAGGAGCGGGATTCGAGACGCTGCGAGTGGTACAGGCACGCGCTCGAGCAGTGCCAACTGCGGCTGCAGGCGGAGAAAACCAACCGACAGCTCAAGTCCATCCTCAAGAAGCAAGCCAAGGTCCACGAAGCTCTGAACGGTGTCTTGCAGAAGCGGTCGACACTATACGTGAGTGGATCAGGGCTCTTGTGCGTGTGCATTTCGAGATGAAGCGGTAATAATGCGGTGGGCGCTTTGTTCGCAGGGCTTGGATTACTTGATGAAGAGCGAGATGTCACGGTGTGGCGGCGCGCTCTCTCGCTTCAGTGTTGTCGATGCGGCGATGACAGAGCTGGAGGAGACAGCGGAACACCTTCTGCTTCACTCCAGCACAAGCAAAGCTCGCCGTCAATCAACTCCTCGGTGGTGTGCAATTACGACCAACGGCGGCAAACCAAAGTCGTCGAGTTTGAGACGACCACGCCGCTGGGCTGTTCACTGCAAGACGCGACTGCATTCGTGTGGAGAAACTTCCAGATTGACAGGGTAAGAAGCTTTCATGTGGGTTGCAGTGATATCGAGGACTGTTTCAGGCTAATCTAATGTTTGGCAATGCGCAGACACTGGGGCTCAAGCCGAACACGCTCCTGAAGAAGGTTGTGATCACGATGCCGAGCCGCAACGGCGCCATTCAAGCCGAGAAGCTCAATTACGTACGCAAACACGAAGATGGAGATCAGACGCTGATCAGTTGGGCCGACCTCATGGTGCTCCCCACGAAGAGCGAGCTCCACTTCAGAGCGGAAGGATTGATTCTTCTGACGCCTTCACAAGCCGACCCGAAGCAGACGCTGCTGAGGTCGTTTCTTAAGCTCTACCTGGACAACAACAGTGCGAGCTTGTATGTAGGTCCCGAGGACATCGCGTACGCCCAGGATATCGTCCTCGGAGCAATGGCCGCGAAGATCCGAATGTTCTGGCAGTCATTCCAAAACATGCTCATCGAGGAAGCGGGGCCGGCGTCAAGTGACGCCTTTAGTGTCGCGTATCCGGATACGAGAAGTCCTCTTGGAGATATCTAAGAATGTACTACACGTGTGTGTATGCCGTCATTGCACAAAACGCCAATGCCAAGCTACCTTCGGCTTTTGCTACAAGCTGGCGCGCCGCTGGATGACATGAACGTCTACCTAGCCTTACAAGAGCTTATGGCCCGATTCCGTTATCACCAGATTGATCCGACCGTCGTAGGCCCCGTAGATGTCGCCGCAGCACTTATCCGCCTTGAAGCCGTGACCCGCCAGCACGCGATTGAGGTGAATGATGCATATACCCAGGGGTCGGACAATACAGTATGAAATTGTATTGCGAGGCCAAAGCTGCAGTAGTAATAACGGCAATATGAGGGCAACCAATACGACGCCATAGCCGCAGGCGGCCGCGGGCATGAACATGCAAGGACTGTCCGTAGGTGTGTGCGCATTAGGTGTCGACTCGTAGACAGTGGAGCGCTCTCCAAGCTGTCTGCGAGGGCATGAAAGCTAGCTATACGAGACCCGCAGCATGAGTGTTGCGTATGTTCTGCTGTCGCGTGCTTACTTCGCTAGGCTCTCCCTAGCGGCCGCCAACGCCACCTCCGAGAATACCATCGAGGGCGCGCACGCTAGTGCGGGTGTTTGCGCTGTGGATACTGCTCTAGCGCGCCCGAGCCGTAGCCCTTCCTGCTTCGCCCTCTCGGCTTCGCCACCTACGCCGGGAAGGGGACCATCGTATCTCTCAAAGTGCGATCTCACCGAGATCGCACTTTGAGATCATCTCACATTTATTGAGCAATTTCTGACTACCCCCGTATCGCTCAGTTTTTGCTTATCTTTTGGTCATTTTCTTGCTCAGATATTGGGAATCCCTTGGCTTACTTTTTGGGAGGGATTTTCCAGGTTCGACTCCCCCTAATAATAATTGGTACAATTTAAGTATGTTGTACCATTCGTGACATGAGCTATTCATTGCCAAAATGTGACAGGAAGGCCGCAAACTTCACGCGAACTTTACGCAAACGTCCCATGGCTGATATCGAACTATTACTGAGGTGTCAGGCCAACCTATACAGTGAGAAAATACAGGTAGAGGCTGATGACGATTACAATAGCCCTGTACTGTTTCCAGGACGGTTTTGGGAAGTGTTCCTGTCCGGCAAAGCACTATTGAGTATACACCGCTTACTCCACAAAAGCCTCGCAACCCAAGGCTGTGTCCTCGACCCAAAAAATACAGATTATAATAGTTTATTATAGCATGTTCATCATTTACAACCCCAGAATTCATTGTATTTGATATTGTATTGCTATTATTGGGGCAATATCATATTGTATTGGTTTCATGAACTTCCAATAATTGTAGTGGGACAATACCATAATAATTGTTTTGCTATTATTTTTTCCGACCCCTGTGTATGAAGACGGGGCAGTGCTCAGTGGTTTGCTGCGTACAGCAACTGGGGAGCCTGAGCGGCAACTGCAAGATGATAAGGAAAATAAGAAAAAATGCCGCCACATCGTCTAAGACGATCGAAAGCCGAGACGAGCGTTCCCCGACCAGGCCCCAAGCGGCAACTGGAAGCGCGTTTGTGGAACGTCCCAGCGGCAGCTCATAACTACCGATGTGTTTAAGACTGCGCACAGCAGCAGGCGTTCCGGCCACGCCCAGCAATGGTGAACCTCTGCCAAACTCGTCTCCTCCAAGCCGGGCGGTTCCATCTCTCGAGATGTGGGACCTTGTTCCGCCCGAGTTCTTCCCGTCGCCCTACAGTGACTGGCAAGACTGGAGCTTCGGCTGTATCAACGAGCTGAGTATCCTGCTCAACGATTGCTGCGGATGATTCGCTGCATCAATCACGAGTTCGATTCACGCAGTTTCTGACGAGTTAAGGCGCCGAATTCGGTGCCAAAATGGTCTGGACTGGAAAACGTGGGCATAAGTAGTTGATGCAAAGAAGGCGGCGTAAGAAAACATCGATAACTTGGTGAAAAATGCAAGCATTTGACGCTTGATCCAATTGCTGATGTTACACACGAGCAACGAAGAAGTACGTACCTTGCCCGCGTTGAGGAATGCAAGTCTCGGTCTAGCACACTCGACTAGTGGCAGGAATAAGCTCCGGGTTCTGTTGTGCTTCGATGCAGTCAGCTTGGATCTTCTGACAGTGCGACCACATGATCGTGCCCAAGTTCTGCAGCACAAACAGCTTGGTCGCCTCTGCGGTTTGTGCCTCGGTAAATGTATGCGAGAATGGATTCGCGTCAACCTCTGCAGTCAGTCGATATCTCGTCTGGATAACGGATCCAGATTGAGAGCTGGCAGGCGACTTGGAGACCAGAACGAACCCTTCTTCCCGGAACCGCATCGCGCTATCCACCGGGTGGTCACGTATCAGCGACGAAAACGTGAGCACCATGCGTCCCTCCTCCTCGTAGGTCCTCGACAGCGACAAGGCACTCAAGGCGACTGTCATCTCCTCGTCTCGCAGCTCCACCTCCGTCTCCTTCTTCGTGCCCAACTCCGACAGATATTTTTTCTACAACCCAAAATAAAAAAATATCAGCACTTCCACCCAAAAAAACATGAATACACTCCCACTCACGTGTTTCCTGTAGTGGTCCGCCTTCATGCTCATCACCACCCTCTCTGCTTGACCGAAGCTCAAATTCGTCGCAAGAGCCGACGTCAGCTCCACGTAGGGCAAGCCGGTCACAGCATCTCGTCTCACTTGAACCCCAGTAGATACCTCTCTGATCTGAATCCGGTCCAGTTCCAACCCCGAGCTAATGTCCACATACAACCTGCCCAATCTGGCCGCGAGCTCCCCGTAGATGGCGTCATTGAGGTTCGGCACGAAGTTCTTGAGCGCGTGGGTGGGTGGCGGGGTCCTCAGCGCCTCTTCGATGTGGACCACCGCGGTCACATTGTCCAGCACGTTCTTCACAGCGCGAGCTACTCGGCTCTGCTTGGTCACGACGTCCAGCAGCTGCCGGTGCCTCTGCTCGCTCTGCAGTCGGAGCTCGCGCTCGAGCTGCGCCATGTTCTGCCAGGCCTGGGCCACCCTCAGCCTCTGGGTCTTATCCAGCCGGCGACCCAAAATAGTTTTACCACCCACATTCTTATTTTGGATCTTTTGGAGCTCCTGCAGGCGGGTCTCCAGCGCCGTGACCTGCGCGCGCAGGGCCAAAAGTTCGGCCCGTTTCTTCTGCTGGCAGCGGCGGGAGGCCGCGGCCTTGCGCGTCTTCCGGCGCTCCACGGAGCTCACGGGCGGAGGCGGTGGCAGCTTCCCGTCGTCGCTGCTGCTGGCCGTGGAGGCCGTGGAGTCGCTCTCGAACGTGTCGATGAAGGCCAGCACGTCCGTCAGCGTGGGCTCGAGCTCCTCGAGCGGCAGGAAGGTCATGATGTTGAGGAAAGAACAGGAATGACGGTAGGATGATTAACTGTGGGCTGAATTCACTTTAGTGACATATAGTGACGGTTGGAAAATGGATGCTATCATTTAGAGGATAGATACATGTCCTGGACCAAGTTGGTAGAGGAGTACGACTGTTAAGACGACGTACTTGTGTATTTTCGGCAAGGACGGAAAGTTTGGTGCTGGGCTGTATGTCATTGCCAACAATAGCTGGAGGTGCATGTATAGTCTCAAAGTGCTCTACTTAGTTCTCTCTTTTCAAATAGCTCGACTGGGACGCATCAATTCTGGTCGACACGGGTAGGATCGCGTGGCGTATCTCAACACGCGATAGTGATGTAAGTTTTACAGCGACTGCGTCTGCAGTTCACTTTTCGTTTTACCTGCCAACCAACCAAGCCTACAAGCTATCCAGAGGAAAAGTTCCAAGTCTGGTGATCCTGGTCCATTCTCGGTGATCAAAAGTGGACCGAGATTTCAAAAACAGGGACACAATGGGGGATCACGGTGGCTACGGTGCTTGTTGCGGCAGTTCTCGCAATTTCTCTCGTCACTGCAAAGCCGTCAGACACCCGCAAGGCCGATGCAAACGGCAAGCGCTTCCTGTCCTCTACCGAGAATGAGGAACCTGCGGACTTGAAGTCAAAGCCCTTGTTCTACTTCCTGGGCGACTCGATCACGGAGCAAGCGATTGATCCAGCGAAGGGCGGCTACATCCCACTACTGCAAAACATGGTCTCCCGCTCGGCTGACGTCGTCGCCCATGGACTTTCGGGCTACAACACACGGTACAGTCCTAAGTATTATTCTCATTGTGTTGATCTTTGTTTCTCACCATCATTTTACTATGCTAGATGGGTACTGAAGTACGCCATGCCGGTCGTGGAGGAAGAGATCAAGAGCCGCACGTACACTCCGTCGGTAGTCACGATCTGGTTCGGCACCAACGACGCCGTCATCATGGACGGCAGCAGAGCAGAGAAGCACGTCTCGGTTGAAAACTACCAGGAAAACCTGGTAACCATCGTACGCAAGTTCCAGGAGCTTCTGCCTTCGGCCGACATCCTGCTGATCACACCGCCACACGTCGATGACGAGGCCAGACGCGAACATGCAGAGGAAAATACCGGCAAGTTCAAGGGAGTCGTGGACCGCTCTCACGCCAGGTCGGGCATGTACGCTCGTGCATGCGTCGAGACGGCCAACAAAATTGGGGTACCCGTGCTAGACCAGGCTTGCGCAAGACTGCCTGGCGCCCGGAATCCAGAACTCTACCTGCACAAGTATACAAACATGCATATATAGGATTACGAAAACAGAAAAACACTTGCATTTAGTATAGGTTAGCTCAGCTTCTAGAACGATACTAAGGAGAAAGCAAGAGGAAGACCTAGAGCCCGTAGCTAGCCCGAAGACTTAAAGGCATCAATCTCACTTTGCATTTTACCCAAAAGCAAGCAAGCAACCACAACAACTCCACGCACTTTCGCTACGGCAGGTCCCACCGCATCGGAGCCTGTCATTTGGTAGCACTTGTTGGTCCCCTCGCAACCGCGCTTCGCTCAACCTCAGGGAGGTCTTCGGGCACCGGCTGGGGGTTCGCTTTTGACCGCGCTTCGCTCAACCTCGGAGAGGGCTACGGGCACCGGTGATTGGCTGTAATTCGGACCCACCTGACATCTGTCAAGGGAACGTCGGCATAAGTACGAGGCACCAGTTGTAGCGGCGCACCCGATCCAGTCCGGCTATCGAGTTCGGCAGTTAGGGGTAGTGCCGTCCGCTCTGAGATGCCCGGGCCGCTTCTTTGATTGGATGGCTGGACGTAGGGGTCGTTGCGTTGACAACGCTGTTCCCGACGGGTCTTTTGAGAGGCTGGGTGTAATCGAAGCCACCGACATCGACAAGTTGCGCACCGATTGCTACCGTCAAATCCGGCACGCGGTGCGAACGACCGAACGGCTGCTGAGAGATCTTGCTGAGGTCAAGCCACTGACTTCGGAGGAAAGAGACCAGAAAAAGGCGGTCATCCACCAGCTCTGTCGCGTCCAGCGTAAACTCGGCAAGGCGACCGGCCTCATCAACCTCGGTGTAGCCAGGAATTTGGACCCTCGTACCACCCGTCAGCAACTCGAGCACGACAACCGCCTCCGTGACCGCGAGGAAGCCCACCGCCAGCGTAACCTAGCTACTGTAAGGGAGCTGATTAACTCGTCTAGCGAGCAGTAAACACGTTTTAGTCGCTTTTTTACGGCAATTTATCGTAATGTGTGAAAACGAATACCTTCGCGGGTATATCGTTTTAGAGGGAATCAGCTTTGTTACTAGTTAGACTTTTGGGTTAAGGCTTTCGCGTGCGAAAGGATGGCGAACAAGATGGCGGACGTCTCGGAGCACATGCAAGGAGTGCTGCAGCTGATGCAGCAGCAACAAGAGATGATGAGAGTAATGAACGAGCAACGAGGAACGAATGACTTCAAGTTGGATGGGGTTAGACTACCCAAGTACACGGGGCATGAGTCTGAGTCGTTCCGCCTGTATCAGGAAGAGTTGTCGCAGTACTTTGAGGCCCGCAACATTGACTGGAAGAACGAGCGTTGGGCGACGAGGGTACTGGCCATTATCGGGAGCACGTTGAAGGGGCAGGCTGGTCAGTGGTATCTGGCGCGGAAGCATGAGATCTACTCTGCGGAGCAGTTACTCCGAGAGTTGGCACGCGCGTTTGTTCCGGCGGATCTTCAGTTGCGGCTGCGTGAGCAGTTGCGACACCTGAACCAGAAATCTTGCAAGTCGTTGGGTGATTACGTTTCACGGTTTCGCAATATTGTACTACAAGTGGAAGACATGACGGAGATCGACAAAGTGGTGTACTTCTCGCAAGGGTTGATGCCAAATACACATCAAGAAGTACTGTACAAGCGTCGTGAAACCCTTACGGATGCCATTACGGTAGCGATGGACTATGAACGCTCGCACTTCGGTGCTCCGGCGCGCACGGGACGTCGCGACCGTGATCACCCACGATTCCGCAGAAACGAGTCGACTTCAAGATCAAATGGTCCTGAGTCAATGGAGATCGACAGTGCGCAACAGCTCAGTCTAGAAGAGTGCCGTCGGCAGAGGAGATGTTACAACCGCTTCCGTGGTGGTCACATTGCAGCCCACTGCAAGGCTCCTCGTCGGAACCAGCGCCCCTACAGAGGTCCGAATCAACGTCGACGAGACTCGCAGTACGTCAATGCTGTGGAGCAACACGTCAGCGAGGGTGAAGAAAGAATCGTGTACGATCAGTACACTGTGGATGCGTTTGAGGAAGTCAGCATGCATGACATGGTTGCTAGACCGGATAATAAGCTCATTCGCAAACCCGGAAGAATCGAAGGGCGCCCAGTAACGATACTGCTTGAATGTGGTGCTACGGCAAACCTGGTACGGCCAGGAATGGTATCGAAGGTGACAGGAACTACGGATGTACAGGTGAAGGGCTTCGATAGAGAGATCAAGGAGTATCGCGATGTGAAGGTAGTGAAAGCGGACATCAGCATGGAAGACAAGACGTTCGAGAGGATGCGTCTAACAGAGAATCCACTGGTGATTGAACATGACGTTATCGTGGGTAAGCCGTGGTTTGCCAAATATCAGCCAACAATCAACTGGCGAACGCATGAAGTAGTATTTCCGAGCATGGAAGAGAGACCACGGCCCAAGACGGACAAGAACGCAAACAAGATGGAAGATCAGAAAGAATGTGAGAAAGGCGCCGTCACATTGGACCCGAGCGAAATTGAAGAGTCGGAGTCGGCAGAAGAGCAACGAAAGAAAGCGGAAAAGGAAGCAGTTCGCGCACGTCATCGGTCACATCTCGCCTTGGCTGAGGCATGGCGTAATGGTGTCTTTGGGTCCACGAAGAAGTTTCGTCGTCGTATGCAGGACAGGAAGTTTGCGGAGCTGTTCTTCGTCAAGGTCTGTGTAGCAGTGGAATGGGACAATGTACCAGACTACATTAAACCTTTGCTGGTCAAGTTTGGTGATGTCTTCCCAGAAAAGTTGCCAGATGGCCTACCTCCCGAGCGCATCGTCGAGTTCGACATGGAGATGAAGCCTAACGCCGCTCCTAGCACCCGAGCACCGTTTCGACTGTCTAAAACGGAGCAAGAGGCATTGGAAAAGTTCGTCGCGGAAAACATGAAGAAAGGGTGGATAGAAGTCTCCAATTCACCCTGGGTCTCCAATATCTTCGGTGTTCCTAAGAAAGATCCTGCGACTGGTCAAATCCCGAAGCGGGCAGAATGGCTACGATCCGGGAATAGTTCCATTCCGATTCGTTGGGTCATCGACTTCCGCTATGTCAACAGTCAGACGAAGCTCCCGAAGATTCCATTACCGCTAATCGAGGACATCTTTGACAAGATGGTCGGCTGCACAGTGTTCTCGGTTCTGGACCTGGCCCAAGGTTACCACCAGATGCGGGTCAAGCCGCGTAGTCGTCAGTACACCGCTTTTCGTACTCACAAGGAGACTTACCAGTGGTGTGTCGCTCCGATGGGTTTTTCGGGTATGCCTGGGGTTAGGTCATGACTGATGCGCGTCCTGTTTGACAAGTTCGACTTCGTCGTGGTCTATTTGGACGATATCTGCATCTTTTCCAAGACCAACGAAGAGCATCTCGAGCATCTGGAAGCGGTCTTTGAAGTGCTCCGCCATGAGAAGCTTTATGCGCACCGATCGAAGTGTTCGTTTGGGCAAGCGAGTGTTAACTTTCTCGGCCACACCGTGTCAGCAGAAGGGTTATCCGTAGATGCGAAGAAGACCAGGGCTATCGAGCAATATCCGGAACCAACGAACAAGAAGGAGCTGCAGAGTTTTCTCGGTCTTGCTGGCTACTATCGTCGCTTTATCTGTGACTTTGCGCGACACGCCCTACCTTTGAGTAAGCTGACTAAGAAGCAAGCTACTTGGGAATGGGGTCCGGCGCAGGCAGACGCTTTTCGATCGCTGAAGCACGCCTTGCAGCAAGCTCCTGTTCTTCGTTTGCCTGACTTCTCGAAACCTTTCACGGTCACAACCGACGCATCGGGTAAGTGCATGGGCGGTGTGCTCTCGCAAGACTTCGACGGCAGCAGCCACCCGATTGCCTTCTACTCAAAGAAGCTCAATGTCCATGAAGTTGGCTGGCCTCCACATGAGCAGGAACTTTTGGCCATCAAAACCGCTCTCGAGAAATGGCGTCACTACCTTCACGGCCGGCACTTCGATGTCTTTACCGACAATGAAACTTGCAGTTGGATGTTGCATCACCCTCAGGTATCGCCTAAAATGGGACGCATGCTTACATTCTTCTCGCAATTTGACTTCACTGTGGTATAGCAGTACACACAAAATCGTCAGTTGTGGTTACTTGGCTACAAACACAACAATAGCCGAGCTGGTCGGCTTTGTTGGCCTGCGCCGGGTTGCCCCCGAGCGGTTCGGCCCAACCGGGACAGCGGGTGTCTCGCCTCTCGCCGAGACCTGCCAACCAAGATCACTCCTCCGGAGAACCGCCGAGTTCGACGGCCTCCGTTCACTCAACCCTGTGCCCTCCACCAAAGGATGGACGACGGCGCACGGAGCGCTTTTACAGGTCGCCGAGAGCAAAGGCTTCTCGACTCAGCAATCAGTGCCCGGGACGTACGGGAACACCGGCTCGCAGCGGTGGCGAGACTTTCCTTCGCGCTTGGCGAGACTCGCGCCCAACCCGGGCCGACCTTAATCTCTTGGCGCTGCCAGCCGAGTACCCTACAAGCTGTGCCTCTCGGGTACCGGCAGCAGACATAATCCGGCCCCGTGCAGGGACTTACCGGAACGTGTGCACGTGTTGTGGACCTAGAAAATTCTGCTCTGTTGTTTGTTATCTCTGTCGGGCGCCCTGAAGGGGAACCTCCACTATTCCTAAGCTCCTATACAAATACCAAATGAAAGTGGGCGGTTTTGGATCTCGGCCGACTCTTCGCTGAGCTCGGCGACGCCTAAGCTCGGCTGGTCCGGATGAGCTATCCGGACAATTCTTCGAACTCGGCTGAGTCGGATAAGGTGTCCGGATAAGCTGGTGAACTCGGCTGAGCTCGGCTACCGGTACAGTGTACCACTCCAGCCGAGTTGGTCGCGCGAAATCTGGTGTTTCTTGCCCCGGTCATGTTCGGAGCCGAGTTGGTGAGGGACCTGACCACCACTCCTTGAGTCGAGTCCAATCTCGGCCAAAACTCCAACGGCAGCGAACAAGTCTCCGCGCCATGTCGTCGTCCGGCGCTCCTGCCGCTCCTCCGGTACGTTCCTCGCCTCCGACGGCTCCATCCATTCTGCTGCTGACCCTTCTTCTACTGATCTTCACAGACTTCAGTTGCGTCGTCTTTGCAGTCTTCACATCTTCCCGCGCGAGATGAGGGGAAGTTCGCTGAGTTGGTCGACTCGGCGTCCCGGGCTCGCGGGGTCAGCGATGGGCAGGAGCACCCTGTCATCGATCTGACAACTTCCCGTGGGTTCGACCGGGAGTCCGAGCCGGCATCTCGCACTTCTCCTCCTCGCCACTTGCCGAGTCCGCGTGGCGACACCACTTCGGACGCCGCCGACCTTGGTCGGTCGGACTCGGCTGGGCCGGTGAGTCTCGACTCTCTCGCTGCGCTGATCCATGCGCAGTCCGAGCAACGCCGCATCGAGAACGCGGACTTGGCTCGGCTGTTGTCATTCGTGATCACTCGTCCCGCGCTGGCGGCTGATAGAGAGGTCCGCCGAGCTGCCCTCGAGGCGACGTCCGTCAGCGAACTCGTGCGCCTCCTTCGCGGTCAGCACCAACCTTCAAGTCAAGCTAGTGACGTCGCTGCACTGAGGGTTGAGCTGGAGTCTGCTTGGACTATTAACGCTGACTTGACTCGGCGGCTGGATTCACAGGCGGCTGTGAAGGCCGACCTCGAGGAACGGTTGAAGACTGTCGAGGAGGAGCGTGACCGATGGAAAGCCGAGTCGAAGAAGTCGTCCCCTCTCCTGACCAGCTTCCGGAAGGCGATGGCCGAGTCTGAAGCTTCCTTGATGTCGGCCCGCAAGTCTCAGGATGATAAAGTGAAGTCGGCTCTCGCTCACGCTAAGGATCTCGGCAGGCAGCTCAGGGAACGCGACTCGGAGATTGAGCGTTTGACTCAGCTTCTTTCGGCTTGTGACGCCAAGTACGCTGTGCTCCAGGGGATCTCGACCAACACTTCGAGCAACTGCAGGAGTCGGTGACGGCGGCTGGTTCTCAGCGCAAGCCCAAGAAGCCACTCGAGCAGCCGTACGCGTGTCCACTTCCTGGTGAGGTCGGCCATGAGGACGCGTTGGTCCAGCTTGAAAAGGCTGCCCAAGAGACTGACGCCGCATGCGACCTATCGCTCCGGTCGAGCTTGAACTTAGCCGGGTTGACTGTCGACGATGTGAATGTGGAGGCCGGCGACGAGGTTCACTCGCTGGAAGAGGACCTCTCGTTCGATTTCACCGAAGTGCCTGGTTCCGCCGAGCTTCCGAGGGGGCCCGCCGGCCCGACTGTGAGTGTGCCGTCCGTGCAACTCGTGCCTTACTCTTCCTCCCCGGTGCAGACGCCTTCAAGCGGAGTGGCTGTTGTATCGTTGCCTGGATCTGCTGACCTTGCTGCAACTCCGTCCGCTTTTTCGCTTCCTGCCTCGGTTCCGTTCCCGACTCGTGTCCGGTGGGTTCCTCCCTCGACCAGCGTGCCGAGCGCGGCTGTGGTGACATCGACTGTCGGCGCCGGAGGACAACCGGGTTTCTCTGCTCCCGATCCGGCGCTTGCTACAACGCATGCTGTGATTGCGCCGAGCTCGACGGCTGGAGTCTCGGCTGCGGGTACAATTAACAGCTCCGCTGCGATTCCGCCTCGGGTTTCGCAGTCTTCTCCGGGTTCGGCCGCTCACCGGCTCTTGGCATGTACTCGTTCCCGGTTTGCCAATCAAGCCCAGAGTCGTCGTGGCCCGTCAGGGGTGGCGTCGACTGTAGTCACCCCAATGCCGAGCACTCCGTCGGTGGCCTCGACCCGGCCAGCGGTTCCTCCGAGCTCAGCTGGGATGACTTCTCCATCGGGTCGCCCTTTACGCTCCACTGCGGCTGTTGAACGCTCACTGCTTGGATCTGTTGGAGACTCCTGACTATCTCGTCCTCCGGTCCGCTCGGCGTAGCTCTTCCTCTGGTTCGTCGGGCTCGGCTCTTGGATTGAATGCTCCTGGGGCCTCAGCACATCCGTTGTCTGTGTCCGAGAGCTCTGAATCTGAGGCTGACGACCCCGGATCTGCTGACGAGCTCAGTTCGGCCGACCCTGACGCATCTCGCCGGGCTTCGTTAGCTTCTGCGCTCCCACCTCCGCACGGGAAGATCTAGAGCTACATGGCTGCTCGTCAATCGCGTCTCGTTCCGGCCAGCGAGTCAGGTGACTCAGACTCACAGCCGAGTTCCAAGAAGCAGAGCGGTAAGGACAAGCGCAAGCGGAGGCGCAAGCACAAGCACAAGCACAAGCCCAAGCACAAGCACGAGCACAAGCACAAGCACAAGCACAAACACAAGTCGATGTCGAAGTCGAAGTCGGCAGGGTCAAAGTAGTCGAAGAGGTCTGCGTCTCCGGACTCGGCTAAGGACCCCCGCCCGTCGAAGCGTCAGCGAGGTTCGACTGGGGACTCGGCCGTCGGTCCGGCTAAGGTTTCTGCCGCTTCCAGCTCGACTAACAACTCGGCTGGGAGCTCTGGCATCCCATCGAGCTCGGCTGTTTCGCCGTCGCCTATTTCTGCTGGTCCAGCTTCAACCCTGTCAGTGCCTATCGTGACCGCTCATGACGCTGGCGCCCACGTTCTCCCTCAGTTGCCTGCAGCTTTACGCTATTCGCTCGCTCAGCTGCGCACTCGAGCTCGCCACGCGATCGGCCGAAATGCCCGGATCACTCCCCAGCTAGCTCAGCTGCGTGACATCCGCTTCGTTCATTACGGGTCTCGGCGGTGCTGGGAGGCTATCCTCAGCCATCAAACGGCCAAGGTCACTGTGGATGACGCGTAGGGGAAGGGTAGTGTGCCGGTTACGCTCTGTTCCCTCGCTGGGATTAAAGCGTTCGCGGACGTCTACCATCCGGATCACCCGGCTCAGCGGCTCCTTCGTCTGCTTCCCAAGACTCCTATCTTCTTCTCCCCTCAGGTCCTCGACGATGCCAAGCGCCGGTTGACGAACTCGGTGAAGTCGGTGACCTTGATGGAGCGACTCGCAGAAGTGTTCGTGAAGATCCGCGGAGAGGCTCCGAACTCGGTTTGTGACAAAGAGGGTCCTACCAAGTTCTTCGTAGCACTGTTCGAGCGGTGTCACTGGATGGTCGAGTCGAGTGTGCTGATGGGGCTACATCCGGCTTTTCACACGGGGCTCCCGTATCACGTGATAGCCGAGATGTATGACACGTGGGTGTTGTACAAGTTGGCTCGCAAGCGTCGAGGCGATGCCCTCCGAAGTCTCATGACTATCCTGCCGGACGACGTGTTCACTGCAGTGATGAAGCTTCTCGGCGGGCTTGCTGCCCCGGAAATCGACGCGGAGCTCTTCTTCGAGCCGTCGGTCCCGTTGTATCCGCTGGTCAATCTTGCTTGGATTCCTGCGGGCAGAGACTGGTGTGCTGAAGCCGAGTCTATAGACGACTCCGAGCCTTGGCGAGCTTGGTGGTTGACCGACCCAGCGACGCACCCGTACAACACCTGCTTCCGGACGCGTAACTTGGAATTCATGGTTTTCGCTCCCGCTGGTGTGGATCCGCGCCTAGTCGAGGATGCTGTCGATGAAGATGTGGACCTCGACGAGCCTGCGCCTCTCCCGATTTCGTCAAGTGCTCCGACTCCGGTCAACCGTGCAGGAATCCACATCTTCCAAGGTTGTGAAGCTGGTGAGCTCGGCTGGGCCGGTGGCGATGCGGATCAGGCGTCTCCGTTGATCGGGTCGCCTAACGTGTGCGGCCCTTCTCCCACGGCTTCCCTCTGTGGTCCGGCGTCACCTGGGCCTCCAGTTGAGTCGAGCGCAGGATCGAGCGACCCTCTGGCTAACAACTCGGCTATCCCGGCTTCAAGCTCAGCGGACTCGGCTGTGCAGACTGCGGGAGCAGCGGATAGCTCGGCCGGCTCAGCTACGAACACTCGAGGTTCGATTGGTCTCCTCGCAGCGGCAGCTGCTACCGTCGTGTCCTCTGTCGCGCATTCACAGGGTCCTTCGTCTCCGTAACGTGCGGCTCAGCCGCCGAGCTCTTCTTCCTTTCCCATCATTCTTCGGTGTAATTCATGTAATGTATGCAATTTGACGCAGTAGCTTCCTTCGCCTCAACTCAGCCTGCTGTCTTCACTGCGTTGGCGGGTTCATCATTTTGGTGCAATAGCTTTAATCCTCGTCTGCAACTTGCACCATTTGCTGACGGTTTTCACGCTTCTTCTGCCGTAAGTAGTCGAACAATAATCCCCCACACGACAAATTCGACAGCGGCTCCCAGGTTGGCTCATCATAGCCGACCCACTTGACCTTGAACTTCCGCTGAGTTCTGGAGGTGCTCGTAGAGAGCGGCAACTCGTCGTCCAGGATGGCTTCGACTTCGTATTCATTCATTGCTTCGTCGGGCTCCCAGCAATCTTCAGGAAGGAGTTCCTCGTCAATGTCGAGACGATCCGACTCGGCTAAGTCGGCTACTAGCCTAGTTGTCGGCCGCTCGCCGAGTCCCGTGACCGCTTTCAGACGTGACACATGTATCACAGGGTAGAAACGGTATCCGCTCTTGTCCGGGAGTTCGAGCTCGTAGGCAAACTCCTCCACCTTCTTCTTCACTCGGAATGGCCCATGCTATCGATGTGCTAACTTCTTGGTCAAGCCAGGTCTGACTCGTTCCATGAACAACCAAACTTGGTCACCTTCCTTAAATCGTGACTTCCTCGACTCAGCTAACTCGTCACCTTCCTCAGTCGACTCGGCTGCTCCCTCGGGTGAGTTCGCTGGGGGTATCCGTCCCTTCCTCCCCGGCTGGGACAGCTCTCTGCTCGACTCGGCTGAGTCCGTCATTGTGTTCCTTCGCTCTCCGTTTCTTCTCCTTCAACTGGAACTCGGCCGCAAGCTTCAAAGCCACCTCTCTCTGTCGGTTTGCTTCCCTGCGCCATTCGGCTGCCCCCGTTGAGTCAGCTGAGTTGCCCCTGCCGAGCCTGACTGACTCGTTCATCGTCTTGAGTGTAGTCCGAGCGTCCCATCCGTGTACCAGGTAGAACGGGGTCTCCCGCCGAGTCGAGCCTCTCGAATTGTTGAAGGAATGGACGAGCTTCTCGGCTACATAATCCCAGTCGGCTTGGAGAGGGGTTTCCACGTACACACGCACAGTCTGGATCATGGTCTACACTGAGCGTTCTCGCTGACCGTTGGCTTGTGGTCGGTAACTCAGCGTCGCTCTCGACTTAGACTGCATCATTTCCGATAACTTCTGGAACACTTCACTCATGAACCGGGGATCTCTGTCGTGGCGTACCAGTGATGGCGCTCCAAACCTCCGGAACACGTTCTCTTCGAAGGCCTTCGCTACCTCAAGTACCCCTGTCTCACTCATTGCCTTAGCAATCACGAACCCGGTGAAGTGGTCTTGAAACAACAGGAGTGCAGTGTTGCCCCGCCGAGTCTTCGGCAGTGGTATGACAAAGTCCATCGATACCACGTGGAACGGTCGCTCAGACACTACGTTGCCAGGTGAATAGCCCTTCAGGTGTGGTTTGCTCTTACTGGTACTGCAGTCTTCGCACGCTTGGACATGTTTGGCCGCGTCTGCGTACAATCCAATCCAGTAGTAGTCGGCTCTTACCCTGTGGTATGTCCGCACAATCCCTTGGTGGCCTCCCTCGATGGAGTTGTGGCAGTTCTGCAGGACCTCGTCTATCATGGTCGTCGGAACCACCAGTCGAAGGGATAAGCCTAGTTCGCCGAGTTCGCCAGGTGGTCTGGCCTTGCCTTGTCGGTAAAATAGCACGTCTTCGCTGAGAACAAACTCGTCGGCAACTTTCCCAGCGTTGTGAGCTCGGCGATGTGTGAGCTGCGCATAATCCCCTCTCAGGTAGGTCTTCAAGTCGGCCCATCGTTGTTCCTCGTCTTGAGCTCTTGCTATTCGCAGGCGGCGCTCAGCTTGGACCACTACCGGATCGATGTCCATGGCGTTGGGCTCCCGGGCTTCTCCGAGCTCGGCTACAGCTCTGCTGGGTTAGCTGGTGGTGCTGCGCTACCGAACTCGGCTTCTCTCGTCACCCGTTGTCTAGCAGGCGGAGGTCGGCTATCTCGTTCAAAGTCATTACGTTCGGCTTCCTCATCCGTAGCTGGGTCCGGGACTGGGTGTTCTGCCGCTTCGTCTTCGAAACGGACTCGGCGGACTTGACTCCTTGTCACGGCAGCCATCTCAACACCCTCGGCCGGGGCTGCAGCCGAGTCCGTGTCCACGTACAGGACCTCAGAGATCCTGTTTAGGGTCTTCAACTCGGCTTTCCGTCCGGCGCTTAGCACGACCTTTCCTGCTTTGGTTTCCAGTGCTTCGGTCGCTAAAGAGTCAGCAGCCGAGTTGTAGAGACGCACTACGTGGAGGTAGCGAACTGAATTCAACTTGCTGACCAATTTCTTGTGGCGTGCTAACTCGACTTGCAATGCCTCCTTCTTACACGCGATCACCCCCATGGATTGCTGGATCGCAAGCCGGGAGTCGCCCACGATGATCAAATCCGTCACCCCGCGCTCAATGGCCGAGGTCACCCCATTGTTCATGCCGGTGTACTCGGCTATATTCACCGTGGTCGATGGGAGGTGCGTGCTCGCAGCGATCTCAATGTTCCAGTCTAGCAAACGCCACAGGATCCAAGAACAACTCCCGAACCCGCCGTATTTAGCAGTCTTCGCCGATCCGTCAAACGACAGGACGTGTCCCTTGAAGTCTCGGGGCACATGCGCATACAGCAATTCTGGGTCCATGCGGACCACAGCCGAGTTCTTGGACGGTGGAGTGACATGCGTTAGTAGCTCGTCCAATCCCACTGCCGGCGTGATGGACGCTTGGAGCAACTGGGCGAAATCCGTGTCCCGTTCGCGGACCCGCTTGACCTTTAGGTGGAACGGTGATAGCAGTACCGCAAAGCTGACTGCTCTGCCGTAGAGAGACTTCGACTGGAACGCCCATTCGAGAGTCGAGTAGCGGGTATAAACATGGATGGTCTTCCCGGCGAGCAACGTGTGGCACACCTTGATGAGCTGTAGCAAGGCGAGAACTTCTTTCTCGGCGGGATGGTAGCCGAGTTCATTATCCTTGAGGACTCGGCCGCAGAACCGCACTGGATGGAGCTTCCCGTCGTGGAGCTGCATCAGCGTGCTACTCAGAGCCCACTCATTGGCGAATAGCATAACGTGGACGTCCTCAGCCGAGTTGAAGTGGCGGAGTATGGGTGCGTCGACCACCTGCTGTTTTAACTCGGCGAACGCCGCTTTTGCGGCCGTCAGATCACCGCCGGGTCCGAAATCTTCGTCCTTCAGCTGATAGAGGACCGCCCCATATACAGCCAGGTTCTGGATGAACCGGCCGTAGTAGTTCAGCGCTCCTAAGAATGCTTGCATCCCCTTCTTCGTCGTCGGGAACGGTAGCCCGGCTATGGCCAGCATCTTTTTCTGGTCGGCTTGGATTCCAGCCGAGGTCACCCCATGTGACAGGAAGTCGACTTTAGGTTGGACGAAGATGCTTTTCAGGAAGCTGACGCTGATGCGGCATTCGGTGAAGCGTTGCAGCAATCGGTCAAGCGTCCCCAACCAATCGTCGAACGTCCTCCTACCGAAGAAGATATCGTCCACAAACGATCGCCGGTCGAAAACCGGTGCAAGGTACGATTCATCAGGTTCACCCGTCCGGAACATGTCGGCTTCTGGGCTGTTAATGAATTCTTCCAATGGGTCAAACTCAGCTTGAGCTCGGCGGTCGGCCTCAAACTTGGTCTGGCCACTGGCTTCAAAGTCGATGTCGGCTGCGAGCCGTTTCCGCTGAGCTTCTGAGGCGGCTTCCGCTTGTTGGATGCGCTTGGCGAACACATTCCAGCCGCCCTTGGGTTGTACGTAACCCCACAGAGCGTTATCAATAAGGCGCTGGTAGATCATTGGGGCATTCTTTAATCCGAAGGGCATCCGCAGCCACTCGAAGTGGCCAAGCGCGCAAACAAAAGCCGAGATCCAACGCGCCCGTCGAGTCATCATGACCGCCCAGAAACCGCTAGCAGCATCCAAAGAGCAGAACCATAGGTATCCGTGAGGAGATCGTCCACTAGCGGTATGGCATACTCCATGAGCAACGTAATCGCGTTTACCAGCTTGTAGTCGATACACAACCGAATGTCGACCCCATTCTTCTTTAGGACAATCCCGATGGGTGATGCCCATGGGCTGTTCGAGATGGCAATTAGCCGAGCCCGTAACAGCGCCTTGAGCAGCTCGTACAACTTGCCGAGATGCTTCAGCGGAACTCGGCGGGCTCGTTGGCGGATTGGCGGATGCCCCTGTACGTCGATGTCACACACTACGCCGTATGCTGGTGGAGGTAGGGCATTACCACTGGAGATCATGATCTTTTCATGGCTCTTCAATACTTCCACCAGCCGAGTAGACTGTGGCCGAGTGTGCGCCGAGCTCCGAACGTTTGGCGCTTCATAGTCGAGTGGCGTCGACACCGCTTCAGTCAGATCGGGCAGGAACGCCAACTCGCGAGCATAGTCTTCGAGCTCCAAGTTCGTTGCTTGGTGCTCGAACTCGGCTGAGTCTCCCGCCGAGTCGCCTCGGCCATCTGTCTCTTCCTCGTACTTGGCTGCCAGAAGGTAACGTCAGCGCAGGTCTTCCTCCGGGTCTGACGACATGGGCTCGTCGCTCACATCGACCTCATCTTCGAGCCTTGGACTCGGCGGCTTGGGCTCGGGTCGTCGATGATCGTCCAGTCAGACAAATCGCTGGATTGCTCACTTTCACACTCATCTGCTGTACAGGCGTTTTGGCTGGGCGCTTCTTGACCAGCCGTCACTGTGATCTCTGCTCGACTAGGCGGGCCATTGACCAAGTCAGCAGTAGGCTCCGCGCTCAATGCTAATTCCTCAGGCGCTAGGGTAGCGATAGCCGAGTTCGCTGGCTCTGTCAGAGTCGAGGGTGGACTATCGACTGCTTCTGCCTCGGCTCGCTCCTCCGACTCGGCTAACTTCTCCCATTGCTGGGCGCAAGTCAGTGCCGAATCCCGCTGAGGGTAGACGGCCACGTAGTCACCCATTTCGGTTCAGGGTAGTTTCTACGGTCCACAGCTGACGGCTGTCGAGTCAGCCACTCGGCGTACAGCTGTTGTTCTTTGTGCAGGAGATCCTTATCCATAGCCGCTTCGTAGGCCATGACTTGCCAATCTTTGTACTTCGCCGAGTGCAGCCTGACGTAACCATCGGGCGGTAACACCCCATGCGGCGCCCAGGCAACCACTGGGAAATGTGCTGGGCACCACGTCCAAGTCGGCTTAAGGTTGGTCAGGCGAACTCGAGCCACTCGGTTACGCCGGTCGAATACCACGGTCGGTACCCAGTCCTTAGTCCGGCGTACCCAGAAGTCATGTGTTTCATCACTCGGTTGATTCCTCATCAGCCTGAACTCGGCGGGAACTCGGCTCTCGAGATTCACCGGTTCGGTCGGGCCGTCTGTGATGTAGAGGCCGCCCTTCGGTTCATCCGCTGAGTTCTGGGACCTCACGAGAGGTAGGACAACTTCATCTGGCAACTTCGCCACCGAGTTTACAGATCCAGGCGGATCCCAGCCGGAATCATGAAGTCCGTACCGAGAATCAACTCGACTCCCGCGTGGTGATCGAGGATCCATACTTCAAATTCATACGTGACCTCCCAGCCGAGCGTCACCTTCACCATCGCTCGTGACATCGTCGCCACTTTGCCTTTCCCAATACTTTGAACGCCAATCTGTTGGTCCTGGCGTGTGAACCGCTTCAACCGCAGCCACTTCGCGAACCCTTCGCTTATTGCCGACACATTCGCACCGGTGTCGAGCAATACCTTTGTACGCTGGTCGTTCACTGCTCCCATAACGAGAGCTCTCATCCGAACTCGGTGGTCAAACTTTTGTGACGACCACCAGCCGAGCCGCTCCCCAGGGAGCAGCTTCATAACTCTGGTGGCTGTGGTCACATCCGTCGATCGCTGAGCCGCAACTGCACTGCACAATCTTGCTCGGCTTTCTTTTCGACTCTCGCCGAGCTCACCATCAAGTCCATCGCTTTCACAATCCAATACGTCGTCTTCTCCTCGGTCCTCGGGCCTTCCTGCCTCACCCACAAAGGCAAAAACAAAGTTCGCCTCTACTGCTGGCTCAGCTGACTGTGGCAGCCCGGTATCATCCAACCCAGTCAGTGCTGGCGGGCCGCCAACTTTAAATCGCTCGGCGTGTAGAGGTCCTGGAGGTCTTCAGGTAACTTGGACTTGTCGACATTGGACTTGACAAATGCGGCGAGCTTCTCATAGCGCTGGAACAGCTCGCATTGACCGACATCGTGCAATTGCTTGCAGAACTTGCAGCGACGGCGGCAGTAGTGAACGGAGTGGTTCGCACCACCGCAGGCAGCACAAGGTCCATACGAAGGGCGTTCACGGGAGTCACTGCGCCGTCCAGTCTGGTCACGCCGATCGTATCCTCGACTGGCGCGGTCAGCCGAGCTCGGCTAATCCCTTCGGTGATCACTCCTTGGTGTCCCAGCTGAAACACAACAATAGCCGAGCTGGTCGGCTTTGTTGGCCTGCGCCGGGTTGCCCCCGAGCGGTTCGGCCCAACCGGGACAGCGGGTGTCTCGCCTCTCGCCGAGACCTGCCAACCAAGATCACTCCTCCGGAGAACCGCCGAGTTCGACGGCCTCCGTTCACTCAACCCTGTGCCCTCCACCAAAGGATGGACGACGGCGCACGGAGCGCTTTTACAGGTCGCCGAGAGCAAAGGCTTCTCGACTCAGCAATCAGTGCCCGGGACGTACGGGAACACCGGCTCGCAGCGGTGGCGAGACTTTCCTTCGCGCTTGGCGAGACTCGCGCCCAACCCGGGCCGACCTTAATCTCTTGGCGCTGCCAGCCGAGTACCCTACAAGCTGTGCCTCTCGGGTACCGGCAGCAGACATAATCCGGCCCCGTGCAGGGACTTACCAGAACGTGTGCACGTGTTGTGGACCTAGAAAATTCTGCTCTGTTGTTTGTTATCTCTGTCGGGCGCCCTGAAGGGGAACCTCCACTATTCCTAAGCTCCTATACAAATACCAAATGAAAGTGGGCGGTTTTGGATCTCGGCCGACTCTTCGCTGAGCTCGGCGACGCCTAAGCTCGGCTGGTCCGGATGAGCTATCCGGACAATTCTTCGAACTCGGCTGAGTCGGATAAGGTGTCCGGATAAGCTGGTGAACTCGGCTGAGCTCGGCTACCGGTACAGTGTACCACTCCAGCCGAGTTGGTCGCGCGAAATCTGGTGTTTCCTACACCACGTAGCCGCAGTGGAGCGTAAAGGGCGACCCGATGGAGAAGTCATCCCAGCTGAGCTCGGAGGAACCGCTGGCCGGGTCGAGGCCACCGACGGAGTGCTCGGCATTGGGGTGACTACAGTCGACGCCACCCCTGACGGGCCACGACGACTCTGGGCTTGATTGGCAAACCGGGAACGAGTACATGCCAAGAGCCGGTGAGTGGCCGAACCCGGAGAAGACTGCGAAACCCGAGGCGGAATCGCAGCGGAGCTGTTAATTGTACCCGCAGCCGAGACTCCAGCCGTCGAGCTCGGCGCAATCACAGCATGCGTTGTAGCAAGCGCCGGATCGGGAGCAGAGAAACCCGGTTGTCCTCCGGCGCCGACAGTCGATGTCACCACAGCCGCGCTCGGCACGCTGGTCGAGGGAGGAACCCACCGGACACGAGTCGGGAACGGAACCGAGGCAGGAAGCGAAAAAGCGGACGGAGTTGCAGCAAGGTCAGCAGATCCAGGCAACGATACAACAGCCACTCCGCTTGAAGGCGTCTGCACCGGGGAGGAAGAGTAAGGCACGAGTTGCACGGACGGCACACTCACAGTCGGGCCGGCGGGCCCCCTCGGAAGCTCGGCGGAACCAGGCACTTCGGTGAAATCGAACGAGAGGTCCTCTTCCAGCGAGTGAACCTCGTCGCCGGCCTCCACATTCACATCGTCGACAGTCAACCCGGCTAAGTTCAAGCTCGACCGGAGCGATAGGTCGCATGCGGCGTCAGTCTCTTGGGCAGCCTTTTCAAGCTGGACCAACGCGTCCTCATGGCCGACCTCACCAGGAAGTGGACACGCGTACGGCTGCTCGAGTGGCTTCTTGGGCTTGCGCTGAGAACCAGCCGCCGTCACCGACTCCTGCAGTTGCTCGAAGTGTTGGTCGAGATCCCCTGGAGCACAGCGTACTTGGCGTCACAAGCCGAAAGAAGCTGAGTCAAACGCTCAATCTCCGAGTCGCGTTCCCTGAGCTGCCTGCCGAGATCCTTAGCGTGAGCGAGAGCCGACTTCACTTTATCATCCTGAGACTTGCGGGCCGACATCAAGGAAGCTTCAGACTCGGCCATCGCCTTCCGGAAGCTGGTCAGGAGAGGGGACGACTTCTTCGACTCGGCTTTCCATCGGTCACGCTCCTCCTCGACAGTCTTCAACCGTTCCTCGAGGTCGGCCTTCACAGCCGCCTGTGAATCCAGCCGCCGAGTCAAGTCAGCGTTAATAGTCCAAGCAGACTCCAGCTCAACCCTCAGTGCAGCGACGTCACTAGCTTGACTTGAAGGTTGGTGCTGACCGCGAAGGAGGCGCACGAGTTCGCTGACGGACGTCGCCTCGAGGGCAGCTCGGCGGACCTCTCTATCAGCCGCCAGCGCGGGACGAGTGATCACGAATGACAACAGCCGAGCCAAGTCCGCGTTCTCGATGCGGCGTTGCTCGGACTGCGCATGGATCAGCGCAGCGAGAGAGTCGAGACTCACCGGCCCAGCCGAGTCCGACCGACCAAGGTCGGCGGCGTCCGAAGTGGTGTCGCCACGCGGACTCGGCAAGTGGCGAGGAGGAGAAGTGCGAGATGCCGGCTCGGACTCCCGGTCGAACCCACGGGAAGTTGTCAGATCGATGACAGGGTGCTCCTGCCCATCGCTGACCCCGCGAGCCCGGGACGCCGAGTCGACCAACTCAGCGAACTTCCCCTCATCTCGCGCGGGAAGATGTGAAGACTGCAAAGACGACGCAACTGAAGTCTGTGAAGATCAGTAGAAGAAGGGTCAGCAGCAGAATGGATGGAGCCGTCGGAGGCGAGGAACGTACCGGAGGAGCGGCAGGAGCGCCGGACGACGACATGGCGCGGAGACTTGTTCGCTGCCGTTGGAGTTTTGGCCGAGATTGGACTCGACTCAAGGAGTGGTGGTCAGGTCCCTCACCAACTCGGCTCCGAACATGACCGGGGCAAGAAACACCAGATTTCGCGCGACCAACTCGGCTGGAGTGGTACACTGTACCGGTAGCCGAGCTCAGCCGAGTTCACCAGCTTATCCGGACACCTTATCCGACTCAGCCGAGTTCGAAGAATTGTCCGGATAGCTCATCCGGACCAGCCGAGCTTAGGCGTCGCCGAGCTCAGCGAAGAGTCGGCCGAGATCCAAAACCGCCCACTTTCATTTGGTATTTGTATAGGAGCTTAGGAATAGTGGAGGTTCCCCTTCAGGGCGCCCGACAGAGATAACAAACAACAGAGCAGAATTTTCTAGGTCCACAACACGTGCACACGTTCCGGTAAGTCCCTGCACGGGGCCGGATTATGTCTGCTGCCGGTACCCGAGAGGCACAGCTTGTAGGGTACTCGGCTGGCAGCGCCAAGAGATTAAGGTCGGCCCGGGTTGGGCGCGAGTCTCGCCAAGCGCGAAGGAAAGTCTCGCCACCGCTGCGAGCCGGTGTTCCCGTACGTCCCGGGCACTGATTGCTGAGTCGAGAAGCCTTTGCTCTCGGCGACCTGTAAAAGCGCTCCGTGCGCCGTCGTCCATCCTTTGGTGGAGGGCACAGGGTTGAGTGAACGGAGGCCGTCGAACTCGGCGGTTCTCCGGAGGAGTGATCTTGGTTGGCAGGTCTCGGCGAGAGGCGAGACACCCGCTGTCCCGGTTGGGCCGAACCGCTCGGGGGCAACCCGGCGCAGGCCAACAAAGCCGACCAGCTCGGCTATTGTTGTGTTTGTAGCCAAGTAACCACAACTGACGATTTTGTGTGTACTGCTATACCACATCGCGATGCATCATGTGAAAGGTCATCTCAATGTCGTGGCCGATGCCCTATCCCGTCCAAGTCAGCTCCCGGCGACTGATTCCGACGACGAAGTTACAGACGAGTCCGAGCCTTGCAAGTTACCAGCAGTTCATGATTGTTCTTCATCCTGTACGCATCAGGCTTCGAGGCTTCGACGTCACAGTGTCCACGCAGCAATGCTTCGCTTGCTTCCGTCCGTCGACCGCTGTCTTCTTTTCGACGATCTGAACTTGCGGGGGGAGAGTCGCCCTATTGGGGTTCAGCAAGAAGTCAATGTTCACGTGGAACAAGTCGAGAACGTCGAGTACTCGACATCCAGCGTGCATTTAAGCGAAGATCAGAAGAAGAAGTTCCAAGCTGGATACAAGCGAGACCCCGCGTTCAAAGAAGCATGGAACCGACCGAACAAATCTGCAGACTTCGTTAAATCGAATGGGCTCCTGTACAAGTGTTCGGATCATTCAGTCATGAGGCTGTGTGTCCCCAATAACGCTCGGCTGATCACGAACATCTTGCAAGAATTCCATGATGCACATACGGCAGCTCATCCTGGAATCCGTCGAACGCAGTTGAGGGTTGCTCAGTGGTACTTCTGGCCCACGTTGGAGAAGGAATACGTGGCAAGCTGTGGGACGTGTGCTAGATGGAAAGTAAGTACCGCACGCAAGAAAGGCACTATGATGCCAATTCCAGTTCCGAGTGAGTGTTGGGAAGTAGTGACTATGGACTTCGTGACAGGGCTACCTGTTTCCAATGGCTTCGATGCAATCATGACAGTGGTGGACAAACTGTCCAAGCGACCCAAGTATATTCCGACACATACGACGGCAGATGCCCCGGAGGTTGTACGAATCTTCTTTGAAGGAGTCGTTCGTCATCACGGTCTGCCGAAGGTGATCATCAGCGACCGAGACCCCAAATTCACATCGAAGTTTTGGAAGTCGCTCATGGATATCATGGGGGTCAAGTTGTCGCTCACCACGGCATATCGAGCCCAAGCGGATGGACAGACTGAGCGTCAGAACCTGGTCTTGGAAGATGCATTACGGTGCATGGTGTCCTATCATGGTCGAGACTGGGCTACGCATTTGGGAACTATCGAGTACGCACATGCGACGCTGGAGAGCTCCTCGACAACGCTTACACCGTTCGAAGTGGACACAGGACGCAAGGTCAGGAACTTGGTATCCCAGAGCACACCTGGTGAAGTTCGTGATGAAGGTGTCCCGCTAGTTGATGTTGCGCAGAAGTTTGCTGAAGAATGCAAGAAGATCATTGAATTGGCGCGCAAGAATCTCCTGGCAGCTCAAGAACGTCAAAAGAAGTACTATGACAGGAAGCGCCGAGACGTGGAGTTCAAGGAAGGAGACCTTGTCCTGCTGGACACGCGTAACTTGCCACTCAAGCGCATCACGGCTAACACGGAGCTCAACCGTGAGAAGTTAGCGATGAGGTACATCGGCCCGTTCGAAATCGAGAAGATGATCAACTCCAACGTAGCACGGCTCAAGCTACCACGCCACATGAGTCGCCTTCACCCGAGTTTCAATGTTGAGTTCCTCAAGCATGACGTTCCGAACCCTCAACGCTTCGCGTCGCGACCTTTGCCCAAGTCTGCACCAGTGCTCCTCGACGGTGAAACCGACGAAGAACCACATTTCCCAGAGGCTCTGCTCCAGCAGAAACAGCGCAACAACAAACGGCTTTGGCTGGTCAAGTGGCACGGACTTCCCGATTCGGAAAACACTTGGGAGTACGAGGTCAAGCTCAAACGTGAATCGCATTGGCGTGAACTTCTTCTCAAGTTCCGTCAACAGCGCCAACGCGATTAAAAGTCCGGGGGGATGTCATGATGCAGCATGTCTGCTGCTGGCACCTACGCAAGCGAGTACGCCAGCAACAGACATGCGCAAGGAAGACGTACCTGGTGGCTAGGAAGTCAGGCGTCGCAGCGCCGCCGCCGCCTTCTCCGCCACAAGTAGCTTGCGCGCAGCGTCGCTTGAAGGCTGGCGCCAGGCTTGCGCAAGACTGCCTGGCGCCCGGAATCCAGAACTCTACCTGCACAAGTATACAAACATGCATATATAGGATTACGAAAACAGAAAAACACTTGCATTTAGTATAGGTTAGCTCAGCTTCTAGAACGGCACTGAGGAGAAAGCAAGAGGAAGACCTAGAGCCCGTAGCTAGCCCGAAGACTTAAAGGCATCAATCTCACTTTGCATTTTACCCAAAAGCAAGCAAGCAACCACAACAACTCCACGCACTTTCGCTACGGCAGGCCCCACCGCATCGGAGCCTGTGAGATAATTTGAGGAACTGTGCACAGTTTTGATTAACCATATCCAAGTTACTTGAAGGGAGTTGTCCTGGGCGAGGGCACATTTCTAATGACGGCCAATAGGTCCATGAGCGACAGCTCAGCGGCTCTGGTTCTGCTGTTCATAAGTTCAGATTTGAGCCTATCTTTCCTTATAATAAACACCTCGCGGGCTGGTATTATGAGTCGTCCTGCTGTGGGTACAGGCTCAAGTGATTCTGCACAGGTGGATCTCATTTAACCTTTTCAAAAACGAACGAACAGTGAGCTGCTTGTGCTTGTACGAACACGGATTTTGGGCTAAGGACCCGATGGATATCTGCGCTAGTTTTACGTTTGGTTGCATGTCATTGCAGCCTAACCAACAATAGCCGATCGTCATATCTAGGATAGCCTCAATGGCTCGACTTAGCTCTGCTCGATGAGCTTCACCGGCACGCATCTATTCCTGCCGACACGGGTAAGATCGCGTGGCGTATCTCAACACGCGATAGTTCTTACCTTCCACGGCTACTCCTTCACAAGCTCACTTTTCGTTCTATCTCCATCCAACCAGCCAAGCACCCAAGCCACAAGTATTCGAGATGAAAAGTTTCAAGTCAGCCGATCCGGGATCTGAAGGCAGCGGAGGCTTCAGGAAGAAAAACAAGACGGGCATTGCGGTAGTCACCGCGCTAGTTGCAGCAGTTCTCACTGTCTCGATCGTCCTATCACAGCCAGGGACCTCCCGAGCTGATACAAACATCAGGCGACTACAGTCATCCACGGAGAATGAGCAACCTGCGGACTTGAAGTCAAAGCCCTTGTTCTTCTTCCTGGGCGACTCGATCACGGAGCAAGCGATTGATCCAGCGAAGGGCGGCTACATCCCACTACTGCAAAACATGGTCTCCCGCTCGGCTGACGTCGTCGCCCATGGACTTTCGGGCTACAACACACGGTACAGTCCTAAGTATTATTCTCATTGTGTTGATCTTTGTTTCTCACCATCATTTTACTATGCTAGATGGGTGCTGAAGTACGCCATGCCGGTCGTGGAGGAAGAGATCAAGAGCCGCACGTACACTCCGTCGGTAGTCACGATCTGGTTCGGCACCAACGACGCCGTCATCATGGACGGCAGCAGAGCAGAGAAGCACGTCTCGGTTGAAAACTACCAGGAAAACCTGGTAACCATCGTACGCAAGTTCCAGGAGCTTCTGCCTTCGGCCGACATCCTGCTGATCACACCGCCACACGTCGATGACGAGGCCAGACGCGAACATGCAGAGGAAAATACCGGCAAGTTCAAGGGAGTCGTGGACCGCTCTCACGCCAGGTCGGGCATGTACGCTCGTGCATGCGTCGAGACGGCCAACAAAATTGGGGTGCCCGTGCTAGACTTGTTCACGTATTTCAGCAGCGAGCCTGAATCGGTTCGGAACTCGCTGCTGTGGGACGGACTGCACTTTACTCCCAAGGGCCACGTCATCGTGAGCAAGTTGATTCTGGACAAGATGAAAAGCGAGTTTCCTGCTGTTGAGAAAGCGCTCAAAACCTGGAAGATCATTGGAGCTAGCGTACTGTGCGAGACCGACCCATGGGTTCCAGGCAATACCACCAACGAGACAACTGCTTCGTAGGTCTTACCTCGTAGCTGCTATACTTTTATTGGGCGATCCTAATTTGCGATCAATAGACTACTTACGAAGTAGCTGACACACGTAGTTGAAATCAATCTTTGTGGTGAGTAACTGGGTATCATGCCGGGCGTCTTTCTTGATATGCTCGCGCGCTGGTATATACTTTACCCATGTCCAGAAAACTATCGCGCACGACAGTACCCAATTGCTGGAGCACGAATACCGTCACTGATCACGGTCAGTCTGGGCGTAGCCCAGCCCTAACTCCACATCTGGGGTCAGTCGATAGCATACTTGCACGACGGAGTGATGTATAGGGCTCGAAGGCGACGCGGAAATCATCACCCAGCCTTGCTCACCAAAGCGTACAGCAGCATTCATGGGGTGATCGCAGACCAGCGACGTCCACATACTCAACACGCGTCCTTCTTCGTCGTACGCACGAGCAAGAGCCATCAAGTTCATCGCCATAGTCCTCGATGAATTGTGGAGCTCGATCTCCGCCTCCTTCTTCAGCCCCAGATTCGTAACATCATGTTTCTTCTACAGAAGACCAACAGCCAGCACAAAGCAAGTGTCAATCCTGTACCAACACACAACTAGACCTACTGCATCAACTACTACTCACATATCGACTGCGGTCGTACGCCTTCCCGCGTCTCGCTACATCCGCCGTCTCTCGGAAGCTCATGGCCACCGGCAACGTCGCTCTCAACTCAACGAACGGCACACCCGTCCTCGGATCCCGACAAATCTCCACTGCGTCCGTCATGAGCCTCGTCCCCCTGCTTCTCGTCGAAAACACATCATCCGCGTCCAAGTACATGCGGTCCATCTTCGAGGCCAAGTCGGCGTAGATGGCGTCGTCCAAGCTCGGCACAAAGTGACCGAGTCTAGCAACAGGCCCAGGTGTCCGCAGTCCTTCCTCAATATGCTACACACCAACAGAATAAAAGTCAGAGCCGTCAACGTCTCCACCATTACAGTGTAGCGTACCACCACCGCCGTGACGTTCTGCAGCAAGTGCTTGACCACCGTCGCCGTGTGTTTCTGTCTGACCAGAACCGCCTTGAGCTGCCGGTTGTGCGTCTCGGCCTCGAGTGAGTCTTCGGCATTTTCCCAGCTCCGCTCTACCGATCCAGGCGGCCACCACCTTCTGCTTCTGCGTCTCGTCCAGGGCTTTCCCATAGCGTCGACGCCCCGCCTGCAGTTGCTGCAGCCGCCTTTGCAGCGCTGCGACCTGCTCCCTCAGCGTTAATAGCTCGGCCTTTTTCTTCTGCTGGAAGCGCCTGGACGCGGCGGCGCGACTCTTCTTGCGCTTGACAGCGGCGGCGTCGACCGCGCTTGGGTCGCTGTCCGAGCGGTCAAAGTCGTCGATGAACGCCAGCACGTCCGACAGCGTCGGGTCCAGCTCGTCCAGCGGCAAGAGGCTCATGTTGGTCACAGTGACAGAGTGTGGCATCACGAACAGGGCATAGATGGACTAACTCAAATTATTACATGAATACAGCATGCACGGATACTCCAATAACCTTAGCCTTGCTGGGTCTGTCCGATCCACTCCAAGACGTGGTGGTGTCCGCGTTGTGTGGCCATGGCGTGCGCGTTGCAGGAGCACGCCATGTGGAAGTGTTCGTGCAGCCAACGCACGAGGTGGAGGTGGCCGTTGGATGCTGCTGCATCGATGGCCATGGTGGAGCAGCCCTCACGCCGATTCAAGTGCAGCCACTGCGCCACCTCCAAGTGGCCCGCTTGAGCCGCCCAGTCCATCGCCTGCGTCGTGCACCCTTCCTGTCGGTGCGCGTGAAGCCACTGCACAATGTCGAGTCGGCCGCTCCTCGCGGCGCAGTCCATGGCGCGCGTCGTGCAGCCCTCGGACCGATTCTCGTGTAGCCACTTGACCACCTCCAGGTGCCCGTTCTCCGCGGCGTCGTCGAACGCCGACATGGTGAGGCGATCCTTGTCCCCGCCGTGTTCATGCAGCCACTTCAGCACTGCGAGCTGCCCGTTGGAAACCGCCAGCTCGAGACACCAAGTCTTTCTGCGCTGCGGGTAGTTGATCTGCAGGAACTGCACAACTTCAAGGTGGCCACTCTGCGCGGCCAGCTCCATCGCGCGCTCGACGTCATGGATCGATAGCGTGTCCTCCTTACTCTGCGCGGCGTGAAGGCGTCGCAGCAACGCTATGTGCCCGCCCGCGGCCGCTCTCGCCATGGTCCAGCACCGCGAGTAGTCGATGCAGTCGCTGATGAAGCGCTGGACGTGGTCGAGCGCCCCGATCGCATCGTAGTGACGGGATACCACCGCCACGCTAGCCAAGACCGGCACCGCCATCTTCTGCTCTGCTCCGAACTGGAAATGGCCGAGAACCGTTTCTAACGAAAACGACGCCTCTTCCAGATCGGTCTCAAGGAGCCGCCACCGGACAAAGTCTCTCTCCGCCGTCGGCGATCGCCAAGTGACGACGGTAGTCTGGCTAACTTCGCGCGCCGTGAGCGGAATCAGAACCCGTTCGGTGTCCACTGCGACTGCGAGGGGTTCGATTGCCATCTTTGCTCTGGTTCAAGCAGGACTCAACAAGTTCAACGATGGCGGAGGCATCTTTGGCTTGAGCGAGTCCGACGTGACCGTCGTTTGGATCGCTCTTGGACGGAAGTGGGCGGGGTCTGCGCTGCAGCGCAGCCGTCAATACAGTTGTGGATTAAGTTAGGCGGACGGCATGGGTGTCCGTGAGTGTCTAGTGTAGTATACCTATCTATTGTCGCTGTCTATCGCCTACGAGTGGAAGCTTTCGTGGATCACGGGCAGGCGGTGCGTCTTGCTGTATATCCGCTTCTGCGTCTCCCACATGGCCTTGGTGAAGGGCACGCGCTTGCCGGACACGAGGTCGCGGCTGCCTCGCCGCACGGCGAGCTTCTTGGGGATGGCCACGGGCGGGATCACGACGCGCCTCATGACGCTGAGGCTGAAGCGCGTCGGCCGCTCGCGGTGCTCGATGAGAATGCGCGTCTTGAGCTTCATGGCCTCGCGCAGACACTGGTCGTACACGGGGGTCGCGGACGCCTGCTTGTGGTGGTGTCGGTGCTCACTGTGGCGCTTGTGGTGCTTGTGCGTGGAGTGCCGAGACGCCGACGGCGGTGGAGCCATGTCCACGCCGCCGTGAGTGGCCAGGAACATGAGGCTGCGGCCGCGTTTGAGCTTGGGGGCTTCTGGCTTGGCCAGCGGGGCGCGCGGCAATGGCTTGGCGATGGCCATGGCGATCTCGAAGCGGTTTAATCAGCGCTGTTCGTGTCGAAAGCGGTTGTGCAGACGAGGAAGGGGGGGGACCGGGACTTGACTTGAGCCCGTCGTTGCCGGCCAGCGTCTCTGTCTCCCCAGCCACCACTCGTTCCTCGACTCGTCTACTATTGTTGCTGAGATGTGACGGCTGGCAAGCCGGAAGCTGTGCCAGCCCGGTCGCTGTTGCATTGCAAGCCCGACGCCAGCGCTCAATCCAGTGGCTAGAAATGAGGCGGCATCGGGCTTCGGAGGTGACGATTGCAGCGGAGACTCTGGCGCGCTGTCTGCTAGCGAAGACGATTTGCCCGGGGTATGCCGCGACGCAGGCTGGAGCCCCGACCGAGCAAGAATGGCGCCACTTGAACCGGCCGCGGAAAGCTTGGATGGCCGATTCCCGGCGATTGAGACATTGCAGCCAGCCTGGCTGCACTGCCGCCACTCAGGCAAGGCACGCGCCTTGCTCGCTTCATCAGCGGCTCGGATCGACGAATTGCTTCGACTCGGAGGCGATGACTCAATAGCAGTTGTAAGTGATGGTCATTGGGCAGTCGACGGCGACCAACACCACACATGTACATGTAATCCAGAGCTGCGCGCTTTGAGCAATTGCTGCGCCTGGAGAGTAGTGGCGTTGTATCCAGCAAGCCGCGCAGCAATAGGTGGCGCGCCAACACGTACATACAAGGTCAACTTGAAGCCAAGTGCAAGTCGGGCAACGCGTGTCCATGCCGAGCTTGAACGTGCGAGCGCAGCGCGCCGCACCAAGCAGAGGATATGCGCACGAACCGACACGACAATGGTCAACACCTACGGTAAGAACCTCCAGCTGGGGCGCCCATACGGCGGGCGTATCCGATCCGATGACATCGATCCAATGCGGGGACAACAAGCAAAAGACGAAAGACAAACTCCAAGATCGGATGGTGAATTGCTTTGGTATTTGGACGTTGGGGTATTTACAAGCTATGGATAGTGTTTTAAAAGGTGGGAAAAATTGACGAGGTGGCCGCTCATGCCTCGAGGCACGCGTCCTCGCGCAGCATCGGGAGCATGTAGAGCCGACGCAGCACGAGCTGCTGGCGCATCTTCTCGGTCTCCCACATGCAGCGCGTGAAGGGCACGCGGTGGCCGCCCACGAGGTCCTTGCTGCCGCGGTGCTCGGCGATAGACTTGGGGATGGACACGGGCGGCACCACCACGCGCTTCATGGCCGCGAGGCGGAAGCGCGTGGCCGGCTTGGAGTTGTCGCGGTGCAGACGCGCCTTGAGCGTCATGGCGTCGTTGAGGCACTGGTCGTACACGGCGCCGCAGCTGCAGCTGCACTCGGGCTTCTGAGGCTGCTGCTGCTGCTGGCGGCCAGCGTAGCTGCGCTTGTGCTTGCGCGTCACGCGGCGCGAGGACGGGGTGTTCTCCACCGTCACGTCGAGCGCCTTGCGGTGGCGGCCGAGGCCCAGCAGGGCGAGGCCCTCGCGCTTGGGCACCTCGGCCTCGACCACGGGCTTGCGGAAAAGGGACTTGGCGATGGCCATGGTGGAAGAATTCTTCGATTATTTCTTTAGAGGAGGTCTGCGCTCTTCGAGGCAAATTGCGGAATGAGCTCTGCAGAGCGCAAGTCGGAGCCGCGTGGTGCCCCGGCAACGCGTTCTCTGTCGCAACGATTCCCGGCTCAATGCTGATAGTTCAGCCGATCGGTCCGGATAATCCCTATTGTATAGGGGATAACAGGTTGTTTAAAGATAATCTTTTTTTTATTTTGTTCCGGATAAATCTACGATATCCGTTCTCACAGGCAGAACGTCTCATTTCTGTCTGCAAAAAAGCATGGCGTCCGGCGCGCATGCTCATTGCCAGCGCTCCTGAGTTGCGAGCGCTGTGATGCACGGAGCTCGCCACAGATTAAACTGGGGGCGTTCGCGCAGGTGATGGCTCTGCATTGCTGCACTACGAGCTTGAATGCGCTCGGATCTTCAAGCCACGGCGTTTCTGTGGCGCTGCGACCACCGGTCGGCACAATTGGACTTTGTATGGCAGCGGTACCGTCAAGAAATCGGAACCCGTACTGGAATAAAGTATGGGAGCAGAGAGTCGGATTTCAGCATACGGCGGTACAGGGTACCAAACCCATCTCCGTTTTGCGCCATATGGCGTATCCACCATCACTCTCGCAAAGAATAAAGAACTTGTATGCGTCTCAGTATAGTATACTCACTTTAGCATTATCGCTTTACCAAGGGGTCAGCATCAGCCGCACTTCAACATGCTGGGCGGTGCAGCACATCCCCCTTACCGCCTCACCCCGCCAGCAGCTACTGTACATGTACTCTACAGGCGCAGTCATGGGCCAGGACAGTCATGACTCATGGCTTCCTCCGCTCCGCTCGAGTCGTCCCTGCGCGGCTCTGCAGATCCTGTCAGACATTGTGGTGCGTACCCGTCATCTAAGAGCCAATCTGCGCCACGCACTTTGTTAACGAAAGCTCCCCCCCCCCCCCGAGTGCAATTCTATCGGCTAGACAGCAGAAGCTTCCCATGCGGATGCTATTGCAGTGACAATGCAGACTCGAAGGAGTGGTTTATCTACAGTAGTAGGAAATGGACGGCCTGATGATTCATCATATTCATATCGACCATATTCATCAGTGATGAATTTGGTCGATATGAATATTCTTGGTAGTTCATCAAAAAGATGAGACAGAGTTTTTACGATGCAAGCCAGCTTCACACGCGGATTGCGTCGCCGTCCCGAATAGAATAGCCTACCTACCAACTCGTGAAGCCTGATGAGCTAGGCATTTTCGCTTCAAACAGCGACTGCATACATGTACCTCAAACAGGTCCAAATGGGAGCAACTCTGCTGGCTTGTGATGGTCTCTAGCAACGTTTCCTTGTTAGAACAGCCCTCTTTGCAATGACGTCGTTGGAAACGACGATCCACCTCATAACGTCACCATCCTCGAATAGCGACTTTTAATTGCTTCGAGAGCGTAAATTACACTGCGTAAGTGAGCATGCCATCGCCCGTGCTGCTGCAAGTTGCAGCCTACAACTTCACTTTTGAGCATCTCCCTTGTTGGTCTGTAACATAACGTTTTTGCGCGAATTGGACTTGTAGACGAAAGACGTGCACACATTCATCAAAGGCAAGCTGCGCGCCCTTTGCTACCTTTGATACTGTTCATGTGACTGCTGTAAGGAAATCGCGTCGCGCTCATATTTATTTAGTTTTCACACACTCTACGCCAAGGAACGTCCACGACACGATTGACGATTGCCGGGGGGAGCGTCGCTAGTACGCGATGCCCTCTCGGATGCGGCTCGGGAGACGCTTCGTCTTGAGCAGGTCGCGCTGCTGCTGCCACATGAGCCTCGTCACGGGGATGGCCTTGCCGGAGACCATGTGGCTCAGCAGCGTCGGGTCTGAGAGCGGCGCTGGGATCTCCACGGGAGGAGTCACCACCTTCCTCAGTTGGCCGAGGCGAAACTTGAACAATGACCCGGGGTGCGACTCCCAGATCCGGCGTTTAAGAGCGGCAGCTTCCGGCGGCAGATTGTCTGTAGGCGGCAGCTTTCGACTCGTTCTGCGCTGAGGCTTTGACTGTGCATTGGCTGCACCCTGCAGCATGGCGTAGGCGGTCTCGCTGCCTCTGGCCATGGCCATGCCGCTCACAGGGAGCAACGGGGCTCGCATCGCCTGCCGCCGACGCAGGTAGTGGCTGCGAGTGGCTCGTCGAGGGCCATCGTCTGGTTTGTGGGGTTTTGCGACTGCGGTGGCGACGGCGACCGCGCGCGGGGAGAGCTGCTGGTTGATGCCCATGCTCGAGCGACGTGAGCTCCGCGAGGAACAACGCTGACTGACTCGGGTGCTGGCGCCAGTCGTGCTCTACAACCTGGGTCTGTCTATGCTGGCACCGCCGCATCCGTGTCTCAAAGACCTTCGAGCACCTGCGACTCGCGTCATTCTCGAATGGAGGCGCCATGGTTCAGCAACTTAGTTCAAGCCGACAAGCTCCAGCTCCGTTTGATACGCTACAGTATGTACCGTGGTGATGGCCACGGGAGTGCGGGGCGTTCGGTCTCGAATGGCCCTTGGTCTCCGGTGGTCTACAGGTCGCTCGGCGACCTTCCCTGTGGTGTCCACAGTATGGACACGTTGATCCGAGCCGGACCGTGCTGGGGTCGGAAATGCTGCTTACACGAGCCAAACCGGCCACGTTGACGCCGTCGAGCTCTCGAGCTTTCAACCTTGATCAGTGCGTTGCCGGCGGTGTGTGGGCCGGGGCCGCGACTTCCTGTACCGCTCGCCAAGTCGTCGTGAAATGAAGCCCACTTGGCCTCGCTGGAAGGCCAGCCGCAGCTATCGTTCGCTTCGGTATCGACAGCCGTGGGCTTGTTGCCTTCAGCTCCAGTGGCCGTCACGTTGCCTTCATCCACCGACAAACGCACCGAGTCAACGAATGCTGGTGAAAATTTTGCAGCGCGAGGCGGAGTTCATCGACTTCATCGACCATGCTGAGTCTGAGCGCGTGCATCAATCTGCCAGCCGGGAGCGCGCATGCGGCTGGTCTGATCGGGCAAATCGATGCGCTTCTGCTCTTCCTCTCTGCTCTTGTCCTCTTTATCGCTATAAACCCGTACGCTGTGATCCCATCGCGCAGGACGCGCCATACTGCAGGCACCTCGGTTTGCTCCATTTACTTGTCTTTATTCATGCTACAGCTCCGTCACAACTGTTGCAGGTGCACCGCCAGCCGGTTCTGAAGCAAGCGGCAGCCTCTACGCCACGCTTGACTCGACTCGACTCGACACCATGGTCTCCACCGCGGCTTCCGCCCGCCTGCCATCTTGTGATCCACTTGCAGATTTCCCAGGAATCGCCTCACCATGAAGGTCTTCTCCACCGCTGCAGCTCTTCTGGCGTCGCTGGCCGCGCACACGGCGACCGCCGGCTACGTGACGACGTCGGGCACCAACTTCGAGCTGGATGGCAAGCCCTTCTACATCTTCGGCACCAACGCGTACTGGGCGTCGGAGATCACTTGGGTAAGTTGACAAGGAGGCTCTTGGTAGTCGAGGATACTGCGTGCTGACTCAAGGCTCTCCCTTCCTTCTTGTGGTTGTAGAGCAAGACGGACCTGGCCACGATCTTCAACACGATGGCCGACAGCGACCTGACCGTGTGCCGCACGTGGGGCTTCGCCGACCTCAAGGAGGCTGGCAACGCGCCGTACAACATCGTGTACCAGTTGTGGCAGGACGGCAAGCCCACGGTCAACACGGGCGACAACGGCCTCGGCTACTTCGACCTGGTGGTCGCGGCCGCCAAGGCCGCCGGCGTCAAGCTGGTCGTGCCCTTCGTTAACAACTGGTCCGACTACGGCGGCATGGGTGAGTGCAGTTGGACGTTTTCCCTGTTAAGTGGACAGAATCGTTAACTGGAAGGGTCTCTCCATTGTAGACGTGTACGTCCAGCAGCTAGGCGGCACCTACCACGACGAGTTCTACACGGACGAGAAGATCAAGGCCGCGTACAAGAACTTCGTCAAGACGTTCGTGACGCGCTACGCCGACGAGGAGACCATCATGGCCTGGGAGCTCTGCAACGAGTGCCGCTGCGCGGGCTCCGGCACGCTCAAGGAGTCGGGCAACTGCACCCACGCCACCATCACGGACTGGATGACCGAGATGTCTGCGTACATCAAGTCGCTGGACAAGAACCACCTCGTGGCTTCTGGAAGCGAGGGCTTCATGAACACGGACAGCAGCGTGTACCTGTACTCCGGCCCCTCGGGTGTCGACTTCGACGCCAACCTGGCCATCGACAGCATCGACTACGGCGCGTACCACGCGTACCCGGACTCGTGGGGCGTGGACACCGCCAAGGCCGAGTCGTGGGGCGTGCAGTGGATCGACGACCACGTTGCGTCTGGAAAGAAGGCGGGAAAGCCGGTTGTGCTCGAAGAGTACGGCATCAAGGCGCTGGACTCGGCGTCGTACCTGTCTTGGAGCGACCAAGTGTACAAGTCCAAGTCGCACATGCAGTACTGGCAGTTCGGCATCAAGTCGCTCAGCACGACGGATGACGGCTACACGATCTACGACAAGGACGAGCTCTTCTCCACTGCCATCGCCACTGCCGCCGCCAAGTTCGCGTCGCTCAACGGTGGCTCCTCCTCCAACTCGTCCGCCAGCACGACGACGACGACGACGACGACTGCGCCGACCACGAGCTCCAGCGTTGCCGGCGAGGCTGAGACCAGCGAGTCGGCCGACACCACCTCGAGCGCGACTGATGCGTCCACTACGCAAGACTCGACCACGGGCTCGGCTGTTGAATCGACTACGGGATCGGGCACTACCACGCAGGACTCGTCTATTGAGTCGGCCACTGGCTCGGCCGCGGGATCGGATACTGCTGCTTCTGGCACGGATGCCTCATCCGACTTGACCCCGTCGACGGCTTCGAGCACCGACGCTTCTTCGGGCAGTCCTACCACCACGTCCACGGCTTACAGCACGGGGGCTTCCGCTGAGGACTCGACGGCTGGATCGGACTCGCCTACCCAGTCCACCACTGACGCCCCCGCTGCTACTACGGCCGCTCCATCGAGTGACAAGTGCGCCGTTCGTCGCCGCGCTTAGATGTTTGTGCGTCGTGTTGGGGAAGTTTTGAGTGTTTCAGAAGCAGGATAGTGTGTCTGCGTTGTAAGTGAAATTCCACACCTCGGAATGCGTAGTTAACGACACAGAAAGGCTTCTGATGCAACATGATTCACTGAATATTTACTACAGTAGGATTCGTGAGAGTTCACAATTGTCGGCACCCAACAACCAACAAGCGTCGATTGCAAAGTCGTTGGTGGGGTCATCAATCGGTCGGCTGTTGCCCAGGAAGTCCCGGCAGATACAGTGTACCGGTACGGGCACACAATTCCTCTTTTACGGATGTGTGTACGAAGCGTTTCAGTCTGATCAACTGCCTGGCTCAAACTTCGGGTATGTACAGTATCGCAAGCGTTGAGGACAGGTTCGCGCCGACTGGTACAACCAGTACCGAATCGATTCGTCTTACGACGGCAACGTCGAGCCTTGGATCGGTATTACCCATTTCTATAATACTACTGAGACTTCTACATGTATAGTGTGCAGTTCAATGGCTTCGACTACAACTTCAGCATTTAGGACGGGGACTTCGAATAGCAGGTCGTCTCTATGAGCTCAACCTCAACTACATGTATATGCAGTGTATATGCACTGCATCAGGCAATGCCTCGTCCGTCATTGTTGCTGCTTTAACTGCTGACAAAATGGGTACTGTAGTTTCCTGTGAGTCAATTTATTGATTATACCTGTAAGTGAGATGCTAAACAAGCACTTCAATTTGCTTGAATCTCACACGCTGTAACGCAAAGATGATGCTGTGCGCTGGTAGATTATTGAAAGTGGCCACAAATACAGCAAACTTTTTCATACTGGCCCAAAAACTGGCAGATGATTACTTGCTGCATTTCGATTCGTTGTTCACTTCAACCTCTTTATAGATACCAGACGCGAGGACGAAGCGAGGACGAAACGCACACCAATTTGGAAAACAACGATTTTTCAGCCACTGCGCAACAACCAACTTTGCTGTCACCACGCAACTACCAACTTCGCTCTACTACTGTCATGGAGGCCGGGAAGGTTGATTTGATGAAAAAGTTCGGTCGACGAGACATCAACCGGCACGATGTTTTTGCTACAGCTCCAGATAGCACAGAGTTTCTGCGTGCCTACGCGTGGAACGAAAACAAGTCGATCAAAAAGGAGATACATTCCGGTCACGTACGGAAATGGGAATGCGTTTCTAAGTTATGTGACTGGCAGGTGACGCTGAACAAGGAGCGGCCCACTAAAAGCGATAACACAAAGTTGGCGTTCTGTCCTGAGAAAGCCTGGCTTGTTAGCGATTTGGAGCTTGTCCATTCTCCCAGCTGTGACGCGGTGCGGAAGTGCTCCAAGAAGTTGCTGATGGAGCTACCTGGATTCAAAAGATCTATGGTGAAGGGCCTAAGCACTGCGCGGGCGTGGGTGGCTGCCTCGGTGAAAGCAACGGACGATGTCAACGTCGATCACCGCCCTGCGCTAGTGTATGGAGCAATATCCCGTGCCAAAGCGCTGATGGAGGAGGAAGAGGACAACTATGACAAGCTACCGGCTTTTCTCCGGTCATTCGCACGCAAGAATCCTGGATCTACGGTATCATGTCAGCTGGATAGTCGCGGCCGATTTTATCGGGCGTACCTTTCATTTGGTTCTCTCATTGCTGGGCAAGACAACTGGGTGCCATTGCTTGAATGCGACGGCACCCACATGAAGCATGCTCAATATAATGGCGTCTGCCTTTTGGGCATCGGCAAGGACGTAGACTGGGGAACCATTCCGGTAGCCGTGGCTTTCGCTCATAAGGAGACAGCCGACAACTTCGAGTGGTTTTTTGCGAGCTGTATCGTGGCCGGGATAAAATTGCACGACCGACCTCTCTTTTCCGACCGAGGTAAGCAGCGAGATGCGCAAGTTTGTCTTCGTGTGCGTGGCGTGCCCATACATCTTAAGGTTTGTGCGCTGCACATTTTTTTAACGTGTGTGGCCACTTTCGTTCTATCGAGGCAAACATCGCCAGCATCATGAATACCTTATAAAATGTATTAGTGCATGGGGACCTCCTGAAGTTCTTGACCGGCCCTCTCCGCGGGTTTGGAGGCATTGGGCCTTGTTACCACACCACTCACCCCCCACATGCGGATCAAACGAAGGTGGCCAAGAACGCCACGCAGCCCCAATTCTAACAACACAGCTGTACGGCTTGTTCTCTCGGTCTGTAACATAGCCGCTATTAGATATTTCCACCATACCATAACATGTTAGTGCCTGCTTACCTTCTCATGCTCGGCACTTGGCACGAAGTTGGACGGGGCGCGCACGATGCAGCAAACACAGTGGTGTCCATGCCCCACGCGTCCTCCAAAATGGTCAGCGACTTGAAGTAGTCTTGGACTCGACGTACTCGGCCAGACCTCTGCCGGCAACGCCGCGCACCTCCGGTGTGGACGCGGCTGCTACCAATGACGCAGCGCTCTGGCCACGTACATGAAATCGAAGCTTTGCTGAAGATCGACATTGCAATCAAAACGTACGCTTACTTCGAAGCTGAGGTCGGGTAGAGTGATCTCAGTGTCTGCAGCACTAATATTCGCAACAGCAAAGTCACAGCGGGCCCTACATTGATACAGATACAGACTCTTAATAGTTAAGCCTCGTGATGGGGAGTACATGGAAGCACTAGCAAGCCGAAGCAAACCCACCTCGCTGTACATGGCGGCGGACATCTGCGCTTGGGGCCTTCAGTCGAGAATTGTCACAATAGCGTCGTCACGCTATGGGTATGGTAGCACTTGAGCAGAGGGTAGTAGTAGCTGAAGCACTCGGGCAAGATGCCGTCGACGTTGCAGTCAGCACTAGTTGTTCTTGAACAGGTAAATTGAGATCTGATTGAATTAGACGTGTTTCCCTAACTAGTTTTCTTCTAGCTAGCCTACACAACCCACTCAGTAACTCTTCGTACAAACATGCAATGTTAACATGCAGGATGGCATCCTCAACTTGTACTTGAACGTCAACTCACAAAGGCGAAAATAGATCACAGCTGACGAACTCTACCCGCTACTAATTGCCGTGTTCAACTTGATAGCCTTCGCGTTCAAGCTAGGATGAGTAGGATCTGCTAGCAGTCCTTGATGATACCATGACAAGAATCAAGTTGTGAAATGCTGCTCAGTATCGCATTGTTCTTTCTCCTGTCCCAGATTTCCATCTGCCAGTTTTTGGGCCAGTATGAAAAAGTTTGATGTATTTGTGGCCACTTTCAATAATCTACCGCTGTGCGCTTCCCCCTCGATGTGCAATTTGCAGTGCAAATTACGGACGAGGCATTGCCTGATGCAGTGCATATACACTGCATATACATGTAGTTGAGATTGAGCTCATAGAGACGACCTACTATTCGAAGTCCCCGTCCTAAATGCTGAAGTAATTTTGGTATTTGCAGTCTGCAAATACCGGTCCAGTAACCGCGGAGGCTTCATGACGGAGGAGGTGGCTGCGGCTCCTCTCCACAGATTTCATTCTGGAAAAGTCGCTCGACCAAGGAAGAGCACTGCACCTAGGTAGTCCACCAAGCGTCTCACCCACATCCTACTAGCGACAATGGTTGCTCTGGTTGGGACCAGTGGTGACTTTGTCGTAGCCACTTCCAAGCAGACCGATACGATCAGCTCTACCGCCCAGATTGAGACCAAGCGGGACAACGTCACAGCCACCGAAGACTCCAGTTCCACGAGTCCGTCCACTTCTACAAGCTCCGACAGCTCCGCCACCTCGACTTCGCTCAGCAGGACTCTGAAGAGACCGAGGAAAGAGCGGCACCGTCAATGTCTCTGATTCAGGCGCTGAAGGTTGCACTGAAAACCCCGAAGGAGTTCCTTGCTAGACTCAAGCTAGTGAGGAAGGACCTGAAAGCCAGGAGCAAGCTCGCCATTGAAGCCCCCAAGACTAGTAAGGGACCTACCGGTAGACTTGGGTAGTGTCGTTTCTAATAAGCTTCATGTAATTTCAGCAGTTCCATGACATTTCACATGGCAATACGGACGAGCCAAAAGCCCACCACTGAGTACCGGTACCGTATTTCGCATGTAGAAAGCTGCACATGATGTTCACAACAGAAACCCGATGTGCATCAAAATATGTATTGTAGAAGAAAGCTACACCACAGCTTCGTCAAGAATGACATTGCGGTCGAAGTCTTGAGTTTGGTCCACCGCCTTGGCTACTGGCCCTACTAGCGATAGGTTCTGCAGCTCTGCCACCAGCGACGCGGCGGCGAGGCACTCCTCGTTGAGGTGTAAGTCGCATTTCTTGTATCCATTCGGGATGGTGTCGGAGCTCAGGCTCTCCCAACTAGCGCGAATCCAATGGCACATCCCGGCGCGGCCTGGTGGAGTCAGCTTAAACTTGGCTTCCGCGTCGCGCGGCTGCATCAGTTGCCGCTGGATGTCCTCGAGCCAAAACCTGCGCAGCCAAGTCTTGAACGGATGATTCCATGCTACGTCTGCAGGCTGGCAAACAGACGTAGCATGGGGAGGCACCTTCAGCAGCACCACCCTAATAGATGCAGCGTAAGCCAGCACTTCAGCGGTCCAGTGGCCGCTGAAGTCATCCCAGAGGAGCGGCACGGGCTCTGCATGCGACATGCGGTGACCAAAGTGAAAATGTAGGAACCTTAGCGAAAAATCACTGTTCCACCAGCCTAAAAAGAAAAACAATAATAATAAAAAGAAAATGAGATAAAACCTTTTGAGCAAGTAAAAAAAAGAAGCGTACCTTTGCCGTTGGCGTAAATCTGCAAACCGGTTTCAGCTTTCAGCTTCCTGATCTCTGGCCACGTTCGCGTGCAAAAGCCACATCGTTTTTCGTTGTTCTCCTTGACAATGGCTGGGTTTTTCGATGGCTGCATCTTGAAGACTACGAAGGGGGTAACGTACCCCGCTTGAATCCCCCAGTAGCATCACGGTCGCACGCTCCTTTGAAGAGCCGGCACATCTCACCCACACAGTTTTGGCGCCGCGAGCATGCACTGTTTTCTTGATAGGCAGATACTAAAAAAATGCAGCTAGAGAGCATAAGTTAAAATATACATTCGCAGTTAGAATAAATAAAAAACAAACCTGTCTGATCTGCATTGTAGATTCGCGTAATACCCAGCTGCCGAGCCATTTTCTTGACTTCTGTTGCAAACTCCGCTTTAACCTTGGCAATATCCTCGGGGCTGATTTGGCTTTGACGAGTTGGAACTCGCATGCTCATGCGATGGCGGCCTCGGAATCCTTGAATCCATTTGTCAGACGATCGGAAGTTCCTGATGCCCGCTTCAGCTGCAACCCGCCGTGCTTGTAGGGCCAGCATGCGCGGCGATACTGGCACACCTTCCTTGCGCAAACTGTCCACCCAGAATACCACTTCTAGTTCTACCTCTGGTGGGAGGATCGTCCCAACTCCTAAGCTTCGCACCTTTAAATGTTTACCTTTGCTATTTTTCATAGCAGCCTCAAGCTTTGCCGATTCACGCCGCCAGCGCTGGATCATCGTGCGCTTCGAGTTATAGAACTCAGGGGCCAGATCGTGCCAGAAATGGGCGATTGTATGTTTCATCTTGGGCTTCGGCGCATTTGCCCAGAAGGACAACACCTCGAGTTTCTTTGCGACGCTGACACTCTTCTTGATGTGCTTGGTCTGGTAGCGGCCTTTGCCATTTAGGCGTGGCCTGCCGACTGGCCGTGGCTTGGTGCGTGCCATCGGCAAAAACAAAATGGCGCCAACCCCCGAGAGCGCGGGCTACGAAGTGCAATGAAGTGAGTGGTGAGCATTTGTATCAGTTTTGAAAGGGTTTTAGTACTGCATCTCTCTCCATGCAATTTAGTGCCATGGCAAATGCCGCGCACTGATTGGTAGTTATCAAAGTGCATCTCATATGCCGGTGCGGCTTTCTACATGCGAAATACGGTATTTACCAAGGTTCGTGTACATAACGCTAGCTGTGTTTACGTTCTCGGATCAGGTTCAAAGCCCCTTCCTTGACCACGAAGACCTCCCGACTGGGCATCCATTCGGAGAAGGCCGCAATAAACAAGCAGTCTTACTTTGCATTTATCGCTCTGTGGATCGCTCAGGGAAGGAAGGAAGACCCCCCGCCATCCAGCATCATGCGCTTCAGCCTCGCTTTGATTTTGACACTACTCGCTCTAATTGCGACTACTCTCGCCCACGCTGAAGTCGTCCAGAATGAAGAGGTTCAAGACACTTCGCGCAACCTCCGGGTCGGGATCATCAAACTCCAGGGCGGAAGCCGCTCTGCGGAGGTCATTGTGATGCTGGACGACTCAAACTCAGGATCGACCGATGTGCTGGAGATCGCGAAGCCCCAAGTCGAGGACTCGGAGGAGCGATTCGTTGCCGTCGCGTCGTGGGTTCAAGCGCTGAAGAACTTCGTCAAGAATCCCGTGCAGTTCACCCTGATGTTTGTGCTCGTTAGAAGGTTTTTCGCTTACTGACAACATAGTAAGCGGACTAGCTGGAAAGCAAGTATGCAAAGTGATCCAAGAATTTCACACTCGAGTCTTTATCGTTATCCGCATCCCTTCTTTTGTGTTTCATAAAGCGAGATCAACCAAGACGCCGTGCTGTAGCTGTGCTCAGTCGGCACGCACATAGTATACTGTAGCGGGTGTATCTGTATAAATCGAAACAATAAATACTCAGGATAGAAATCTTTTCACATCGGGCTCGGATGGAATTGCTTGAAGGCTGCAAGCAATACTACTGTAGATAGAGGATTGTATCGCCTGGTATTTATCAGTGGGAAGTTCCCACTGGGAACGAGCAAACCTCCTCCAACGTGGATGAGTTTACTCAGCCGGATTTTCCGCAAGCTCAGCTGGGGCGCTACTTAGTTGTGAGTAAACTTCACAACCTTCCGAGTAATTCCACTGAAATCTTACTTAGGAAACATGCTATGCCCGGTATCGTCACCTTGGACGAACCCGTAGGAAGGCATAATACATGTATGAATGTATCTGGGGAAGTAACGCTCATGCGGACGTGAGCAAGCTAAGTAGATAATTCAAGCGTCATCTAGCAGAAAACAAAAGAAAACTTGTCCCAAAGGGTTTGCAGCACGTTATTTGTGTTCGTGAATGGCATCCCATCAAACAACGTCTTTAGAGTGAAGTCAATCGTTTCGAGTTAGCGCAGCACACGAGTTTAAATGAAGTTTACGTACTCGGAAGTCCGAGTACACTACTCATTACTCGAAAGTCCGTGAAATGTACTCAAAAGTAAGGACGACCTGCATGTACGCGTCCTCACCACTCGGTTGCGGAGGTGGTGCAGCGTCCTGGATGCTCGCCTTGGCAAGTGCACACGCAAATATTGCTGCGACGATTGAATCCGAAAGAACTTGAAGTCGCATCCGATGGGATAGACTTTACGCCTCCCAATCCCAGGAATTGGATGAATGCCTTGAAACGATATGCCGACAAACAATTGTGAATCCACGAACTGTGCCTCGCTCCTGGCTCAGAAGAAGAACCGCACCATCCATTTAGCAAGACACCCAGCGACACACGGAGATGAAGGTTTTTGCCGGTGCTGTGGCCCTAGCGCCGCTCGCCGCCCAGGTGGCCAATGCCGGCTTTGTGAAGACGGCTGGAACGGCGTTTGAGGTCGACGGCGAGCCGTTCTACGTGTTCGGCACCAACGCGTACTGGGCTTCCGAGATCAACTGGGTAGGTGGAGCAGTTCATATAACATCAACGGATATTCAGGTAATTTGACAAGGCTTTTGGCTGTCTAGAGCGAAGCGGACTTGGCCACCATTTTCAAGTCGATGGCCAGCAACGACCTCACCGTTTGCCGCACCATGGGCTTCGCTGACCTGACCACCGTCGGCACGACCCCGTACAACATCGTCTACCAATTGTGGGAGGACGGCACTCCTACCATCAACACCAAAGACAATGGCCTGGGTTACTTTGACAAGGTTGTTGCAGCAGCTAAGGCGGCAGGCGTGAAGCTGGTCGTACCGCTGGTGAACAACTGGTCCGACTACGGTGGCATGGGTAAGTAGGTTCAGGTCTAGAGTTTCCGCTTCGTCTTGGCTGACCTTGTTTTTTTAGACGTGTACGTGAAGCAGCTCGGAGGCAAGTACCACGACGAATTCTACACCAACGAGAAGGTCAAGGCTGCGTACAAGAAGTACATCGCCACCTTCATCAACCGATACAAGGTACGAAGTTTCAAACGTTTAGTTGTGGCAGCTCAAACTTACACTTGCTGATACTTTTGTCGACGAGCAGAAGGACGCCACCATCATGAGCTGGGAGCTGTGCAACGAATGCCGCTGCGCTGGCTCAGGAGGCGGCTTGCCTGAGTCGGGATCGTGCACGACGAAGACCATCAACACCTGGATGACTGAGATGTCGGCGGTGAGTTTGATCAACGTCACACTCACTTGAACCTTTGTACTAACTTCTCTGTTTACTGTACGATAGTACATCAAGAGCCTGGACTCGAACCACCTCGTGGCTACGGGTAGCGAAGGCTTCTTGAACACGGACAAGAGCGTTTATCTTTACTCCGGGCTCTCCGGTGTCGACTTCGACGCCAATCTAGCGATCAAGAGCATCGACTACGGCGCGTACCACACGTACCCGGACGGCTGGAGCGTCGACGCCAGCGAGTTTGTCTCTTGGGGAGAGAAGTGGATCAATGACCACGTCGCCTTGGGCAAGAAGGCCGGCAAACCCGTCGTTATGGAGGAGTACGGCGTGAAAAACCACAACGTCAGTGTGTACGAGGCCTGGAGCGACGCTGTGTACGCCGCGGGGTCCAGCATGCAGTACTGGGAGTTCGGCCTCGAGTCGCTCAAGACGTACCGTGGCGAATACACCATCTACGACACGGACGACATCTTCAAGAACGCCATTGTGCCGGCCGCGAAGAAGTTCAAGACTCGTAGTGGCTCGGCCTAGACACTTCTTCAACTTGGCACAGCGCTAGAAACAATAAAAATCGCCACAAATGAAGACAAAAATCACGGTGAGTTCACAGGTTTTCCGTAGCAAAATGGCGGCTGTACTTCCTTAACTTCGGGCCAAGAGCCTACAGTATGCCTGCTACTTCACACGACCAGTGGCCAGTTTAGTACACGGCCATGTTGTCCAGCAGCGGGATGTCCGACTTCTCGGACATGTAGTCGATGTACTCGCGGAGCTTGGGCGGCCACTCCAGGTCGCGCACGAGCGTGAGGCCGCGCAGGCGGCCGAACAGGTCGATGTCGTCGTAGCTGAGCTGCTCGTTCACCGAGTGGCTGGAGTGAAACATGGGGGCCAGCTGCTCCAGGAACTTGTTGGCCTGCTCCACGAGCTCGGGGGTCTTGACCAGCGCCTCGTCGAACGGGCCGATGGTCTTTTCCTTCTTGATGCGGTAGTACTCGCGGCTCTCGAGCATGGCGAACTCGGCGAAGGGGGCCGCGTGGAAGCGCGGGTGGTACAGCAGCCGGAACACGTCGGCCGTGTCCTTGATCCACTGTTTGATCTCGGGCCGGTTGGCGGCCGGGGCCAGCACGGCCGGGCCGCCGAAGTGCTCGTCCACGTACTTGACGATGTCCATGCTCTCCGGGAAGGCGTGGCCGTCGGCCAGCTGCAAGATCGGGGCCTGCTTGGAGCCCACGAGGCCGATGGGCGTGGCCTCGTCGTGGTTGGCCAGGAACACCAGCTCGTGGGGCACCTTCTTAAAGCCGAAGATCATACGCGCGCGCACGCAGTACGGGCAGTGGTCGTACACGTAGAGCTTGGGCAGGGCCTTGAGGCTCCTGGGCTGGCGCAGGGCCAGCACGGCCGCCGCGGCGCCCACGGCGGAGCCCACGGCAAAGGTGGCGGCCAGCTTGGACAAGTCCGACATGACAAGGGTCTCAACTCCGGGGGAGTTCTGGTTCGAGAATGGATGATTAGGATAGGATGCGCGGCCAAAGGTGGACACATTGATTTTACCACTGATGAGATGGGTATTTGCAATAAAGAGAAAGTTGATAGCTTAAGTTTAGTATAATATAAAACAGCAAAGCAAAGTGTTTGGATTAGTTTTGAAAGAAAATAAATTTATTGCATAACGTACCTATACAGGTTGAAGCAAGTCTCAGCTCTAACCGCAATGGCCAAGCAACCGACATACCGTAGCGAGTTAAACTTGGTGTATTCATGTAAAATAGGCAGGCGTATCTGAGTGCGACTTCGATGTAAGAGTTTTCAAAATGGGAGCAAACTGCACGAGAGTTGTGAGCGGAGAATTTGCGTCGGTATCACTGCCTACCTAGTACATGGCCATGTTGTTGAGCAGCGGGACGTCGCCAGCCTTGGCCATGTGGTCCAGGAACTCCCGCACGTTGGACGGCCACTTGATGTCGCGTACGAGCGTGAGGCACCGCAGGCGGCCGAAAACATCAATGTCGTCGTAGCCCATGGCCTTGTTCACCGAGTGGTCCGAGTAGAACATGGTGGCCAGCTGCTCCAGCAGCCTGTTCGCCTCCTCAACGAGTTGCGGCGAGCGCTTGAGCGCCTCCTCGAACGAGCCCATGCTCGTCTCCTTCTTGGCCCGGTAATAGTCTCTGCTCTCCTGCTGCGCGAATTCGGCAAACGGGGCCTTGTGGGCCCGCGGGTGGTACAGCGCGTTGAACACGCGTGTCGACGACTCGATCCACTTTTTGATGTCCTCGCGGCCCGAGGCTGGGGCCAGCACGGCCGGCCCGCCGTAGTGTTCGTCCACGTACCGGACGATGTCCATGCTTTCGGCCATGGCTTGGCCACTGGGCAGCAGGAGGATGGGAGCCTGCTTGACACCCACGAGCTCCACGGGCGTGGTCTCATCATGGCTGGCCATGAAGGCCAGCTCGTGCGGAACCTGCTTGAGCCCCAGGACGGCGCGGGCCCGAGCGCAGAATGGGCAGTGGTCGTAGACGAATAAGGTCACGACCGGCTTCTCCTTCTTGGACCCCTTGGGCGAGATGGTCTCAACGCGGGCCAGGCCCCACACGGACTTGACGGCGACGGCGGCGCCCAGTGCGGCCCCCACCGTCATGGCCGCTCCGATCTTGACCATGTCCGACATGATGCAACTCTTGCCTCGAGCTACTGGAAGCTGATCGGCCTGATGCTCGCTTGTGCGTCTGTGGCCATGGCCGGCGCGGTATTTGCTGGAAGTGAAATCGTGGTGCACGTCTTTGAAGCGTAAATAAATGTGTACGAAACACAGATTAGTGTACTGCACATAAAGGCAACTTCAACTTGCCTTTTTGCTGGCTCGAAAGCGTTGGCCTCACTACACGAAAGACTCCATGATGAAAATGCCATTCTCTAGCTTATCTCTATCTCAGAACCCTACGAAGGCGCGAAACGCTTTCAATTCGAATGGCGATGCGTGGTATGTACGCAGAGAGGCTATGTCGTCACCAGCGTGTCATGTTCTCTATGAAGCCGTTGCAACACGAACACTTAGTTCTGGTGCAGGAGCGGCGGGTGGTGGATCTCCACGAGCAGGCGGTACAAACCAGCGCCAGCAACGCCGCCCATCAGGTCCGCCACGATCGGGATCCAGAAGTAGTAGTTGCGCGTCGTGAAGACCTTGGAGCCCCAGCCGGCGCAGAACGTGAACAGGCGAGGACCGAAGTCGCGCGCAGGGTTCACGGCGTAGCCCGTGTTCATGCCGAAGGCCATGCCGAGCGCCATGATCATGAGGCAGAAGGCGAACGCGGCGCCCACGGGGCCGGCCGCGCGGTTGCGCTTGTCCGTGATGGCGTAGATGCTGAGCACGAGCATGGCCGTGCCCACGAACTCCGTGTAGAAGGCCGTGTAGTTGGAGATGTTGTCGCTAGGGTACGTGGAGAAGCTGCTCTGCGTGGTCTCGCGCTGCGGGTCGATGACGTTGAGGTTCTGGTACTGCATGACGTAGATGACGAAGGCGCCGATGAAGGCGCCCAGCAGCTGCGAGATCATGTAGCCCGGCGCCTTCCACCACGGCAGGCGGCCGTACACGCAGTGCGCCAACGTCACAGCCGTGTTGAGGTTGGCGCCGCTGATGCCCTCGGAGCAGTAGACGCCGATGAGCACGCCGATGCCCCAGCACATGTTGATGCTGAGCCACGTGCCGTTCTTCTCCTCCGAGTTGGTCACTTGGTTGTTGACGCCCATGCCGAAGACGATCATGACGAAGGTGCCGAGGAACTCGGCGAAGCACTCGCGCATGTGCACACTCTTGACGGCGAGGTGGGCCAAGCCCTGGCGGTCGGTGTAGGCGGCAGCGCCCTTGGGTGTGGTCGTCATGCCAGCATAACCATTCTCAGTCTTGTCGAAGTCGTCGTTGAAGGCCAGGGGCTCTGCGACGACGGGGACGGCCTCAACGTCGGGGTTCTGGGTGGATGGGAGCGTGGCCATTGTTGCTGGAAGCAGGGGATCCGACAGACCGTGAGATGGTAAAATGCAGAATGAGGTTGATATGGAGCTTGGTCGGGGCGTAACCACAGACAGCTTGGGCTAGCTGACTGGACGTCTGGCATCGTTAAGAACCTCGAATACTCAGGAAGCGATCGAACGCGGCGCCACGGAAACTGCAGCTTCAGTCGCACGTCCGATACACCGCTCAGAGGGAGCTGGCCAACTCAACTGGGCGATGTAGCATTAATTCGGCGCCTTAATAAGTCGCTCGCTGACAATTAAGGTGTTGACTGACTTGCATGGCTGCTTGGTGTTGTACCGACGCCGCGTATCTATGCTGGAACCGTTGGCACCATATCAAAGGTGTCGGGGTCAAAGCACGGGGCCGGTGTCTGAATCACTTTCCCGAGCTTGGAGGGATCAGAACCTTCACGAAGGGGAATGAATAGACGCACACACTGGAGTTTTGAGACTCAATTGCAGGCAAAATTCACAGGTTTGAAGCTGTCTAGGATGAACTGCAGATCTAAACGCCAAAACTTCAAAATGATCTTCCTTGAGGGCATGCATGTAGTAAGTGTTAAAGGACTAAGCACAACGAAAGAGCCTAAAATGTCCGTAAATGGGAGTACAGTAAGTGCAAAGTTCTTCTATTCAGCCGAATATGTACACACCGGGCGACTGGACAAGAGAAACCTGGCCACGTACTAAATACTCAGTTGGCAGTGGCCAACATGACGCATTACCAATGTGGCATGCATATGAGCGGATCAAACGGTGTCCATTGGCCGATGTTTTCTAGAGGAAGAGGAACATGTGTTGAACACCGTGAGACGGCTCCTACCTCCTCGTGGATTTGCGTTTTTCTAGTGACCCGAGATCTTTGTCTTTATAGGAAAGGAAAGGCCCGGTCTCAAATACGTAGAGCTGCGCGCCCACAGGCTATCCGACGAAGTGGCTTCCGCTGGTCACCGAGCCACGCACGAGCCGTATTTATGTTTTTCCAAGCCAATTTCTTAGCAAGCAACGCGATGGGGCCCACTCGTCGAGACGACCGCACTGACAGCGACCAATTCATAGCCTGAATTGAGTCCAGCCGCCTCGCTTACTCATTTTATATCGCCCAAACTAAGCAGTCTTGACACGCGTGCACCGACGATTCACACCGTACCACGCTGCGCAGGACAGGGCACCATCAGTCTGTCAGAAGGACCCCTTGTCCTGCTTGTCTTTTCGCGAAGATTCGAGTGGCAGTCCTCGACGGACTCTGTCGACTTCGACGAAAGCCAGGATTTCGGGCGGAGGGCAGGTGATCGAACATACGCATCGACTGATTTCACAACGCAGCGCTCACGACTGCGTTCTATGCGATAACCAAGAAACGCGAGCTGCCGTGCACCATGATCCTGGCTGGTGTTGAGTTGAAACGCAGTTGTCAACCGCTATTAGAGCGTACATGTAGCATACCGGTCCCCGTACATACCTGGCTGTGCCGAACAACACGACAGCGTGGGCAATTAAACACTAGCTTGACTGTCGTTTTCGTAAGAGGACAAGCCCCAATATATTTTTTCTTTCACCGCAATGTATGCGGGGCACAACGGAAGCTGTTAACATCTTAGATCACGAACACCACTTTCCTTAGCAACACACAAATGTATTGATATACTTCTTACAATCTATTCTGCTCTTAGTTCTGGTGCGGGAGCGGCGGGTGGTGGATCTCCACGAGCAGGCGGTACAAACCAGCGCCAGCAACGCCGCCCATCAGGTCCGCCACGATCGGGATCCAGAAGTAGTAGTTGCGCGTCGTGAAGACCTTGGAGCCCCAGCCGGCGCAGAACGTGAACAGGCGAGGACCGAAGTCGCGCGCAGGGTTCACGGCGTAGCCCGTGTTCATGCCGAAGGCCATGCCGAGCGCCATGATCATGAGGCAGAAGGCGAACGCGGCGCCCACGGGGCCGGCCGCGCGGTTGCGCTTGTCCGTGATGGCGTAGATGCTGAGCACGAGCATGGCCGTGCCCACGAACTCCGTGTAGAAGGCCGTGTAGTTGGAGATGTTGTCGCTAGGGTACGTGGAGAAGCTGCTCTGCGTGGTCTCGCGCTGCGGGTCGATGACGTTGAGGTTCTGGTACTGCATGACGTAGATGACGAAGGCGCCGATGAAGGCGCCCAGCAGCTGCGAGATCATGTAGCCCGGCGCCTTCCACCACGGCAGGCGGCCGTACACGCAGTGCGCCAACGTCACAGCCGTGTTAAGGTTGGCGCCGCTGATGCCCTCGGAGCAGTAGACGCCGATGAGCACGCCGATGCCCCAGCACATGTTGATGCTGAGCCACGTGCCGTTCTTCTCCTCCGAGTTGGTCACTTGGTTGTTGACGCCCATGCCGAAGACGATCATGACGAAGGTGCCGAGGAACTCGGCCAGGCACTCGCGCATGTGCACGCTCTTGACGGCGAAGCGGGCCAGGCCGGTGCGCTCAGTTGAGACGAACGTTGAGTTCTTGGGGGATTCCGGCATACCGCCGTAGCCGCTCTCGACCTTGTCGGCAGCGTCGTAGTCTTGGATCGAAGGAGCCATTCCGACCATAGAACTGTACTTGCTTGCCAATGGGGGAATTGGAGAATGGTTCGGACACTCGAGCGGAAAAGCTTTAGGCCCAGAGTAGCGGACCCCCACGCACACAGCGACGCGCGCCCAAGACGGTCAAAGATTAATTTCGGGTTGTTGGTTTGACGCCTTTCGGGCCAAGTCACCCAGCTGCTTGGGGCGCACGCCAAGCGCGTTTCTCTGGGATATTCTGCAGCGTCAACACTCTGTTGATTCAGATCGCAGAGCTGGCGGGGGATTGGAAACCCACACGAATCTTTGTTTGCGCCGCTGTGGACCTCTTGACTTTGCATGCTGTGTAGTGTATCTGCGCCGATTTGACAGTCGAATGCCACGGTTCGGCCCTGTCACAGGCGCCGCGGGACTTTACCGATGACAAAACGAGCTCAGACTTCTGTAGGGGGATCAAGGCACGCAGGTCAACGGTACTGCAGCGACTGCCTCCGATACAGACCGTTCTGCTTGCCTAATAGCAACGCGCTAACCTGCATGTACATGTAGCAGATCCAGCAAATTCGGTGTCGCCTTCAGGTAAGAATGGGGGGACTCACAGTTTTTTTTAACCGTATATTGGTACGGTGCCGGCGATTGAAGCGATCTGTAGGCACTTTCGGCGGTGAATTTTAGTAGACAAGGTCAGCTGAAAAGCATTGGTCGTCCGGCATTCCGCCGGTAGTAACGGGGTTTAGCAGCTTTGAATTCTCATAAGACCTCCCTCCATGTGCTTGGTTGTCTTTCGGCGCTGTGGCCATTCCTGCGCCCACGCCTGTTGAGTGGAGATCAGCAATGTGAAGTACAAGAGGTCGTCTACAGGTAGCTCCGTAGATTTATTCGTATGTTTGCTTGCTCGCGGAGACTGCTATTACATGCAGACCACTTTTCGTACCCCAGAGCGACGAGGAAGGGTGTAGCAATCACTGTCATTCCTGCTTGCAAGGAACTCTACCGATCTAGAGAGAGTTTTCCGCTCACATACACACAGTATCAGCAGTAGTTCGGGCCGTTAACGTGTCGACGCCGATAGCCGATGAGCGAGAGCTGTAGACGTCTTGTCGTTCTTTCGGAGAACGAAAGAGCGGACACAGCGTGCTCGGATATTATTACAGTATACAGTACCGAACTGCACGTTTTGTCAGTTAGGATACAGCGACCCAATGAGTGGTTTTTAGGCAGGCACAATGCTGGATTGTAATCGTCTCTATGCGGTAAATTTGAGCAAGCAAACGGCATGCCATTCGTGCGCTTGGCTGATGTGATCCAGTCGTGACAAGGGGCAACTGAGTCAGTTACTGACTGACTAAAATGTTGTTTGGTTTGTCACTTACAGACCGTCAGAGAGAGCGGCAATGCTTGTCTTTTTCGCTCAACTCTTCCCGCTGCTACAGACCCTGGCGGCCCACTAGTGGCGGGGCTTGCCCAACCTCGAGGCGTCGCCTGGAAGCAGCGAATGCGCACGACCCAGCGGCGGCTTTGGCGACACCAGTAGCTTTATCTTTGTGCACACTACATCGTCTACAGCAAAACAACCGCTATTCAGGTCGACGTTAATAAACCTGGTAAGCCTGAAAGGTATCTTCGCTCAACCATGACAGTATCTCCAGACAGCGTCAATCTTGCATCGCGGAGATCCGATACCTGGCATCGTCTTCAGCTGTAGCTTTATCTTTTCAGATGGCAACCTGGCATACTGTATGTCACAGCCACGGCATCGACCGATCCTTCATTAGTCGTCTTGAGCACGTCCACACTTTCAAAACTGAAGATGCAGTTAACCTTACTGTACGGTACGAACACTGAAGCATCCGAACGAATACCGTATTCTATTGTATACACATCCGACTACATACAAGAATCCAAGTGACCACCTTAGTTCTGGTGCGGGAGCGGCGGGTGGTGGATCTCCACGAGCAGGCGGTACAAACCAGCGCCAGCAACGCCGCCCATCAGGTCCGCCACGATCGGGATCCAGAAGTAGTAGTTGCGCGTCGTGAAGACCTTGGAGCCCCAGCCGGCGCAGAACGTGAACAGGCGAGGACCGAAGTCGCGCGCAGGGTTCACGGCGTAGCCCGTGTTCATGCCGAAGGCCATGCCGAGCGCCATGATCATGAGGCAGAAGGCGAACGCGGCGCCCACGGGGCCGGCCGCGCGGTTGCGCTTGTCCGTGATGGCGTAGATGCTGAGCACGAGCATGGCCGTGCCCACGAACTCCGTGTAGAAGGCCGTGTAGTTGGAGATGTTGTCGCTAGGGTACGTGGAGAAGCTGCTTTGCGTGGTCTCGCGCTGCGGGTCGATGACGTTGAGGTTCTGGTACTGCATGACGTAGATGACGAAGGCGCCGATGAAGGCGCCCAGCAGCTGCGAGATCATGTAGCCCGGCGCCTTCCACCACGGCAGGCGGCCGTACACGCAGTGCGCCAACGTCACAGCCGTGTTAAGGTTGGCGCCGCTGATGCCCTCGGAGCAGTAGACGCCGATGAGCACGCCGATGCCCCAGCACATGTTGATGCTGAGCCACGTGCCGTTCTTCTCCTCCGAGTTGGTCACTTGGTTGTTGACGCCCATGCCGAAGACGATCATGACGAAGGTGCCGAGGAACTCGGCCAGGCACTCGCGCATGTGCACGCTCTTGACGGCGAAGCGGGCCAGGCCGGTGCGCTTGGCCTCAGGCGCGAAGTTGGTCGTGGCCTTGGGGGTCAGCGGCATGCTCGCGTACCCGTTCTCGACCTTGTCCGCGAGGTCGTCGAACGGCTGCGGAGCTCGACTCGGAGACGCCACGTCGGGCCTTTGCGTGGAGGGGAGTGGGGCCATGTCGACGAGTGGTAGTAGTAGGTGGAGTAGTCTTGAGACTTTGGGGGCAAGGAGCTCGGGGCGTATGGCTCGCTCACCTGCTCACTTGTTGAGTTGCTTGACCAGTTGCTGGTGAAATGCAGAATGAGACGTTACCACTCGGCCTCATTAGACCGGTCGAGTTGGAGCGGGCAAGTGCGTGGCCGAGCGACGGAGACAAGCTCCAGAATCAAGCACCGTGCAAGGGGCGGGTATGATGGCGTGGTGTGCACTGTTGGCGGATTAGCATTAATTTCGTGGGGTTTCTATCGGGGTTTCTAAACGGGTTTGACTTGGATACTGTATGGAGGGGGTACGTGTACCCCTTGCGCGTTTTTCTGCTTCTTGCACCCCAAGCAGACCTGCCGCAGAGCTGCAGAGCACACTTAGCTCGGCTGACTTAAAGCTCCGCGAGCTTCATGGCACGTCGCTGTTCTAGGACTCTAGGACTCTTTGCCATGCGTTGATGCGTTTTCGATGAGTCAATTTGTTTTACAAACGTCATGTGGCTGCAAAATGGCGCCATCTGAATTCAGGTCAGATGTTGCGAGCGAGATTCCGCTAGTTTGAGGACTCGTCTCTTGGTTTTTATCGTCGTCTATGCTGTGCCGAAATGTCCATGCTCGTCTATCGTACAGTATCAAGATTTCTGTAAGTGGACGCACCACTGCGGCCAGCCGGCCTGGTCGCTAGACCAACCGTTTGCGCTGAAGTTGAAAAGATAAGCGCCAAATGGCGCATTTGCCCTACTTATGATCAACCGACGCAAAGATCCACCCCTGAGCGTAGTAGGGGATCTTCATTAGTCGCACCACTCGAGTGACAGTAAACTTGAATTTCATGAACCAACTCATACAGCAACGCTCTTCTGTACATATAACTGAGGACACAAAAGCTACTTCGCGGCTCGGACAGCACCGCCACTGGGGGAACGGCTACGGCGCAGGATCTCTCAACGCTACGGGCAATAGAGACCAGAGAACGGGGGGTCTCTCCGCCAAATCTGCAGGGTACTCTGCAGCGCCGGGTTTGCGTTGCTCTGGCAAATACGGAATCAGGTGGTGCACGAGGGACAAACGTGGCTGCCAGCTCAGCAACTCGACTACATGTGGTTGACGTGCATGCGCCAGCTCAACGCAATAGCGCGTCGGAAGCGCCTTCGAGCGCCAACGAAGATACAAGGAATGCAGTTTCAACTAAGCCTCGACTGTTTTGCAGACATAGGCCTAGAAGCGAATCCGATGGATACCCTTCCGCAGCCTGCGGCGTGGGTTAAACAGACAGAGCCCGCTCTGATCACTAGACTTAGAACATACCAGGCAGCTATTAACTAAGGTTCAATAGACTACCTTCTCTCTCTTCTGTACATATAACTACTTAACACTTGATCAATTGTACGGTAGATTTTAATCTCCACGCCGCTTGGTAAACTCGCACCGAATGTGGGGCAGACATTGCTTCCGCCTCAAGCCGCCGCAAGCGTGGCGATTTCAATTAAGGCTCGACACTCAGTATTCAGAGCTCAAGCGGTCAGTACAATAAACTCATTGCGTCTCAAGTAGCAAATACTGTTTTGTAAGTTTTCGAAACAGGTCAATCACGCATTGCGTTCGTGGCCTTAGCGCTTCTGGCGGTGCTTTTCAAACACTTACACAAATATGCACACCTGGTAAGCTTAGCCTGTTATCCCCTAAACTTTGACTTCATGGATACACCAGGTTTAGAGTTTCGTGCTACCGTCCGAGGCTTTTGCATTAAGATAACAGTTCTGCCAAACAATATGTGTATCTTACCAAAAAGCAGCGTCATAGTTATCAGCTACAATCGGTAGCAACGGCAATGAATCTCAACTAAGAAATTATTGATCAGCTTCTACAGCGACAAACAACCGATACAGTACGAGTACAGTCAACCTAACGGAATCTCGCTCGCAACATCTGACCTGAATTCAGATGGCGCCATTTTGCAGCCACATGACGTTTGTAAAACAAATTGACTCATCGAAAACGCATCAACGCATGGCAAAGAGTCCTAGAGTCCTAGAACAGCGACGTGCCATGAAGCTCGCGGAGCTTTAAGTCAGCCGAGCTAAGTGTGCTCTGCAGCTCTGCGGCAGGTCTGCTTGGGGTGCAAGAAGCAGAAAAACGCGCAAGGGGTACACGTACCCCCTCCATACAGTATCCAAGTCAAACCCGTTTAGAAACCCCGATAGAAACCCCACGAAATTAATGCTAATCCGCCAACAGTGCACACCACGCCATCATACCCGCCCCTTGCACGGTGCTTGATTCTGGAGCTTGTCTCCGTCGCTCGGCCACGCACTTGCCCGCTCCAACTCGACCGGTCTAATGAGGCCGAGTGGTAACGTCTCATTCTGCATTTCACCAGCAACTGGTCAAGCAACTCAACAAGTGAGCAGGTGAGCGAGCCATACGCCCCGAGCTCCTTGCCCCCAAAGTCTCAAGACTACTCCACCTACTACTACCACTCGTCGACATGGCCCCACTCCCCTCCACGCAAAGGCCCGACGTGGCGTCTCCGAGTCGAGCTCCGCAGCCGTTCGACGACCTCGCGGACAAGGTCGAGAACGGGTACGCGAGCATGCCGCTGACCCCCAAGGCCACGACCAACTTCGCGCCTGAGGCCAAGCGCACCGGCCTGGCCCGCTTCGCCGTCAAGAGCGTGCACATGCGCGAGTGCCTGGCCGAGTTCCTCGGCACCTTCGTCATGATCGTCTTCGGCATGGGCGTCAACAACCAAGTGACCAACTCGGAGGAGAAGAACGGCACGTGGCTCAGCATCAACATGTGCTGGGGCATCGGCGTGCTCATCGGCGTCTACTGCTCCGAGGGCATCAGCGGCGCCAACCTTAACACGGCTGTGACGTTGGCGCACTGCGTGTACGGCCGCCTGCCGTGGTGGAAGGCGCCGGGCTACATGATCTCGCAGCTGCTGGGCGCCTTCATCGGCGCCTTCGTCATCTACGTCATGCAGTACCAGAACCTCAACGTCATCGACCCGCAGCGCGAGACCACGCAAAGCAGCTTCTCCACGTACCCTAGCGACAACATCTCCAACTACACGGCCTTCTACACGGAGTTCGTGGGCACGGCCATGCTCGTGCTCAGCATCTACGCCATCACGGACAAGCGCAACCGCGCGGCCGGCCCCGTGGGCGCCGCGTTCGCCTTCTGCCTCATGATCATGGCGCTCGGCATGGCCTTCGGCATGAACACGGGCTACGCCGTGAACCCTGCGCGCGACTTCGGTCCTCGCCTGTTCACGTTCTGCGCCGGCTGGGGCTCCAAGGTCTTCACGACGCGCAACTACTACTTCTGGATCCCGATCGTGGCGGACCTGATGGGCGGCGTTGCTGGCGCGGGGCTGTACCGCCTGCTCGTGGAGATCCACCACCCGCCGCTCCCGCACCAGAACTAAGGTGGTCACTTGGATTCTTGTATGTAGTCGATGTGTATAAAATAGAATACGGTATTCGTTCGGATGCTTCAGTGTTCGTACCGTACAGTAAGGCTAACTGCATCTTCAGTTTTGAAAGTGTGGACGTAGTGATGGTTTTGGACGACTTCAGAATAGTTCAGAATAATTTGGAAAACGTCCAAAATTCCGTCCAAAATCCAAATGTATCCAAAACTGTCAGAAAGAATACTCGGGATTGATTCTCAACCAGAGGCACAACGGCACAAGTGCTCGCCTTCGCATCCGAAGAAGCCACCGCTGGTGCCGCTGCAGATTCCCTCTGCGGACGAGCCCATGCCAATTACAGCTCCGTTAGCTGCTGAGCACGAGCCCCAACACCGACAGAGACGCCCGCGCGTTAGACCTGTACCGGAAGGCCAAGCCGAGCCACCGTAAGCGCCCTAAAGACGAGCTGGACACCAGCACACGAAGGTGGCCGACGTCGAGGAAGAACGGACGACCGGCTGCAGGGCGACCGCGCCAGCGACAACGACACGGAGAGGCTCTCTCAGTGAAGCAGCTTGCCGAGCGCCAGAAGGAGGAGACCCACCGCACCGTCGTGGGGAACATCAAGCTGCGCGGCATACTCAAGCGTGGCTTAGGCGTTGACGGCCGTCCTCACGGCCAAGGATGGCACTGACGTGCTCGTGCTCATGAAGAGCAAGTAGTACTATTACCCCGCGGGCGCACAGCGCGACATTAGGAACGCTGGCTACACTGCATGTTCATCGTGGGTGACGGCGCTGTGGTTGTCGAGGTGGTCGGCGACACGACGTCCAAGCGCCCGAGGTGCACTGTGACGATCCTCGAGGGAGAGACCAAGCGGGTCGCGAGTGACGAGTCCGCGATCAAGCCGTCGACGTACCTCAAGCACCTGGCCGTCAACGTGGAGCTTGGCGAGCATCAGACGAAGTATCTCAATGGCAATTACTTCGAGAAGCGCAGGCTGCGGGCGGACAAGGCACAGATATTGAGGCGGACATCCAGACCTGTGCGGTGGCTTCAGCCGAGCTTATCCAGAAGCAAGCGCGTCGCTTCGTCAAAGACAACCGAAAGCCGCAGCAGAACAGCGCGAAGTACGCCAGCAGCTACGTGCAGGCCCAGATCAATACCACCAAGAGTTCTATGTTGAAGAGAAGGTATATGAAGACCTAAAGTAAAACCAAACACACAATGTATTAAAGATTAGTTGTCGACTTCTACACTCTCTGGGCGCGATTGATGACGCGCAAGATCGAGTTCGTCGCTCTGAATGATGCCATAATTGATGTAGATGAATGCAAGCATCTCGACCTTTTCTACGGAGAGTCTGTTCCTCCTTTTGGAGTGAATGTGATCAAATATGCTCCATGCTCTCTCGCTCGCAGCCGATGAAGTAGGAATCGCAAATACAATATCAGCTACCTTCTTGAGGAGCGGGTACCGGAAAGACTTCTTCTCACTCTTCGAGCCCCAGTAGTACTGCGGACTTGACTCAGAAAACTTTACCCGCTCAGCTTCACCACCACGCCGTTTTTCAGCCTTGAACTCAAGAATCTCCGCGGTCAGCTTAGGTATATCCACTGCCGTTATGATGCCGCAACGTACCGCCATTTGGCAGGCTTGGTCATCTACCTTCTCGCTGTCCATGCCAACAAATTCGTCAAGATTCGTAGCAGGATCGAGCATGAATGCAATGCCCATTGCGTTGGTGTGCACGTACGTCCAGCGCTTCTTGATCTTTTCACGAAAGCAGCCTTGCAAATCGACGAGCGATAAAGTTGCAACCTTCTTGTAGTCATCTCCAGTAAGGATGCTTTCATCCTCTGCCAATACACTTTGAAGCTTATTGTCAGCGCTGCTGGTGGAAGTTATGCGCTCTACTGTGTCGCTCAGAAGTTCGATTCCATCTCGCGCAGGTCCATGCGCTTCTCTGTTGTTCTGCCGCTCCACCACGCGATTCTGCGGCTCCGTCGGTGGACCCGCCGCATCATCCTACTGTTCTTCGTCGGGTGACGTGACGCCGTAAGCCGAATGATAACGAAGCCACCAGAACCACCGATACACACCCGACACAAACGTATTGTCTGTTTCTAATGCCCGGAGCGCCGTAATGATGGGATCGAGAAGGCGTACTACTGTCCTCAAGCTACTCCAAAACCCGTTATCGCGGATGAGCTCCGTGATATAGCGAAGCTTCTTCCGACTTGCCGCGGTTCCACGATAGCGATCAAGAAATCGATCGTACTCAGGACTCAAAAACAATTTCTCGAATATGTCCTGGCTGTTCAGCACACTCCGCATACAGGCATGCACTGAGTACCATCGCGTCGGCATTGGTAGCACGAGATTGCGCGTTTTAATCCCCGAATCGCGCGTTTCTTTCTTCAACTGCTTGAACTCGTCAAGTAAGGCAAGGTGGTCTCGAATAAAGCGTGTCAGGGTGACAGCTCTCGACAGGATCGCTTTAATGGCAGGAAATTGGCACACGTCTTGCACCAATAAATTCAGTACGTGTGCCGAACAGCCACCGCTCACCACATTTGGGCGTCTGCCCTGTACGCGAGCCGACGCGCTCCTCATATTTTGCGCGTTGTCTGTTACAATAGCAACGACTTGGGCTGTAGTATCACGTTCAATTTCCTCGATAACTTTGTCAATTTCGCCAGCGATATATCTTGCCGTGTGCTGCTCGGATCTGGTAGACCATGACGACCAAAAGACGGACGGCATCCCGGGTGCAACCACCATAAAATTGATTATACTCGAGCTGTTGGTGTCACTCCATCCGTCGGTGACGAGCGAGACGTAGACTTGTTTATTGATCAGCTCGATGACATGGCTCCGGCGAAGCTGATCTCGCACCCGTTTCAGCAACACTCCGCTCAATTTATGGCGCGATGGTATTTGCATTGTAGGTGCCAACATAGCGAGAAATTCACGAAATATTGGGGCCCTCCAGGAGAATAAAAGGAAGTGCGCAAACAAAAAAGACTTTCGCCAGCGCCAATTCGAAGGCGTCTTGCGTCAATCCGCTTTGAGTAGATCGGACTGTCTGGTCGCGTTCTTGAGCCTGAGCAGTGGCTTGAGCAGGGGCTTGAGCAGGCTCGGGAGGTGCGGGACGCAGAGAAATTTGCACATCACGGGGGACACGAGGGCACTGCTTGGGCTGCGTTAGATGCTTTAGCAGGTTGCCGCCGGGCTTGCCATTTTTCTTCAAAGTACCGCAATACTTGCAACGACCGTTTTTTTTTCGTTCTCTCTCTCAATGTCGTAATGCTGCCAGATTTCATCTCGAGGGCGCCCCATTCGGGTTGGCGAAGCTCCCGTTCGTCGCAACGAAGGTGATGGCGAGAAGTTAACGCGTCTTGTTGGCGTAGGCGATCGCATGTGCCTTAGAGACGGGCTGGAGGTAGAAGTTCCGCCATGGTAGGGGCTGTAGCGAGGAGAACGTCGCAAAGCAGAGCCGGAACGGATCCCCTGCGCACTACGCGTGGTTACTTGCGGCGATTTAAAGTTGTCACTTGATGCTGGTGTCGCTTGCCGACTGGAAATAGGCGCTGGGGAGGCGTTCGGCAGGTTCGCAGGCAAAGATGCAGTTTCAGGAGCGCCGTCGGGTGGCATGGTGTTCATGGAGGGGAATGTCTTGCAGTGAGGGAGATTTACAGAGGGAGGGAAGAGGGAAGATCGCACATCAAGTTCGAGGTACTGACTTTTAGACACTTTTGGACATTTTGGACACTTCTAAAGTGTTTAGAACGTTTTAGACGTTTTGGACGTTCTTTACTCGTCCAATTCAAAACCATCACTATGTGGACGTGCTCAAGGCGACTAATGAAAGATCGGTCGATGCCGTGGCTGTGATGACATACAGTATGCCAGGTTGCCATCTGAAAAGATAAAGCTACAGCTGAAGACGATGCCAGGTTTCGGATCTCCGCGATGCAAGATTGACGCTGTCTGGAGATACTGTCATGGTTGAGCGAAGATACCTTTCAGGCTTACCAGGTTTATTAACGTCGACCTGAATAGCGGTTGTTTTGCTGTAGACGATGTAGTGTGCACAAAGATAAAGCTACTGGTATCGCCAAAGCTACCGTGGAATCCTGAGCATTCGCCTCTCCCGAGTAAGGCTCGACTTTTGTTCAACAATAAATGCGATTTCAGATCAAATTCGCCTTCGAAGAAAAAAACTGAAGTCTATTGCGTGGTGGTACAGTCTATGAGGCAACCGGTAGTCTACTGCTGCGGCTGCGGGTGGTGCATCTCCACCATGACGCGGTACAGCCCCGCGCCCGCCACGCCGCCGCACAGCGGAGCCACGATGGGGATCCAGAAGTAGTGGTTGCGCAACGTGAAGACCTTGGTGCCCCAGCCCGCCAAACAAGTGAACAGACGCGGGCCGAAGTCGCGCGCAGGGTTGATGGCGTAGCCCGTGTTCATGCCGAAGGCCATGCCGAGCGCCCAGATGAGCAGGCAGAAGGCGAACGGAGAGCCGACGGGGCCCGCCGACTTGTTGCGCTTGTCCGTGATGGCGTACACGCCCAGCACCAGCATGGCCGTGCCCACGAACTCCGTGTAGAAGGCCGTGTAGTTGGAGATGTTGTCGCTAGGGTACGTGGACCAGCTTCCCTGCGTCGTCTCGCGGTTCGGGTCGACGACGTTCAAGTTCTGGTACTGCATGACGTAGATGACGAAGGCGCCGCAGAAGGCGCCCAGCACCTGCGAGACCATGTAGCCCGGCGCCTTCCACCACGGCAGGCGGCCGTAGACGCAGTGCGCCAACGTCACAGCCGTGTTGAGGTTGGCGCCGCTGATGCCCTCGGAGCAGTAGACGCCGATGAGCACGGCCACGCCCCAGCACATGTTGATGCTGAGCCACGTGCCGTTCTTCTCCTCGGAGTTGACGACCTGGTTGTTCACGCCCATGCCGAAGACGATCATGACGAAGGTGCCGAGGAACTCGGCCAGGCACTCGCGCATGTGCACGCTCTGCACGGCGTAGCGCGACGGGGCCTTGCCGTGCGAGGCGGAGCCGGCCTTGGGCGTGCTCGGCGCGTCGACGTATCCGGTCTCGACCTTGTCGACCAGCTCGTCGTAGGAGACGGCGGCGATGTTCGTGTCTTGCTTGGAAGCCATGGCGACGGAGTCGGTTTGGTTGTTGTTGTTGTTGTTGTTGGCGGTGGTGATGTGGACTGCAGAGCACTACAGTACTCGCGGTCTGTGGAGCGAGCGAGCGAGTGAGTGAGTGAGTGAGTGGAGGACTTGACCAGTTGCTGGTGAAATGCAGAATGAGATCGAGTGCTCCGGTTCGACTCGCCCGCTGCGAATGTCTGTGCAAGCAAACTCGGTCCCGCGTGGAGATTACTTAAGTAATTCATTGCCGATTACTTTGTGGAATCGAGTTCCACTGCGTGCGTTTGTGCGTGTCTATCGAGCCGGGCTCGGGCGGGACTCACAATCCGGCTTGGCCCAACCCGGCTCGAGCCGAGCCGGAGCATCGAGCCCGGATTTGCTTGTTAATTCACGCCCGGCATCTCAGTGATGGCGCTTCGCCGATGTCTATGCTGCCAGCTGTGCGCCAGTCAGCCCTGCCTCAGTCCGCAGAGGATGCGAAGACTTCGTCACGGTGGCCATCAGTTGCTGCTTGCAGCGACCGAGTGTTTACCAGTTGCACCCATTCACTACATGTACGAGCTCAGTAACAGCGCACTACACGCAGTATCGGCAGTGCGTTGAATGTAGGTCGATATTCAAGTGCTGTTGTTTTCAAAATTATGGATATTGTAAACCACTTTGTAGATCGCTGATATTTGCTCAATTGTATCTCGAAAATACGCACCTTGGGATCAAACGTAAAGGTCGACCATTCACCGTTTCACCGCTTCCTCCTTTAAGAGGACACGAAGGCCAACTTCATATCTTCTCTGTGCCATACATGCACCGCTGCCTCGGAGATATGACAACTGGTACTGCATGATTCAAGTAGTTTCCAGCAACGATTGCTTGGGCTGCCGTTGAGTCCGTTGGTTTAACGTCCACGCACCGCACGGCGTGCAATGTGTCATTGCCAATGACGCCCTCCGGCAACAAGTACAGTAAGAGTGACAGCTATCTGTATCCTAATGTCAATTTGAATCTTTGTTGCCAGTAGAACTGTGATGCAGTATTTGACGATTGATTTCATCAGTGCGAAGGTTTTAGGAAAGAGAATAGAATCCGGAAAAGCGAGCTTCCTTCGGAATGCTCATTTTTAACGTCGCTTGCGTTTTCTATTGCCTACCAGCAACAAGGTTCAATTAGTCCAGTTAATTCGAAACACGCTAGCCTGCGAGCGAGATTGACAAGGTCAGACGACGACCAGATCTCGACTCCGCACTGGAAAACAATGTCACTTTTGATCCGACACCTACACTGTACAAGGCCACAGCAAACCGAATCGAAGCGAATTCTGTGCGGCTCGAAGGCTTGGTCCGTGTCATTGCAGCAGCGAGTCGTGGTCGGGTCGCGATCGTGGATACCCAACTTGTTGGGTGTCCATCGCGAGCGAGCACTCGTTGACACTCTGAGCAAGCAACCAGGCCCTCAAGTCCGGCGAGACCATGCTCGATTCTCAGCCACAAACGTAAAAATCAACGCAATGGCACGGCGCCGTGCTGTTCGTATTTGAAAATCATTTTAATCAGTGGACCACGCATATTAATCTACGGACCACTCTCGGCAATACTGTAAGTGTTATAGATACCGCCGACAAGCACCGCAGCTTTCTTACCTCTGCCTTAGTCTTAATAAACGGCACGCTCTAACGTGTATTCCCATGGAGCAGGGCATATCATAGGTATATCCTTGTCTATCAGCCCACGAATCGGTAAATCTTCCGCCCAGTACGCGAAAAACAAGCGCTAATACCCCCAATAAACCATTCGAATCAGGCGATTCGCAACTACTGACAATTTATCCGTCGTCATAGCTTCGGCAGCTCAACCTTCGTCAAAGCTGCCTCCCTACACTGAAACAATCTAACCCATTAATCAACAGCTTGCGAGAAAACATGAAGTCTATTGCGTGGTGGTACAGTCTATGAGGCAACCGGTAGTCTACTGCTGCGGCTGCGGGTGGTGCATCTCCACCATGACGCGGTACAGCCCCGCGCCCGCCACGCCGCCGCACAGCGGAGCCACGATGGGGATCCAGAAGTAGTGGTTGCGCAACGTGAAGACCTTGGTGCCCCAGCCCGCCAAACAAGTGAACAGACGCGGGCCGAAGTCGCGCGCAGGGTTGATGGCGTAGCCCGTGTTCATGCCGAAGGCCATGCCGAGCGCCCAGATGAGCAGGCAGAAGGCGAACGGAGAGCCGACGGGGCCCGCCGACTTGTTGCGCTTGTCCGTGATGGCGTACACGCCCAGCACCAGCATGGCCGTGCCCACGAACTCCGTGTAGAAGGCCGTGTAGTTGGAGATGTTGTCGCTAGGGTACGTGGACCAGCTTCCCTGCGTCGTCTCGCGGTTCGGGTCGACGACGTTCAAGTTCTGGTACTGCATGACGTAGATGACGAAGGCGCCGCAGAAGGCGCCCAGCACCTGCGAGACCATGTAGCCCGGCGCCTTCCACCACGGCAGGCGGCCGTAGACGCAGTGCGCCAACGTCACAGCCGTGTTGAGGTTGGCGCCGCTGATGCCCTCGGAGCAGTAGACGCCGATGAGCACGGCCACGCCCCAGCACATGTTGATGCTGAGCCACGTGCCGTTCTTCTCCTCGGAGTTGACGACCTGGTTGTTCACGCCCATGCCGAAGACGATCATGACGAAGGTGCCGAGGAACTCGGCCAGGCACTCGCGCATGTGCACGCTCTGCACGGCGTAGCGCGACGGGGCCTTGCCGTGCGAGGCGGAGCCGGCCTTGGGCGTGCTCGGCGCGTCGACGTATCCGGTCTCGACCTTGTCGACCAGCTCGTCGTAGGAGACGGCGGCGATGTTCGTGTCTTGCTTGGAAGCCATGGCGACGGAGTCGGTTTGGTTGTTGTTGTTGTTGTTGTTGGCGGTGGTGATGTGGACTGCAGAGCACTACAGTACTCGCGGTCTGTGGAGCGAGCGAGCGAGTGAGTGAGTGAGTGAGTGGAGGACTTGACCAGTTGCTGGTGAAATGCAGAATGGTACTCTTGCGCCTGCGAGTGTCTGCCGCGAAGGACACCGTTGCTGGTCGATCGCAATGCTACGTGCGCCGGTGGATTAATCTTGATTCGTTTTTCTGCTTGGGGTGACGTTCGGTTTCGGCGCGTGTCTTTAGGATGGGGATGGGCGACGAGCCGAATCCAGGCATATGTCGGCTTGGTCGAGCTGGGCTCGGCTCGCCCGCAACGGACTTTCTCACATACAGCCCCGTCACATGTGAGGCAGCTCGAAAAGCAGCGCGTGTACTTGGCCATCGCGCCACGAGCCCGGGGCTGACTCACCACAGGCAGATTGTACTCGCTGAAACGCTACCTCAATACTGCGGTAACGCCCCGGCGGCCTAAGAACGAGTTTCTTGCCAATCGTTTCGTTCTGGTGGGCGGCAGCCTGGCAAGTTTGATCGCAGTCTTAGCCACGCCGGCTCACGTCACTTGGTCTTGGTCTCAATGGCGAGCTACTGACCGGGCTGTTGCGGTGGCGTCGAGCTAGAAACAGCTCCCCACGCCTACCGGCAGATGAATCTCCTTGTACTGACTGTACGTGCATCACGCGCCATCCATCGCTACCGCCGCTACCACCGCCGAAAAGGCCGCCGCTGCCCTGCTTGCTCGCACGGGCACGGTGCAGAGGACTAATACGGCCCTTGGCTGTGGAGATTGATTAAAACCGGTGGGCTGCCGCGATACGCCGCCGATTTGAGGTGGTTCAGATCGATCGGAGCGAGAGGCCCTGTGGAGCCTTCACAGCGGGTGCACCACACAGTGCTGTCGCTCGCCCGCTGGGCCAGGCATTGGGTATGATGCGGCGGCGGCCTAATCTGCGAGGCGGCGACCATACCGGCCCGCCGCGGGGCCCGTGTCGCTGCAGCGAAAAAGGATACCGTATGACGAGCGCATCCGCGAGAGTGGCATCGGTCCGTGCCTTGCTTCAGTTTCTGAGCAAGCAACGTGCGGCGCTGGCGCCCTCTCTTGCGCACGCGCAGCGTCTACGCGCTTGTTTAACTTGACTAGAGCCTCGAGTCTCGAGCCTCGGTCCGAGGCCCTCGGATCGCGAGCCGTGCTCGGTCGGCCTGTGCATGGGCATGTATATCTTGAAGCGCCGTATGGCTATTAATACTCTTTGGATCCCGAGACTGACATGCTCGGCAAATGGCCATGGAGGCAAGCAAGCGCCGATTAGCTGGCACACCGCGATGAGCTGAGGTGGTTCCAGCGTTGCTGGCAAGGATTCGCGTGCTGACAGCTCCGTCTCATTGCGCTGGATCCAGTCGATTGAGGGCCGGTTCAGATGTTACCATGACGAGGAGCACCGCCTGCTCAGAAGCGGTCACCAAGACGCATCAAGGCCAATGGTGGTGCTGGCCCGGTGCCGGTGCTGTTTCCAGGCGCCATCAAGGTACTGAGAGCTTGGGTCGTACTAGATGACAATGCTTAGATTCCAAAAAGGTAGAGCTGTGTACGAGAGTGCGGTGTGTTGCAATTGATGACGGTAGAAATCCAAATAATCTATTGCACTGGTTACAATCTATAAAATAGCGAGCGCAAGCACTCGCTGCGCTGTGATGGAGGCGCTAGCTGCGCGCTGTGGTTTTCTCGGTTCTCCCCGCTTCTCGCTCACATTCGGACCGCTCGTTCAAAGCAGCGGGCCCCGCGGGTGGTGGATCTCAACTAACAGGCGGTACAGACCCGCGCCGCACACGCCGCCCAGCGAATCGGCCACGATCGGGATCCAGAAGTAGTAGTGACGCAGCGTGAAGACCTTCGATCCCCAGCCGGCGATGGCCGTGAAGATGCGCGGGCCCAGGTCACGCGCCGGGTTGACGGCGTAGCCCGTGTTCATGCCGAAGGCCATGCCGAGCGCCATGATCATGAGGGCGAACGCGAAGGCGTTGCCGTACTTGCCGGCGGGGCGGTTCTTGGTGTCCGTGATGGCGTAGATGCTCATGACGAGCATGGCCGTGCCGACGAACTCGGTGTAGAAGGCCGTGTAGTTGGAGATGTTGTCCCGCGGGTACGTGGCGAAGCTGCTCTGCGTGGTCTCGCGGTTGGGGTCGATCTCGTTCAGGTTCTGCCACTGCATGACCCAAATGCAAAAGGCGCCGCAGAAGGCCCCCAGGAGCTGCGAGATCATGTAACCCGGAGCCTTCCACCACGGCAGGCGGCCGTAGACGCAGTGCGCGAGCGTGACGGCGGTGTTGAGGTTGGCGCCGCTAATGCCTTCGGAGCAGTAGACGCCGATCATGACGCCGATGCCCCAGCAAATGTTGATGCTGAGCCACGTGCCCTTCTCGAGCTCCGAGTTGGTCACTTGGTTGTTAACGCCCATGCCGAAGAGGATCATGACGAAGGTGCCGAGGAACTCGGCGAAGCACTCGCGCAGGTGCACGCTCTCGACGGCGAAGCGGGCGAGGCCCCGCGGCGTGTCCTCGTTGGGGTAGAGCGGAGTGGTGGCCTTGGGCGTGGTGGGCATGCCGGCGTAGCCGCTCTCGACCTTGTCGGCCAGGTCGTCGAAGCCCTGGACTTGGCAGGCGGGCGACACGCCGGCGGTCTGGTTGGACGGGGTCGGAGCCATGGCGGCGGCAAGGTTTCACTTGGGAGGCGGTTGGCTGGCAGAAGCGGAGGCTTGGCCAGTAGCTGGTGAAAAGCGGAATGACACTTGCTCGGGTGTGGCTTTCCCCCCGAGACTTCCATCCGCTAGAACGATGAGAATGCAGGTTGCAGAGCGCTGCTCGAAGTATCTAGTAGCGTATCGTCCATAGGTAGGTTGCTTGTCTAGGTTGAAGTGGAACTCGCGTGTTTCTCGCGCTCGGATCTTTGATTTTTGTAAACGGATCCGTGTTGGATCGCGAGGCTGAAGCAGTCAGAGTGGGGTTCAGTTCGGTCAGCCACGCCTGTCAGAGACACCATGGCTGCGATGGATAGCGCAGTTGTTGTCGGAGTGCAGTCACTCAAATACGATCCGAACGCAGGCATTTCTCGCTCGACAAAGGTAACTGGAGCTGCAACAACTAATGTTAAACCAAACACAACGTTCACCAGAAGCACAACTACTGCGCGTTAAGTATTTTAGTAAATCCACTCACCACAAACAACATATCGGCCTTATCCCGCGCCGGCCCACGCCGCCCAACGGCAGCTTTGATCGCCATCGTAAGCTGATTCGAAACTCCCTAGCAAGAAACCGCTTTGGTCCGAGTGGTTCGTACCCGGTCAGGTGCCGCGACCACGCATCAACAGAAATTAATTCGCAGCCGGCAACAACCCGCTGATCTAGCTCACTCGACAGCGCCACTATCCACTGCCCCAGCACCGCTCACCCGGACGAAAGCCACACCCGAGCAAGTGTCATTCCGCTTTTCACCAGCTACTGGCCAAGCCTCCGCTTCTGCCAGCCAACCGCCTCCCAAGTGAAACCTTGCCGCCGCCATGGCTCCGACCCCGTCCAACCAGACCGCCGGCGTGTCGCCCGCCTGCCAAGTCCAGGGCTTCGACGACCTGGCCGACAAGGTCGAGAGCGGCTACGCCGGCATGCCCACCACGCCCAAGGCCACCACTCCGCTCTACCCCAACGAGGACACGCCGCGGGGCCTCGCCCGCTTCGCCGTCGAGAGCGTGCACCTGCGCGAGTGCTTCGCCGAGTTCCTCGGCACCTTCGTCATGATCCTCTTCGGCGTGGGCGTTAACAACCAAGTGACCAACTCGGAGCTCGAGAAGGGCACGTGGCTCAGCATCAACATTTGCTGGGGCATCGGCGTCATGATCGGCGTCTACTGCTCCGAAGGCATTAGCGGCGCCAACCTCAACACCGCCGTCACGCTCGCGCACTGCGTCTACGGCCGCCTGCCGTGGTGGAAGGCTCCGGGTTACATGATCTCGCAGCTCCTGGGGGCCTTCTGCGGCGCCTTTTGCATTTGGGTCATGCAGTGGCAGAACCTGAACGAGATCGACCCCAACCGCGAGACCACGCAGAGCAGCTTCGCCACGTACCCGCGGGACAACATCTCCAACTACACGGCCTTCTACACCGAGTTCGTCGGCACGGCCATGCTCGTCATGAGCATCTACGCCATCACGGACACCAAGAACCGCCCCGCCGGCAAGTACGGCAACGCCTTCGCGTTCGCCCTCATGATCATGGCGCTCGGCATGGCCTTCGGCATGAACACGGGCTACGCCGTCAACCCGGCGCGTGACCTGGGCCCGCGCATCTTCACGGCCATCGCCGGCTGGGGATCGAAGGTCTTCACGCTGCGTCACTACTACTTCTGGATCCCGATCGTGGCCGATTCGCTGGGCGGCGTGTGCGGCGCGGGTCTGTACCGCCTGTTAGTTGAGATCCACCACCCGCGGGGCCCGCTGCTTTGAACGAGCGGTCCGAATGTGAGCGAGAAGCGGGGAGAACCGAGAAAACCACAGCGCGCAGCTAGCGCCTCCATCACAGCGCAGCGAGTGCTTGCGCTCGCTATTTTATAGATTGTAACCAGTGCAATAGATTATTTGGATTTCTACCGTCATCAATTGCAACACACCGCACTCTCGTACACAGCTCTACCTTTTTGGAATCTAAGCATTGTCATCTAGTACGACCCAAGCTCTCAGTACCTTGATGGCGCCTGGAAACAGCACCGGCACCGGGCCAGCACCACCATTGGCCTTGATGCGTCTTGGTGACCGCTTCTGAGCAGGCGGTGCTCCTCGTCATGGTAACATCTGAACCGGCCCTCAATCGACTGGATCCAGCGCAATGAGACGGAGCTGTCAGCACGCGAATCCTTGCCAGCAACGCTGGAACCACCTCAGCTCATCGCGGTGTGCCAGCTAATCGGCGCTTGCTTGCCTCCATGGCCATTTGCCGAGCATGTCAGTCTCGGGATCCAAAGAGTATTAATAGCCATACGGCGCTTCAAGATATACATGCCCATGCACAGGCCGACCGAGCACGGCTCGCGATCCGAGGGCCTCGGACCGAGGCTCGAGACTCGAGGCTCTAGTCAAGTTAAACAAGCGCGTAGACGCTGCGCGTGCGCAAGAGAGGGCGCCAGCGCCGCACGTTGCTTGCTCAGAAACTGAAGCAAGGCACGGACCGATGCCACTCTCGCGGATGCGCTCGTCATACGGTATCCTTTTTCGCTGCAGCGACACGGGCCCCGCGGCGGGCCGGTATGGTCGCCGCCTCGCAGATTAGGCCGCCGCCGCATCATACCCAATGCCTGGCCCAGCGGGCGAGCGACAGCACTGTGTGGTGCACCCGCTGTGAAGGCTCCACAGGGCCTCTCGCTCCGATCGATCTGAACCACCTCAAATCGGCGGCGTATCGCGGCAGCCCACCGGTTTTAATCAATCTCCACAGCCAAGGGCCGTATTAGTCCTCTGCACCGTCATCCCCATCCTAAAGACACGCGCCGAAACCGAACGTCACCCCAAGCAGAAAAACGAATCAAGATTAATCCACCGGCGCACGTAGCATTGCGATCGACCAGCAACGGTGTCCTTCGCGGCAGGCACTCGCAGGCGCAAGAGTACCATTCTGCATTTCACCAGCAACTGGTCAAGTCCTCCACTCACTCACTCACTCACTCGCTCGCTCGCTCCACAGACCGCGAGTACTGTAGTGCTCTGCAGTCCACATCACCACCGCCAACAACAACAACAACAACAACCAAACCGACTCCGTCGCCATGGCTTCCAAGCAAGACACGAACATCGCCGCCGTCTCCTACGACGAGCTGGTCGACAAGGTCGAGACCGGATACGTCGACGCGCCGAGCACGCCCAAGGCCGGCTCCGCCTCGCACGGCAAGGCCCCGTCGCGCTACGCCGTGCAGAGCGTGCACATGCGCGAGTGCCTGGCCGAGTTCCTCGGCACCTTCGTCATGATCGTCTTCGGCATGGGCGTGAACAACCAGGTCGTCAACTCCGAGGAGAAGAACGGCACGTGGCTCAGCATCAACATGTGCTGGGGCGTGGCCGTGCTCATCGGCGTCTACTGCTCCGAGGGCATCAGCGGCGCCAACCTCAACACGGCTGTGACGTTGGCGCACTGCGTCTACGGCCGCCTGCCGTGGTGGAAGGCGCCGGGCTACATGCTGTCGCAGCTGCTGGGCGCCTTCTGCGGCGCCTTCGTCATCTACGTCATGCAGTACCAGAACTTGAACGTCGTCGACCCGAACCGCGAGACGACGCAGGGAAGCTGGTCCACGTACCCTAGCGACAACATCTCCAACTACACGGCCTTCTACACGGAGTTCGTGGGCACGGCCATGCTGGTGCTGGGCGTGTACGCCATCACGGACAAGCGCAACAAGTCGGCGGGCCCCGTCGGCTCTCCGTTCGCCTTCTGCCTGCTCATCTGGGCGCTCGGCATGGCCTTCGGCATGAACACGGGCTACGCCATCAACCCTGCGCGCGACTTCGGCCCGCGTCTGTTCACTTGTTTGGCGGGCTGGGGCACCAAGGTCTTCACGTTGCGCAACCACTACTTCTGGATCCCCATCGTGGCTCCGCTGTGCGGCGGCGTGGCGGGCGCGGGGCTGTACCGCGTCATGGTGGAGATGCACCACCCGCAGCCGCAGCAGTAGACTACCGGTTGCCTCATAGACTGTACCACCACGCAATAGACTTCATGTTTTCTCGCAAGCTGTTGATTAATGGGTTAGATTGTTTCAGTGTAGGGAGGCAGCTTTGACGAAGGTTGAGCTGCCGAAGCTATGACGACGGATAAATTGTCAGTAGTTGCGAATCGCCTGATTCGAATGGTTTATTGGGGGTATTAGCGCTTGTTTTTCGCGTACTGGGCGGAAGATTTACCGATTCGTGGGCTGATAGACAAGGATATACCTATGATATGCCCTGCTCCATGGGAATACACGTTAGAGCGTGCCGTTTATTAAGACTAAGGCAGAGGTAAGAAAGCTGCGGTGCTTGTCGGCGGTATCTATAACACTTACAGTATTGCCGAGAGTGGTCCGTAGATTAATATGCGTGGTCCACTGATTAAAATGATTTTCAAATACGAACAGCACGGCGCCGTGCCATTGCGTTGATTTTTACGTTTGTGGCTGAGAATCGAGCATGGTCTCGCCGGACTTGAGGGCCTGGTTGCTTGCTCAGAGTGTCAACGAGTGCTCGCTCGCGATGGACACCCAACAAGTTGGGTATCCACGATCGCGACCCGACCACGACTCGCTGCTGCAATGACACGGACCAAGCCTTCGAGCCGCACAGAATTCGCTTCGATTCGGTTTGCTGTGGCCTTGTACAGTGTAGGTGTCGGATCAAAAGTGACATTGTTTTCCAGTGCGGAGTCGAGATCTGGTCGTCGTCTGACCTTGTCAATCTCGCTCGCAGGCTAGCGTGTTTCGAATTAACTGGACTAATTGATCCTTGTTGCTGGTAGGCAATAGAAAACGCAAGCGACGTTAAAAATGAGCATTCCGAAGTAAGCTCGCTTTTCCGGATTCTATTCTCTTTCCTAAAACCTTCGCACTGATGAAATCAATCGTCAAATACTGCATCACAGTTCTACTGGCAACAAAGATTCAAATTGCATTAGGATACAGATACCACCATTGAGCCTCGAGTGGCCCTCATAAAGGGGGACGCTGTCGTTGAGGTGCGATCGTGGTGTTGGATCCCAATCAGACCCACGAATTGTTAGCGTATACGTATCTGCTGGCTCGGATAGTCGATTCTAGGTAGTGTGTTGCCGCATGATTCTTTGATGTTATATTGAGCTGAAGTTAGCTTTTGGTTTTTCTTGGTGTTGGACCTCGAGATAGTACCGCATTCTATTGCAAGTAGAACTACTATTGCTTGGGATGCCAAGTGATGTCGTTTTCGTTTGCACTTCAACGTCGCTAGCCAATCAGTGCTGGGTGAAGCGGTTAAAGTGTAAGCTTGATGACCATAAAACCCTACCAAAACACAACAACAACCCGTCCAAATTCCGAACGCATTGTGGACTGAAAATACCATCAACACTGTCGATAGTATACACGCCAACAAAACAATAGGACCAGTAGATACGATAATTTATTCCTTGACTTCTATAATACACTCAGTTCTAGGGACCCTTCAGAGGAGTGGCCATTCTCCGTTCCAGTCTCGCTCTACAGCAGCGGAGACTGCGGCTGCGGGTGGTGGATCTCCACCAACGCGCGGTACAGACCCGCGCCGCACACGCCGCCCAGAGAATCGGCCACGAGTGGGATCCAGAAGTAGTAGTTGCGCGTCGTGAAGACCTTCGATCCCCAGCCGGCGATGGCCGTGAAGATGCGAGGACCTAGGTCGCGCGCCGGGTTGACGGCGTAGCCCGTGTTCATGCCGAAGGCCATGCCGAGCGCCATGATCATGAGGGCGAAGGCGAAGGGTGCGCCCACGGGGCCGGCCGCGCGGTTGCGCTTGTCCGTGATGGCGTAGATGCTGAGCACCAGCATGGCCGTGCCCACGAACTCCGTGTAGAAGGCCGTGTAGTTGGAGATGGTGTCGCTAGGGTACGTGGCGAAGCTGCTCTGCGTAGTCTCGCGCTGCGGGTCGATGACGTTGAGGTTCTGGTACTGCATGACGTAGATGACGAAGGCGCCGCAGAAGGCGCCCAGCAGCTGCGACAGCATGTAGCCCGGCGCCTTCCACCACGGCAGGCGGCCGTAGACGCAGTGCGCCAACGTCACAGCCGTGTTGAGGTTGGCGCCGCTGATGCCCTCGGAGCAGTACACGCCGATGAGCACGCCGATGCCCCAGCACATGTTGATGCTGAGCCACGTGCCGTTGGCGTCCTGCGAGTTGGTCACTTGGTTGTTGACGCCCATGCCGAAGACGATCATGACGAAGGTGCCGAGGAACTCGGCGAAGCACTCGCGCACGTGCACGCTCTGCACGGCGAAGCGGGCCAGGCCCTGCGGCTTTGCGCCGCTGGAGGCGAGGGCGGCGAACGGCATGGCCTTGGGGGTCGTGGGCATCACGGCGTAGCCGCACTCGACCTTGTCGGCCGCGTCGTCGGACGGCTGAGCGGCAGCGGTGGTGGCAGCGATAGATGCCACGTTGGGCGTGGCCATTGCTGCGGACGGCAGTGGAGCCATGTCGATTTGCGTTGGTAGTTGATGGTGGGGTGGTTGGTGTTGTTGCTTGACCAGTAGCTGGTGAAATGCAGAATGGTCATGGGCCGAGGCGAGCTTGCATCTCCGCGCCTCCGGGATGGCCGGCCGGCGGGAGCAGTCAGTATCAAGCGTGGCCGGCGGACGGTCGCCCGTGTGCATTCATGCTGTACGCGAGTGCGACAGGAGCGGCAGATTATTGCGGGGTTACGCTTTGTTAATTTCGTTCCTGCTCGTTTCTAAGGGAGGGTTCGTCCCGGTTCTGGCCGTTTCTATCACGGTTGATTTGGATATTGTATGGTCCAGTGTGGCGTCCGGCTGTCAGTCAGTCCGTCGGTCGGAGGGGTACGTTCGTACGTGCAATGCACGCAGCACATGCACGACGTCCATGTGCTGCGTGTTTCTGCTTCGACTTGGATTTGAGGGCCGTCCCAGCAAGCAAGCGTTGAAGAGGCCTGAGCTGGTGGTGGATCTCGTTGCGACCACCGAAGCATCGGTTTGATTAGCTGGACGATCCAGCTGAATGGGGTGGAGGAATACTTTATGCTCTGGAAATGCGCGTGAAACCAGCAGTGTGTTGTAAGTTAACACCACGGATGGGTGCTAACGAGCTACGAGAAATCAAGTGTGATTTCGAGAATAACTTAGTCTGCAGCAACTGCGTGTTGTCTGTGACTGAGTAATGGAGTGGTGGTTGAGGACTACGACTACTCGAAGAGACCCGAGGGTTTCTGAGAATGACTCCTGCATGCGTGCAGTTGTTGTGATTGGCTGTAGCCAATGTAGTCGGAAAGAGTCCACGGGGGTTTTACTGCTTGCGGAGCTTTCCCCTACAACAACACTTGAAAGAATAAACATATCCCAATATGACCCACACCAAGCAAGTCGCTCCTGTTTTATGATCAATCTACTTGTAGCTTTGTTACTGAAGCTCTCCTGCTCCTCGATGCGGTCGACGGACAGGATTCCAAGGTGCTCCATGGGACTGAGAGTCTCGTAGGTTATGAGCCCAAAGCATGAGCGCTTGTGGGTATGCAGTTGCAAGTGATGATTGAATTTCGCGTGCATTTGAGTTACTGGTACCGTGAGCGGTGGAAAGGTGTTAGTAGGAAGCAAGGTGGCGCGAATGTGGTTTCCCACGGGTGTATACATCGGACGTAACACGTTTGCATGGTGGGATATGATCGCTGAGTACGATTCAAGGGTCTTGTGTCTGTAAAGCTGGATCATGTGGACGAGTACACGTTATATGTCTGTATGTTGTTCCTGTGAGAGTATCATCGGCTATTAATGAGGATCCTGCGTGGGTTCGAGGTGCTGGTGCTGCCAGCAGAAGGAAGGTGAAAGTGAATATTGACGATTGGTGCTCCAGCGACCGGTGTACGCAGACTACAGCACCGAGGAAAAGTTATCGCTGCGCGCGAGTGGATGAACCCGTGTCGGGTGCTTGTTGTTGAGTACTCAAGGCACGTCCTTATGTTGCTCTTGTAAGAGTTGGGTTTGCGGATAGTGGCAGATGCAGCGTTTGAATGTTGGTAAGGTGATATGAAGGCCCAGTCAGACGAGTATGAATGAATGCTGTTCTGCAGAAGGTGGCTGCGGCTACTAAGGCACCAGCAAGCGATGTAACGTTACCTGATTTGGATCGATGGTGGTTCGAGTTGTATCTTGCACTGAGACTGCTGATTGTGCGTTGAGTGCCGAGGCTCCCGACGCTCCATCGTCGATGTCGACAAGATGATTTAGACTGAGAACACGTTTTGATTTTGGTTTTGTGTATTTATCCCGGGTGGAGCGAAGGCAAGTTGGCAAGCTTATTTTGCGTCATTGAGTTGAGGACAGCGTTTGAGGCTTCACAAGTACATCTTATTCACGATCAGAAGTTATGGTATAAGTTGGCGCTACAAAAGGAGATCATGCATCGAGATGCGTGTTGGCGCCATGCTTTGTGTAAGCATCCATCCGAAATGAAGGCAGTGCTGTTAGCAAATTTGATCGGCTTGATTTTGGAGAGGAAACGTGTAGAGTCTTGTGGTGCGCCCATAGATGTACTCCGGACTGACTTGGGTAGATGAACAGATTGCTAATTCAGTGGGAGAAATGGAGTTGTGTGTTGAAGTGCACCGCTAAGTACGGTTCCGTTCCGTACCTGAACCGTTGGCACGGTTCACCCTGAACCGTCCTGGAACGCTTCCTATTGGCTAATCTTCGGGATGGTCAACTTGGTTGGTTCGACTGTGCAGCAAGCGGTGATTGCACAAGCAGACACAAGAGGACAACAAGAAGGAGAAGAGGGGAGTAGAGTTGAGAAGGACAAGTAGGACAACTTTGGTAACTTTAATCAACTCACTTCGGCATTTGCCATCAACAACACAGGCGTTCCTCGATAGGTTAACAGCCGCAAGGACGCTCGCCGCAAGAACGCTCGACCAAGAACGCTCCGCTCAAGACATGACGACCAAGCGCGCCGAAGTCCTCCTGGGCAGTGGGAACTACTTCCACTGGGAGTACAACATGCGCATGACGCTGGCCCGGAAGGGGCTGCTTGCGCATGTGGATGTCGTCAAGGCGGAGAATGAGATCACGGAGGCGTGGCTCGTGAACGACGCGAAGGCGTTGGGCATCATCGCGCAGGGTGTGGAGATCCAGCACCAGACGAAGATCCGTTCCGCGACGCGTGCCATGCAGGCGTGGAACACTCTGAGGGAGTACTACAACCGTACCACGCTGCACAACCGTGTCGCCATGACCAGGCGTCTGCACGAGTTCAAGATGGACTCTGGAACGTCGATGGCCAAGCATCTGGACGCGTTCGACGAACTGATCGTTGGGCTGCAGACGATGGGAGAACCGGTCGACGAGGCACGGCAGCTCGTGGTGCTGCTGAGTAGCCTACCGTCGGAGTACGAGCTGATCGCATCCATCCTGGAGAACGCCAAGGATGTCACGTTGAACGACGTGAAGGAGAAGCTGTTGAAGGAGTTTGAACGGCTCGAGAAGAAGGATTCCACTACGGAGAAAGCGTTCCGCGCCAACGGGAGCGCTGGCCGGTTCAAGGGCGGTCGTGGAAACGGTCGCAAGGGGAACGGTCCGAAGAAGAACGGTGCCTTCAAGGGCAAGTGCTTTCAGTGCGACCAGGTGGGCCACATGAAGCGGGACTGCCCGGGCAAGAACGGTAGCGCTGGGAACGACACCGTGTTCGCCGTGGGTGAGGAACGCCTCGCCGGGTGGCTGATCGATAGCGGGGCGTCATCCCACATGACCCCGCGTCGTGACGACCTCTTTGAAATGGATGTAACGGTCACTGGCATGCAGGTGACTATCGCCGACGGAAAGCAGCTGCCGGTCGTCGGGCGAGGAACGGTCAAGCTGACCGGGATGGACGGGAAACGCATCACAATGAAGGACGTGCTGTACATTCCGGGACTCGACAGACGGTTGCTGTTGGTAGGGAAGCTTGCGGAACGCGGTCTGAGCGTTGAGTTCCAGCGTTCCTCGTGTGTCATCTGGGGGAACACCAGCGCGGTCGCGATGGGCAAGAAGATTGGCAAGGCGTTTGTGCTCGACTGCGAGCAGGAGTCGACACGGTTCGTGGAATACGCCGCAGTGGGAGCTTTGGCACGCTCGCATGGGCCACCCGAGCGAGAACGGTATGGCCAAGACTCAGCGTGCTACGAACGGTTTGCCAACCGTGGGGCGTAGCATCAAGACCTTGTGCGGCGGATGCATGAAGGGGAAGCAGGCCGTGACATCGTTCCCGGCACGGTCGACGACGAAGACATCGCGTGTGTTGGAACTAGTCCACACGGATGTGATGGGGCCGGTGAGAACGGTCTCCAAGGGTGGTGCGAAGTACGTGCTGACGTTCGTGGACGACTACTCAAGGTATGTCGTGGCGTACTTCATGAAGAAGAAGAGCGAAGTGGCCGACAAGCTGAAGGAGTTCAAGGCGTTCTACGAGAACCAATGGGGAGAACGCTTGAAGTGCCTGCGCTCGGACAATGGAACGGAGTTCGTGAACAAGACGGTCACGGATCTCTGTCGCCGGAACGGTATCATGCATCAGCGAACGGTGCCCTACAGCCCGCAGCAGAACGGAGTTGCGGAACGCATGAGCCGGACGATCATGGAGAAGGCACGCGGTATGTTACACTACAAGGGCGTGTCGACGGAATGGTGGGCGAAGGCTGTGAGCACGGCGGTGTACGTGATCATCCGTTCCACGAACACGGAACGCTCGGATGTGACGCCGTACGAGGTCAGCTTCAAGGTGAAGCCACGGATGGATCATCTGCGTGTGTTCGGCTCACCGGGGTACGCTCACATTGACGATGCGAAGAGGACGAAGCTCGAGCCCAAGAGCTTTAGGTGCATGTTCCTCGGGTATGCGGAGAACGCTAAGGGGTACCGTGTATACGACATGGATGCGTCCAAGGTCAAGGTGTCACGGTCGGTCAAGCTGGGCCAGCGCGAGGTGGGCGGAATCTATGATACGCACTCGCCGCAGCATGGAACGGTCATCCATGTGACCAAGGACGGAGATGTGCCAACCGTTCCTATCGAGGTGGAACGGCAACCGGTCGAGGACGAACCCATGGAAGCTGTTGAGGAACCCGTTCCAGACGTCGAGATGGATGAGGCTGAGCCAGAGCAGGAGGTACTGCAGCTGCCGGCACCGGAACGCCCAGCTGCCACTGGATTGGAGTTGACTGCGTACCGGCCTCCACCTCAAGCGTTCCAGACGACCACCTGGTGTTCCACCCCGAGCCGGAACGGACAAGCAGATCCCGTGAACCGGTGTTTCTCTTGGGGAACGGTGACGATGAAGATGGCGAGGAACGCAAGTCGGAAGGGAGTGATGGGCCGCCGTCCCCGAAGCGACCCAGGATCGACGAGGACGGTCTCATTGCGGAGGCTGCACTGGCGTACGTGGCCAGGATCGACGATGGAACGGATGTCCCGGCAACGTATGCGCAGGCCATTGC